AATTTCCTGCACTTCCATCCCCTGCTGAGGCAAATATATCTTCACGTCGTTCCACCAGGCTACGTCGCCCACCTAATCGGTTCCAAGATTATCAAACAGATTTCTAAGGCACGGGTGAATGTCGTGAAGCCATTAAATATAAGAAGATTTTAGTTACATTTTATCTGTCAAATAGTCGTGTACAATTTTTAGTTTATTAAAGCCTAATAATGGGTAAATCTAGTTTTAATTAATAATTCAATACTATATTCATATCATAACCTTAACCCGCCATCTACAAAGGAGTCACTTATTGGACTCTGACACTATAGCCCCATCTGTGGAAGATCCAATATGTTTTTAAACCACATTTGTTCTGTCATGTAAGTACGAGGGCTACACTGAAAGTTTTTAGAACTGGCTACTTGAGAGCAATATAATAAAAAAAATTGTTAAAATTTTGAAAATGGAACTCTTTACGAATAGTACTGAGTATATAATTTATTCGTATGTCATGTGTTTTACGGTTTGGCGGCAAATTGAAAATAGTCTGTGTAACGTTATCATGAACTTAACACGAGAAAATTTTCGTGTGATGATTTTTTATGACTTTCGATGTCATCTAAGTCAACAAGAAAGTTATGATAGACTACTATTGGACTTCCACGATGAAGCCCCGTCTCGTGCCACTGTTTACAACTGGTTTAATGAGTTTAAACATGGTCGCACTAATCTCACCGATGATTTGCGTGAGGGACGGCCTTCTACGGCGACAACCGAAGATAACATCCGTGTTGTGCGGCGTATGATAGAGACTGACAAAAGAGTGACCTATCAGCAGATCGGGGCAAGCTTAAAGATTGGTATGAGTCAAGTGCACAAAATCCTCCATGAACATTTGGCGGTCAGGAAGCCTTGTGCCTGGTGGATACCTTATAATTTCACTGAGGCTCAAAAACTCCGTTGGGTTGATTGGTGCCGTGAAATGCATGAAAGATTTAACGGAGGTGACTCAAATTCTGTGTTTAACATAGTTATGGGAGACGAAAGCTGGATTTACTGTTATGATCCCGAAACTAAAAGACAGTCAGCTCAGTGGGTGTTTCTTTCTGAGGAGTTGCCAACTAAAGTGAAGGGAGGTCGAAGCATAGGAAAAAAGATGGTGGACTCGTTCTTTGGAAGAACAGGTCATTACGCGACAATTGTTTTAAGAGGATCGAAAAACAGTTACTGCAGAGTGGTACAGTAACAATTGTTTGCCACGTGTTTTGAAAAAAGTGCGTGAGAAACGACCTCGCAGTAGGATCCTCCTTCACCACGACAATGCTTCGTCGCACACCGCCAGGCAAATGATCGATTATTTGGCGACCTCAGACGTAGAACCACTGGGTCATTCGCCTTATAGCTCCGACCTCGTACCTTGCGATTTTTATTTATTCCGAAAAATGAAAGAAAAAGTTCGAGGAAAACGTTTTATGGACGCCGAGGATTCGGTGGCTACGTTTTAGAAGGCCGTCAAAGAGACCCCTAAGGACGAGTGGGCAATGTGCTTTTCTCAGTGGTTCTATCGGATGCAGCGATGTATTGACGTGAATGGACGCTATTTTGAAAAGATAAAATAAAGGTAATAACTTGCTAATTTAATCAGTTTTTGATTTTCTAAGAACTTTCAGTTTGACCCTCGTATGTATTATATTTATAGAAAGAAGCGTATTTCATTATTTCGACCAGTTGTCTGCCCTTAACACAAGCTCTGCTTAGATTGGGTTTAGATAATGCTGAATGATAATGATTAATTGTCGAGTGTTATTATGAAACATAACTGGGTTAGTGCCTGTGGCATTTAGCAACAACCAACTTCGTCTTGAACACAAAACTTGACTTGATTATTTCTAAGTATACTTTTTAATCCAAAATACCACCAAGTACCTACTGCTACTATAACGTCGTCTCTAGAATTTATTTTCTTAAGTGTTTCTATCACCAGTGATTTAGTCATAAATCTTACTATATAATATTATAAACGCGACGCGCAGTTTGTAACTATGAATGAATGGATATTTGCTACTCTTTCCCGTAAAAACTGCTGAACGGATTTTGATGAAACTTTACAGCAACATAGCTTATACATTAGAATAATACATAGGTTATAATTTAAATAGATTTTATGTAAATTGGGCGAAATATAATGATAAATATCAAGTAAGTGTGATGCAGACGAAGTGGCGTGGTCAGTTATTTGGTACGTACTATTATTTTTGTATCAGCCTTATTTGAGTTCACATACTTTGTCATCCAGGGAGTTAGTAAACCGCTCACAATATGTGATCGTAATGTAATATTTTTTCATTCTTAATTCATTAGAGCGTATTACTATAAGTATGTCCTTCAATAAAAAAAAAATATGTTCTGTGCTAGGTTAGGTCTAATAGTCCGAGATCCCGCTGCAGAATCAGTGTACTCATCGAGTGTTTGCTGAAAACCAAATTTTTACACATATTTATCATTAGGAGAATTTATATCTACCAGGTTGCCTATCAAAATGTGGCCGCTAGTATTTTTAATTAAATTATTAATAATTCATAATCCGTAAGAAATTTCATTGACTTGTTTTTTCAGTAAAATGTCTTTCACTTTACGGCAACATCTATAAAGACTGTGAAAAATCATGCTTGCCGTTGCGCACCTGGCCGCACCTCTTCGCAGCCAGGTGTACACAGGTATGATTTTATTACATTTATACACCCACAACGTACATTCATAATTTATATATCAAATTAAAGCTAATTTTTTTCTGTTTATTATCATATACGGTTGCCTAATTAAATCTGGCCGCAAATAAGGGTTGCTGGCTATTAAATATAGTAAATATTAAAAGTAGAGTGAAAGAGAGCTAGCGCGTAACACCACTAGTCAAACGAGGATAGCGATTGCCAGCTGTCGGACAGTTTAAAGCCATTGCGCATGCGTCAAATGCTATTGTTCTCAACCTCCGATTCAAACAATGGTGGGTACGCCTCAAAATAATAAATACTCCAAAAGAAACGTCTTTCTTTTCAAAATAAAAAATTAAATTTTTTCTTACGACGAAACAATAACATTAGAGAACACTTTTTAAATGAAGCATTATCAAAGTCTAGTACATTGCATTTTTTGTCGCACAGAAAACACGCCTTCATCTTTATAAATTTTATTTCGCACTGATGAGATTGATAATGTTTCGATGCACAAATGAAACAGCAATATATTATGTTGTGTATTACGTACTCCAAAACAGCGTGGTTTTTAACTTAGAATAAAAGTCGCAACTGATCCATTGAGAACACTAGCATTTGACGCATGCGCAATGGCTTTAAACTATCCGACAGCTGGCAATCGCTATCCTCGTTTGACTAGTGGTGTTACGCGCTAGCTCTCTTTCACTCTACTTTTAATATTTACTATATTTAATAGCCAGCAACCCTTATTTGCGGCCAGATTTAATTAGGCAACCGTATATGATAATAAACAGAAAAAAATTAGCTTTAATTTGATATATAAATTATGAATGTACGTTGTGGGTGTATAAATGTAATAAAATCATACTTGTGTACACCTGGCTGCGAAGAGGTGCGGCCAGGTGCGCAACGGCAAGCATGATTTTTCAGTCTTTATAGATGTTGCCGTAAAGTGAACGACATTTTACTGAAAAAACAAGTCAATGAAATTTCTTACGGATTATGAATTATTAATAATTTAATTAAAAATACTAGCGGCCACATTTTTATAGGCAACCTGGTAGATATAAATTCTCCTAATGATAAATATGTGTAAAAATTTGGTTTTCAGCAAACACTCGATGAGTACACTGATTCTGCAGCGGGATCTCGTACTATAATACTGGAATTTAAAATGGCTACATAAGTGACATTACACACATCAGAAGAAATTCAAGAAATCATAGGCTAACGTATTTATTTCTTATATTTAATTCATTAAAAATATTAAAAGTGAATCATCAATATAAAATATTTAAAAATTACAATTTTGTCAGGTTCCAAAGTTATTTATAACCTGCAATTATAGTGAAAACATGATAAGTTTAGACAGTAACAGTAAGAAAACAAAGAAAAAAGCTAACAAAAGTAATAACTAATAATAAAATATCCTAAAAAAATGTAGCCAAATATAATTTTTTAAAATAAAGTGTTCTTGAATGAGTGTATCTACTTCATAATAAACGAAATAACAAAAGTAGACAATACATAATTCTAACAGTAAAGGTCTGTTCAAAAGTACAACAAACTAGTTGCTTCTATATAGTGCTGTTAGTTTAACAAAAGATTCGATTAACTAAACTTATTGCTAACTTAAATACCTAGAACATGTTTGTTCTGAACTTATACTGTTCACTATCGAAGATTTCCAATGTCTGCACCATGTCAATTTGAAACAATTTTTAATTTTCAGAAGGATTTGTGTAATGTGCTTGGGTGCTAATAATAGTGCTAAGTTAACAAAAAAAATCTTGTTTATTAGCCGGGTACTTTTCAAGTATTTCCAATTTATTTGAATATTGACAAATAAATGCAGATGCTGTGGAGCTTTGGTAGTGTACTTTTAACATATGAGGCAGGTATATTGCACAGTTCTGTTTCTGAATGCCGCATTAAGCTGTAATCTGGGCAAACTTTGAACCCTTATTATTTTAAAAACTATTAGACATTTAAATATCCATTTAAATGTTAACTTATTTTCCTATACTATATTTTTACTGAAAATAAATCACGATTCTTTCATAAAAGATTCGGTTTTGTGTTGATCAATCAGTCTATACACCTTTACATTATTATATCAGTTATTTTTTGTCATTACTCATAATTAAAAGAAGCTTTATGTAAATTCTTACATTTTATGATTGGTAAAAATATTAAGATAATAATTAATTGACAATATTCATTTTCCATTGCGGAAAATAAAAAACATATATAAAAATGTTATATTATTCAATTGTAATAAACTTCAAGTCAATGTATGTCCTACTAATCATTTGTGGGTACTAGAACTGTCATATAGGTATTTTCTTACTTATATGGATATACTTAGCTTATATTTTACCATCACCAATTTATTTATTTCTAGAACAGTAAACCGTCATAATTGCCACACTGCTTTAGAAACAGGATATATTTGGATATTTTTATGTATGCATACATTCTATTATAAAAGTTTATTTAAATAAAATCTACAATGAGATATATAGCTACAACGAATACCAACTTAGGTATAAAGTCAAAATATACAATATCTTTTATCAACATGTTTATAGTGTTCTCAATAGATTTATAAAGTTTCAATGATATGCTAATAAATTATGCTGTAACTATATAAGGCTTTTCAATATAAATATATTTTTTCTTATGAATATTCCTTATAAACTAAATAATCTGCTTTACCTATCCTATGCAATAATTTTATACATATCATTAAATTATATTAATATAACAATTAAAACCAAGTCTAAAAATATGGATATTTTTAAGTAAATATCACATCCCTATATTAAATTAAATTTCTAACTCTTACGTTTTTTCACATCAACCTCATCACTAACTTGCATAATGATATTCTTGACAATCTGATCTATAGTATGCGTGTCGAGCATACGAGCTATGTTTTTGTCTTCGACGGCGTAAAGGAACAAATGCTTGGTGTTCTCGCGTAGACACTGCACACGTGTCCATCTGTCTCTGTCCGCTGCACGAGCGCCGCAGTGTTCAATTACTTTTTCTAATACCTGCATAATTTATAAAATATATTTTTTAGTAGATACTATCATTAGTGCTTGCCGATTAAGTACACTTAAAAATGAGTATTAGAATACAACTAGTCACGATTTAATTTAGGTGTAAATTTTGTAGTATGAATATGGAAAAGACAAAATTACAAATTAAAAAAAAAAAATTATTAGGTTAAATATAATGATTAAGTAATGAATAAATAAAAGTTTTTTTACACAGTCATATGTGTGAACGAATCACCATAGTGGGTGCCTAGTGTCTGGTTAATTTCAATATTACTTACAACATCAACAGTCTCATCAGGCCATCCGAAGCATTCTAGTGTATCTTTATCAATGAGCTGCGACAACAAAGTCTTAAGATTCTCTACTAACTCATCCTCTGACATTAATGGACTATCCTCAGTCTGAAAGAAACAATATTGTTATGAAAGGTGAAAATATATGAATTTTGTGCTTCACCACTTTATTTAAGAATCTACATTTTTTTCCACATTAAATCAAGTAAATATATAAACTACAATAATACAATTAAGCAATGGTGTAAGTTACTTTATTAATGGGAAATCATTTTATATTTTATTATTACCTTCATTTTATCGTCTTGAACTTGCATGCCACCATAAAGTATGTCTTCACCACTGCATCCTTCAATTATGCGGTCTGACTCAGCATCAAGTACGTTCAGTATAGATTCCAATTCAGATTTTTTCACTCGTTCTATACCAACATTTGTTCCCTGTAATAAAACGAAATAGATTATAAATTTATCAAACTAGCACAGAAGTGACTGACATTCGAGATTTATATATTATAGATAGAAAGAGAGGTAGGCTGCTAGGATAAGTTATATGGTTAATAAATTGTTAAAACATAAAGAGTAATCTTGAATTGCTTAACCATTAAGTAATTATTTGCTACACTTTTGATATTTTGTTAGATGTAATATAAATACAGTTTAAACATGTAAAAAGAAATATGAGTGAAACTGTAAAAAGTTCTTTGGCTGGATATCTCAGTGTCACCTATTACAGCTATTTTGTTTATTGTCACGGTCTGTGGTCAAATCGAGAATATATTAATATTGTTTGTCTTTGCGAATTTCAACCATCGGGCGAGCCCTAATAGAATATACATGTGCAGTTTTACCAGCACTTGTCGAACGTGCACGAGGTGCTGACGGAAGATGGTGGGGTGGAGCTTGCGCACGTGGCGTAGTAGCTGCTCGCCGCGGATGTACGCGCGCGCCTTCACGCAATACATGCAGCGCCTCGGCCGGTCCAGCCGGTGCGTGCTCACGTGCCGCTGCATGTTCACTTCCGTGTGGAACTGTTTGCCGCACACCTCGCACGCGTATGCTACGGTGCAAACACGCAATAACATATACTGGTCATAATTACGTACTGTGTCGATAGTAAAAGCCAAGTTTCAAGATTGACCACTGGATCAAAAGCTTCCATATGAGTAGCAATTTAATTAACAATTATTAATCAAAAGTCAAAAGTGACGTATGAGTGAAATATGAAATCGTTTTTTGTAGACAAAGTTTGTTTTAATATATTTGTAAATAAAGTGGTTTATATTCTCTAATATAAAATCTACCAAATTATAACACGTATAATAGATAATACAATACGTACATTTCTCGTCCAAATGAGTTTTTATATGGGCATTTAAACTTTGTTCATTACTAAAGACTTTTTTATAGTTGCAATCACCAAACGGACATATTAGTTTCTGTAGTCCCTCATGTTCTCGTATGTGAATAAGTAACCTGTTAAAACAAATGCGATTGAATAAATAATTAATTTAATTAGTAAAATAGTTCAATAAAGTTTAATTTGTAAAATATTTCAATTTAACATATTTTTTTATTAATAATTATATACAGTATAAACTACAAACTTATATACATTCGATATAGTTTGTCCATTTCAAGTATCTATCTAAACGAAAAGAATCTCTCTTTTATTTAGGCTGTTCTTAAATTATTATATATAATATTTTTTAAAGCCACATACCCAGACTTTGTATTGAAATTGCAATCACACACGGAGCAGCGGTTGCCGACGTGTTTCTCTAGGTGTCGTTGCAGCTGCGACCGTTGTATGAACGACTTGTCACACAGTGTACACTTGTACGGTTTCTCATTGGCATGTGTCAGTGTGTGCCGTCTAAGAACCTCCGCCGTGTAGGTACTATATCCACACTTGAACATAACAATTTCTTTTAAACATTTTTAGTGGTACAACATAAAGGGTATAACTAAATTAATTAGTAATGGGAACTAGTGCTCCAATTTATAGTACCATGTCACGTCGACATCCACGCGGTCCCCTGGCAGTTAACGTCATTAATTTCTGATAAAATCACCACGGGCTAATGGCTCGCTGTAGAATAAACGACTAACATATTAGCAGTTTTATAGATTTGATAAAAATGCACCAGTCAAGTTTATCATTCATTTTTCTTGACTGAACTAATTTTACTATTAAAAATGCTTTAAATAAAATTAATTTGAACAAAGTTTAAGCCTATTATAATTTTACAATAAAATCAATTTAAGAACCAAAAATGACACACATAGTTGAAAATGTTTTAACAATTTGAAAGCTTGTTATTTTCATAAAACACAAATAAAAATGAATTATTTTGGATTAAGAGAAATGGGTTGTACCTTCGCAAGAAGATGTAAGCAATATTATTTACTTACTTAAACGAAAAAATTCCCACACTAATATACTTACCGACAGCACAATACCAGTAGGCATAAAAATATAGATAATATTAATTACAATTTGATAACACATTCATAATAATCTCAATTAGGTATAAACAGTTACGCGTATTTTATTTAGAAAAATATAAAACTAAATTTGGAAATAAACAAGAAAGTTAAGGCTGAGTATAAAATTAAAAACAAAAACTACTGTTGAGTATATTTGAGCAGTAAAATTGTGATACATACTCATGTACTATAATTTAATTTAAAATATAACAGAAAATAATGTATCACAATACAATTTTATTCATTAAACATAATATAATTATGGAAAACAATATTTTCAAGTAAATAAGATAGATTTCAAGTATATATTATATTCTGTTTCAATACATTAATGTACATGTAATTAGCAGAAGTAGGTAGGTACTGGAATCTTGTAAGACAGACATATATAGGAAACAATATTTTATAAAACCGATTAATATTATTTATAATTACCACATCACAATGGTGTGACTTTTCACCATGAATTTCCAAGTGCTTGGCCATTGCTGCCCGAGAACTTGTTGTTTTCCCACAGTGGTCACATTCAAATTTGTAGGATTCTGTAAATAGTGTTTTTTGTTTTGAAAATTTAATTTATATACTTATATATATATATATATATATATATATATATATATAGTAATGCCAACTGGGCCAGATCAAAACGTTGCATTCACTATTTAGAATAGAATAGAATAGAAAATCATTTATTCAAATAAACTTAGATTGAAGCACTTTTGAATAGTCATTACATTTTTTTTAATCTACCGCTCGTTCGGAAAGCTGTCTCATCACAAGAAGAACGAACAAGAAACTTGCGTGTTGCTCTTTTAAATAATTTTATTATTACTTTACATTTTTAAGTCTAAGTGTTGAATACAAACTACCAATTAGCACTAATTCAATTAAATACTCAAAAAGAAAAAATATTGAATACATAACCAACTGGTTAAACAATTAATAAGAGGAAATCAGTCATAGTGATTAGAGCAGACCAGTCCCTACAAGCAGCACCCGTTCACGAGTATGACGGATGAGCCAGCCATCACTGCGCTCGACCATATTTTAGGGAGCCCAATGACCCGGCCCACCACGCCGCCACAAGTCTGGACATTTTAGTGAGCATGACTACTCAAAACACTGTATCTACTGTATTACTGTTGTGATCATAACATTTGACATATATTTTGCAGAGAATATTAAAATTTAATGTAGTGATGATGCTACCTGTGACTGAAGCAAATTAAATTTATACCTGTCATAAAATAAGCCTTTCATATAGAATTATAAGAAATAAAAGTAATAAAATATACCTAAATGTTGTTCTTGCCAATGCTTGACTAACTTGGAAAAACTTTTAGTAGTATATTGACAAAATTTACAAAAGAATCCCTTTTTCATGATATGTTGCACTCGAAGATGAACTTGTAAGTTATCTTTCCTTGTAAACTTTGCATCACATATCTGAAATAAATATGATTTGGTTAACACAGTTTTAGTTGCTTCAATTAATAAATAAGTGTCATTACATTTAATTTAGATTAACCTTATCTTAAACTAATATTATCTTATTTACTATTTGGGGTCAGCAGAACATTTTTTTTTAAATCAGCTGATTTTAACCCTTTTAGGAAAAAAATTACTTGGTCATTTAAATTTAAAAAATGATAAATTAAGATGGTGTCATCTAGGATTTGAGAGAAGAGGAAATGTACAATTATGAAGAAGTATTCATATAAATGCAGTTTATTTATAATAGCTCTGGAGGCCCATATTAATGTCCTAGTTTAGGACAAGGCATGAGAGATTAAGTATAAATTATATCACTACCATATTTATACTAAAATAATGTATGAATACCTCACAACAATGTAGTAAAACACCATTGCCATCACAACCAGACTGCGCCAAGTGTCGTAAAACATGTGAATGCCTTACAAATTTCTTCTTACAATGTGGACACTTAAATTCTTTTCTCTCATGAATATTTTGTTTATGTTTTTCTAGAACATCTTTGTTTGGACAGCGTACATGGCATTGCTCACATGAAATACTATTCGGCAATTTTGAATGCTCATTGACACAATGTTGTTTAAAATTTGTTTTAAATTTAAACTTCTTGCTGCATTCAGTGCAGTTATATGTAACCTAAAATGTAATAAACCATCACTTAGCAGGTAGAAAGTTTAAACTATGTTATTATCTTTTTATTAATAAGAATTTTTAGTATATACATAGTATAGGCGAGAAAGAAGCATTAATGAGGTTTGTTAATGTAATTTATATTAGGTATATCAAAAGAGACAAGTAGTTCTAAACTATACAAGTATTTATTGGAACAGTAATTTAAGTATTGCAGTAACATTTGTCTAACTAAAATATCACATATAATACAAGTTTATTTCTACAATATGCAATGATATTGAATTCAAGAATTATATAGACAAATTCTAAATTTGGAAATAAAAGTATGATTCGGACATTTCTTAGTAAGAATAAACTCATTCTTAGCATTATCATTCCTAATTAGATTTATTAAATCACGAACAATAATAATACATACTAAGCTGTACTATTACATATAAGACCATTATGATACTAGTTCACATAAAAGTCAGTTAAGTTATTTTGCAGTTTGTATAACTGCAAAATAACTGAAACTTTCATTACTTATTTACTATGCCCTGACTTTGGCAATGTTAAATATTTAACCAGAGAGTAAACTTTAGAGTTTAAAGTGTGGAATTAAAATAAATATGTGAACTTCCTAATTACTGTTGCATTACTACATAGTATGTTGCACAGTTTTATACAAACATATATATAATAATAAATCTTGTAGTAAGTATAAATACTATACTTACTAATTATTTGGTAGTATTATTGGATATTTGTTATCAACGAAGACAAACAAGACTTTATCTCTTATCTAATGAATGACTCTTAGCAAGTTAATAAGTGGCAACCCCATTTAACAGACCAAGTACTATTTATATTTTTTTGCTTCAAAAATGATACAGATAAATATTATAATTGTTATAAATAATAAATAATAATAAAAATTAGAGCCATATTGCATTATTGCATTTCTATAGTGAAATTGTTAGTATGTGTTTAGACATATCAGGAAACCATTTACTCAAGATGTAAGTAAATATTACAGAAAAATTATGAACTGTATCCTTACCTTCGGAATGTAAATTTCATCTGGTCTGATTTGAGGAAGGCATTTAGGCAAATGTCTAGCTAATCTTAATTTGGTAAAGTGTTGCTTACAGTTTATACAAGGAAATCTTTGAGAAAGAGCGATAGATTTCTTGGGCTTTCTATTCGGTGGACGACCCCTTTTTGATCGTTTTGGAGGCATTTTTTTTTAAAACGTAATTTTAAAAACCTTAATTATACAAAGTTTCTCCTGGGTTACATGATTACAACAAGTTATCAAATACAAATTTTGATATTGCTTTCACTCAGGCGTTGCAGAGTTGGCGTTGGTATATCACAGACTACATAAAGTGACCTACAGATACAGAAGGAAGTTACGTATACTCTGTATACACCACAGATAATATTTATTGAGTCAGTAGGTCTACCACGAAAGTTACTGCCGATTATCGCGTAACGAAACGAAAGACGACCGAAATACTAGTTTAAAGGAACCATGAAGTTTCTTCGGAATAAGATATTTCGGACGGGTACCATAGACTATGATCGTGAACGAATGAAAGATGAGAGGTCTTTTATTATACACTCTTAAATTAGGAAAAAAATAAAGTGGTATACTCCGGATAAAATAAAATGTACAGTCGTTTATATTTAAATGTATTGAAATCATAAACTTCTAAAATTAGTAGTATTTTATGTCATAAGGAAACGTCAAACCTCTATTTATATTTGAAAATAACATTACTGCGTATTACAAATATTTTTGTTTTTATTTTTTTATATATAAACTTAAGAATTATCATCACAAGTGTTTTTAAATAATTTTTTATTGCTAAATTTGTTCGTTAAACATCAATGAAAATGAACATGTAATAACTTTGATTTTATTTATTAGTTTCTATTTATGACAAGCGCTAACAAATGTATTTATGCATTTAGATGAGTAATCCCACTGTGGAACAAGTGCATACACTCCTAACATTCCTAGCAGAGCACCAGGAGTTAGCTCGTGGCCACTGTAGAAATGCAGAAGGGCGAACAAGATCCACCCAATTATGGGTTCGTCTCACAGACGAACTCAATGCATTGGGTGGATGCACTAAAACTGTAAAGCAGTGGCAGAAGGTAAGCACTTTTCTTGATATTTTAGTACGTGATATGCATTTAAAATGTTAAATAATTTTGTTATTAAATAAAATTTTCCAATACTGATACTTTATAAATTTTATAAATTTTAGGTATGGGCTGACAAAAAATATCTAACTAAAAAAGCTGCTACTGCTGCTCGAAGGTCTGCCACAGCCACTGGGGTAGGGCCATCATCTGCTGATCCTTTAAACCCAATACAGTGCAGAATATTGGGTATTATGGGAGAGGGCTTTGGAGAACCTCAGTCGGATGCACATGTTCCTGCATTTCCAGAGGTGTTGTAAAACCATTACTAAAATAGTGCTAACTGTTATCTCTAGACATATATAACATAATGGATGTCATCAAAATACATGGTGACTTCCATAGTGTTCCTCATGCATTACCATTCCTTTTATTTCTGTATATAAGGTACCTAAATAGCCTTTTCCCACCTTTCAAACTGAAATACAGCTATGCAAGAACAGCTGCTTCATAGCAGAAATATGAGTTGAGACAGAGTTGGTACCTTTTTATATATACACAGTTTTTCAATGTTAACTAAGAAGTAAAGATAAGACAGTACTAATAAATAACACTTACTTATACCTTATTATTGATTAAAAAATTTATATCATAATAAATTATTGTTATATGAAAATATTTCTGTAAATATTAAGATTATTAGTAATGGGGGCTTATAGTCCTAATCACTATATATTCCTAGACATCAAGTCTGGTATTAGTACCAATCATGCATACCGAAAACAATAATGATAATAATTATTTTAAAAAAAACTTTTTTAGAACTTCAACGGCTACTACACGTCCAGAGCACGACGCCGTCGAGCAGACGCCATTGGACCTCGCAGTGTACGCAGGCGTTTGTTCGAAATGGAGGAGCGGCGAATCGCAGCGGAGGATCGACGGGTGGTAGAGTCAGGGCTGATTCGCCAATCACTCCAGGAATTAAATGTATTAATAAGGGATCGATTGGATGGTCTACAAATAGAATTAAGACGACTGAATAGATGAAATTTTGTTTTTTTTTTTAATTTGACATGATTAATGTAGATTTGTGTTAGTTTGTTGATTTGTTGAATTACGTTAGTTTGTTGATTTGTTAAATAATGAGTATAAAAAAGTTAGTTAGCTTTAGATATATCATTGTTGATTTGTTGAATTCTGTTAGTTTGTTGATTTGTTAAATAATGAGTATAAAAATGTTACTTAGCTTTATATAAGTATTAACAAAGACACAAAGTACTAAACTACAGTTTTTTACTGGTCATTAATTTAATGCGCCTTGAACTACACTACTTAGTTTGCATATACTTATACAACATTTTTCTGAATGAATGTTTAATCATTTATAATTAGTGTTATTTTAAAAAATGTTAATATACAATTTTGATTTTACTTTTATCTATATATATATATATACCTACATATATGTGATTATAAAATAAAAATATTTTATTGTAAAAAGTTTTTAATTTTGTAAATAAGTAATGCCTTAACTTCTAATAGAATAGAATAGAAAATCATTCAAATAAACTTATTACATTGCTGTCATCTATGAATTCATCTATCCTATAATAGGCTTTTTTACATAACATTTGTTTAATATCAATTTTAACAGCATTTAGGTAAAATTAGTATATTTTTATTGCATAAGTTTCTACTTGTACAGTCTTTAAGTTTCTTGAAACTATCTAAGTTTTTCCTTGTATACATAATATTTCATAAATGTACTGTGAGGCAACGGTGAGGATATTTGATTCTTTAAAGCCTTGATATAATGACTATCTCGAACCCATACCATAAATAGAACGTATGGCTCTCTTCTAATCTTTATATACCTGAAAGAAAAGAAAACATACTTAACTGTGAGACTTGGAATTTGATAAATGCACTTGATAGCTTATAGACTATTCAATATAATATCAGCTAATAATATTTAACATAAAAAATACTGAAATACAATCTATAATCATCTTTTATGACATCCTAATAATGAAAAGGAATGACAAAACATTGTATTCTTGTTTGTTCACCAATTTTATATGTAGTACAACTACAAAGTTAACAATTACGATTTATTTACCCAGCAAATAAGTTGTTTCTCCTTGAAGACTCTCCAAATGATCTTTGATCTCGTTATGCTCCCAAATGAATGCATCATGAGTGGCACCACCATAAGAGGCGTCAATATTCATAATTTTTAAATTACTGTCAGCAATCTAAAAAATAGGACAAACATTATAAAGATATTTGCAGATAGTGACAAATATGAATAACTTGAGAATTATTTATACACTATGCAAATTTTACATAAAATACTGTACTTACAACTTGAACATTTAAAGAGTGGTAATGTTTTCTATTGAAAAATCTCTCTTCATTGACTGTTGGCCGAATTATAGCTACATGGGTGCTGTCGATACATCCTATAACACCAGGGATACCATACTGTGTAGCAAAACTGAAAAAGAAATATAAACTACTGATTATTTAAACATCAATTAACTTATGCTGATTCCTGAAATTAACAACAATATCATTTATAAATTTACAGCTACAAATAGTTGACTGAACTAAATTAATAGTATATGTATTATAAATCGACAAAGAGCATAAAATTCTATAAAGTTAAATCTTAATCATATTTAATATACATAAACTTACTTTCTCTTCAATATGTTCCTGTCTTCCCTGGACTGAGGAAATCTTATATATTTCCTTAGTATATAGGGTGTATTTAGGGCATCTGTTACATCCCTGATGCAGTTTGAGACAGACTGCTGAGCCATAGTGGTGTCTAAATTTTGTCCGACTGCACCCTGGTAGCTACCACTGGCATAAAAATTTAATGCAGTGAGAATCTGAAAAAAAATAGATATGGGAATACTAAATAATAGATAAATACTAAATTTTTTCATCTACAAAATGTACATAAGATCTTACTTTGGTATTGGATCGATTGCTCAACTATTTTTAGGCAGGGGTAATAATCGTACCACATACTGACAAAGATTCTCGAAGACTTCCCGACTGAGTCTGTATTTAGATACAAACTCGAAGTCGGGAATGGATCTTTGGAGGTACCTAGTACGCATTTTTCTTTTAAACCTGCGTCTTTCAATTTCTTCTTCATTGAGGGCTTCTAAAATTCCAGCCAATCTTGGCATAATGAAACTAAATCAAAATAAAGTAATGCTAAGTTGTAGGTTATATTGAACACAATAATATTTAAAAACACTAATTAGTTTAACTTTTATCACATTATTCACTGTAACACATTAACTGAATTATTAATTAATCACTTTTTTATATATTACAGCACTTATATACGTAAAATCCATACTTACGAAAGTAAAAAGTTAACTATTTAGGTTTCGTCTACTTCGCACTTTAAATCACGATAAACGTGCTGTCAAAACGTCATAATAACGTACGAACGGATACTTCATGGTACGATTTGGGACGATCGAAACGATATTCTCCGTTTTCGGGCACGATTTCGGAATGAACGTTTTTCATGGTACGAATCACACGAAATATCGATCCGAAATTTCGGAATTGCACTTCGTGGTAGACCTACAGATATTTCTTCCTCACTCTTCCATGTCTTTTTTAATGACGAAATATTCAAAAATAATTTCTACATAAATTTACAAAGTAATGTAACTTTAATTTTTTTAATTGACCGATAACAGATGATAAAATGGTGAACTTAATTCTGCATTCTCTCTCAAACTTTCAAAAGAGTAGAGATGTACAATTAGGGCTTTACAAGGAATGCTCATTTATTGCTTCTTTATTCATTACAAGAGTGTCATCTATAGTCTATATCAATAAAAAGTCAGTTGATAAAGAAATAAATAATCTGAATACTGCGTTTAAAAAACTTAATTATTAGCGGCTTTTTCAGGGTACGATCAGAGTACACACATAATAAAATGGTAGGTAGAAATAGTAAGGGCCGTAACCCGCATGCCACATTTACGCTTTATCGATAAATATTTACATGAGTACAAATATTTATCGATATTCATTTTTGCTAAAATGTCGGTATTAATTATATAATCAAAATATTATTTATTAATAATAACACAGATAATATAATATTAAATAATAATATAAAATTATCGTAACTGTGAATTTTGGAAGTGACGATTGTTATTTACTGTAATCTGCACCGTTGCATATAACATTACCTCACTCGTGTTACTTCTATTGATATAAATTAAATAATTGTTATGTTTTACATACAGTAATTATAGATACGTAATATGTTATGTATAAAACGTATATGTATAGATAAAAAAAACTTTTTCTTATGTTGTTCTGCAGACTAAAGTGGTCTATTGTTGTCATGGTAACGATTACATGTAAACAATGAATGACAACTTATCACATCGATTTATTAGTTATATTATGATAGTGTTTTAGTTAAAAGCATGTGCCATGGAAAAAGAGTTGGATCCAGATGTTATAAAAGCTACACAAACCTCGCTAGGCAAGTATGTGAAACGGCCGCCGCTGAATGAGAAGTTATTGAAAAAACCACCTTTCAGATTCTTGCATGACATTGTAACATCAGTTAGTATTGATCGTTCTCTAATATTAAATTAATATTTCATATTAAGTATTTGTTGGGTAATTAATAATTAAGTAACATCTCACCTAATGTTAATGTTATGTGCCAGTACAAATACAATGCAATATACGTAGGTATCTGTATAGCATTTATGTATATGTATGTACAGTTAAGGATGATAGGATGAGGATAGAGTGAGGTTGAAGAGAGCTGACTCTGTTGTGGCAAATAACTGGGATTTAACGTTGGTTTCCAGGAGGAACTGCACGACTGTCCATCTGAAATGGTACATTAATAACAAAACTCCATGCACGTAGATACATTTCTATGTAGAGTGTGTTCCTATATGGCAAGTTAATCATCGTATTAAATAATAGCTGTATAGGCGGATAAAAGTGTAATTCATGCGCGTACCAATACCACCACGTGTCTGACGACCAAGACGATGTGAATTTTGTTACCATGTCTTATTAGCAAATTACGTTCTACTCACTACTCCAATTATTTCTACTATAATATTCTGAGCGATGGACTGTATATATACTTTGTTGGTAAACATAGTTATGGAAAAACGGTTTTTAAGAAGGTATAATATAATAATACGTCCCAAAAGTAAGACAACAGAAGAAAAATAATGCGAATATAACATTTTTCTATAGCAAATATAGCCAATAAATACATAAATCCTTACTAATATTATAAATGCGAAAGTAACTCTGTCTGTCTGTCTGTCTCGCTTTCACGCAAAAACTACTAAACCGATTTAAATGAAATTTGATACACAGATAGTCTAGGTCCTGAGGAAGGACATAGGCTACTTTTTAATGCGAAGAAAGGGTTGTAAGGGGTTGAAATTGGGGATGATAGATTGTATGGAAGAATCGTCATTTTTTAAGCTAGAAGCTTGAAACTTATTTTTGAGGCTGCTAATTAAATATAAATAAATATGACATACAAAGCTTTTCAAAATGTTACGGGGTTCAAAAAATTAGGGGATAATTTTTTTTATGTCGATTCGTTATTATTGAAGCTAGAAGATAGAAACTTATTTTCGTGGCTGTTGATTAAATATAAATAAATATGACATACTAAGTTTTTAAAAATCTTACCCTTAGGGGGGTAAAATAAAATAGCGGATGAAAGTTTTTATGTAAATTTGTCATTTTTGAAGCTAGATACTGATTTTAAGGCAGTTTATTGAATATAAATAAATAAGCCATCAAATTTTGTTAAAATGTTACGCTTGGGGGTAAAATAAAATAGTTGATGAAAGTTTTTATGTAAATTCGTCATTTTTGAAGCTAGAAGCTTGAAACTTATTTTTGATGCTGTTGATTATATATAAATAAATAGGCCATCAAAGTTTATAAAAATGTTACCCTTAAGAGAGTACAATAAAATAGGGGATGAAAGTTTTTATGTAAATTCGTCATTTTTGAAGCTAGAAGCTTGAAACTTATTTTTGAGGCTGTTGATTATATATGAATAAATAGGCCATCAAAGTTTGTAAAAATGTTACCCTTAAGGGAGTACAATAAAATAGGGGATGAAAGTTTTTATGTAAATTCGTCATTTTTGAAGCTAGAAGCTTGAAACTTATTTTTGATGCTGTTGATTAAATATAAATAAATAGGCCATCAAAGTTTATAAAAATGTTATCCTTAAGAGGGTAATATAAAATAGGGGATGAAAGTTTTTATGTAAATTCGTCATTTTTGAAGCTAGAAGCTTGAAACTTATTTTTGAGGCCGTCGATTAAATATAAATGAATATGACATTCAAAGTTTGAAAAATATTACCCTTAAGGGGGTAAAATAAAATAGGGGATGGAAGATTTTAGGTAAATTCGTCATTTTTGAAACTTTTTCCATTGGCTTTTTTGGGTTAGTTTATAAAATACCCCACTAATATTACAAATGTGAAAGTAACTTTATTTGTCTGTCAGTCTCACTTACACGCCAAAACTATGTTGTATGGATATATCGCCATTTTCAAAGCTTGAAACTGATTTTTAGGCTGTTGGTTAAATATAAATAAAGAAAAATGGGTTGTATGGAATTTAAAAGAGAGTTAAATGTTTATATGGAAATATTGTCATTTTTAAAGCTAGAAGCTTGAAGTTTAATTTTTAGCCTATTTATTAAATATATATTAAGAACAGAGTTATAAGGGGTTGAAAGAGTTATGTATGGAAGTGTCGTCATTTTTGAAGATGAAACGATGAACTTTTTTATATGGCTTTTATACGCGGACGAAGTCGCGGGTACAGCTAGTAATATATAAAGAGGTGCATCGTGCACAAATACGTACACAATACTTTATCTGCCTTTTCCTGTTTATTCTCCCATACCATTCAATTTTGAAAAGATAATGTCACTATAACTACACTTTAAGAATTTTTCTGTAATAGGTGATATACTCATTATTCTATAGGTATTTTTTCTCACATAATGAAAATAGGTTGAATTTTTCAGTTACAAATTTTCAAATATATTTCAGGTACTGAAAACAACAGGATTTTTTGAAGGATTATTTGAGGAGGAAGAATTGATATCTGACAATGTCAAAGAAAGGGAAAATAAAATACAATTTCTTAATAAAGTCATTTACGTCGTTGGTAAGTATTACAGACGATATTTTATAGGTACTATTAATATACCTACTTACTTATATGAGTACATCTGTATACATTATAGGTGCAACAACAGGAAAGACGTTATCAGTTAAGCCTTCTAAAATAGTAGCTGGTCAGGAAGCTGAAAAAACCAACGACTTACTTCAATGCCTTGCACAGGCACTAGATAAAAAACTTAGTTCAGATGAAGCAGTAAAAAAATATAAAGGAGAGAAAAAATCCACACAGGTAAATGAAAAGAAACCAAAAGAAACATTAAAAGTAAATAAAAAAACTAACGATACGAAAAAAATAACATCAAAAAGCACAGAAAAAGTAACATCGAATAAAAAGGAACCAACAATAAAAGTAACAAATAAAAATGAAAACGATAAAAGTTCCAGCAGTAAAAACCAGAAAGAAAACACAACGATAAAAAATGAATCATTATCTAAAAAAAGGTCACAAACCAAAGTCTTAACAAAAAAACCATCACTTGAAAAAAGTACGAATCTTGAAGAAGATAAACAACTACCTCGTGAAATAAAAAACAAATTGGGAAATGACATAATAGCAAAAAATATGCCGATAAATAATGAAACTTTTGAAGATTTAAATACAGATATTATAGAAACAGATAGAAATACTACTGAACAAGAACATCAAGAATCCGTGACAATTAATAATGATCAACAGGATGTTGATAGCTTTCAGGCAATTGACAACAAATTAAATTCATCATTATCTTCACAAGAATTGATGGAAATCGAAAAAGATAAGGTTGATGAAAATATTTCTTTAATAAATCAAAATCAGATAGAGGTTGAACTTATTGAAGATCATAAGTCTACTGATTTAAATAAGATTAATGATGGTAATGAATTCGAACAAAAACCAGATGAAAATTATCCAAATAAACAATTATCTAGGAATAATAGTAATGACATGAAGAGTCACGAAACTACATCAACAGTAGAGAAAAGTATTAATCAGGCTTCGTTTAAAGGGTCTCCAGTAAAAATCGGAAACCTTGCTAGGCCATTAAGTATGCGACCCTCGTCATCGCGACCTGGAGCACCGCGTTTAAGAGATAAACACGAAAATATTACATCCGAGCCCGAAAATTTGATAGTTGGTAAAGTAAATATCATAGCAGAAAATACACCCATAGAGGAGGTAACTAAATGATTTTTACAAGCTTTTGTGTAACTTAGTACTTAATGTCTATATTTTGCTGAGTAAAAATCAAATGTAACGTAAACTGCCGTCCGTACAAAAGGAGACAAGTTAGGCGGCTACTTTATAAATAAAAGGGTATTTTTTTTTATAAATTATTAGTTATCAAACAATCTGACGGTCTATCTGATGGTAAGTGGTTAATGTCGCCTACATACATGAACAGCAGTACAGATATCACGTTATCAAACGACACCCCTGATACCACACATGCATTGCAATTTCAGACGATTAAAATGCCTGTATAATAAATCCGGTCACTTATAAAATAAAAATACTGAAAATGAAAAACGAAATGGAATCTTACAAAATTAGTTTGGGTATATTTTATTTACGTTAATATTATTTTGTAATATCTGGTTATTAATTTAAGGAAGAAGATGCAAATGTCGTTATTGTTGAACACGAAGTAATCGTTTCCTCGAACGCAGAGGATGATCAGGAACCGGTTAATTTATCATCTGACCAGCACGGCCATTTGGTGCAACAAATTTTAGAATCTCAAAAAGAATATTCACAGATTAGTGGTAAAACTGAAATCGTAAGTGAACTACATATTAGCTATAAGTTATAAATATGATTTACTCTGCCTATTTAATTTTATTTGTATGTTATGTTTTGATAATTTGTTACACGGTTAGCATGCTGGATTTCAATTTTCATGGTAGCAATAGTACATGAAATTAAGATATTACATTTACTAATGCCAAAACAAGATTACACAAGAAACAAACAAGTCATTACTAATAATCTCCTACTACCGTAATTAACGGTTACCACTTTTTTTAGTTTTATGCATTTCTAAGGTCCAAAGCTGTACTGTAATAATAATTTATATATTTGCTTTACTACATAAGTAAGCAAATATATAAATTACTATTTTCAAATACAAATACCAAGCAAGTACGTATTTGTATTTCAATTATGTATTTGATTTTAAGTAACTGGCTACTCGCCCAGGCTTTGCACGGGTATACATGTATTATATAAACCTTCCCCTTGAATCACTCTCTATTAAAAAACACCGCTTCAAAATTCGTTGCGTAGTTAGTAATGATTAATTCAAATACACATGCACAGGCCTGAATATGACTTATTAAAACTTTTCTTTAACAGGAATGGCATTTTGGTGCCCAAAAAGCACGAGAAGCAGTAAATCGGGAAATAGAGCAACTCAGGTACAACGTACAAGCTCTTTCACGTGTCACCAATCCATTGGGTAAAATATTGGATCACGTTCAGGAAGATGTAGAAGTTATGCGTCAAGAACTTCAGCAATGGACCAAAACTTATGAAGAAACATCGAAGCAGTTATCGAAACAAAAACTGTTAGTTATATATATATATATATAGTACTTAGGTTTATTATAATAGATGCATTCTCGCTCTCTGTTTTCTCTGTTAGATCTGCTTCTTAAAAGAGACAGGCAAAATAAAAGTAGTCGACTCGCAAACCGAAAGCTTCTAAGAAATCGTAAGAAATGATACTATATATGTCTACCTATTTTTTTTACATGCTTTGGATATCCTACGAGTAAAGACAGTAAGAGGAAGTTCAGACAACTTTGTGGACGAAAAGGAGAAAGTCGAAATTTATCTATATTCTAAGGCCAAACATATTTTTTTTTGTAAAAAAAAAGTTTGAAAGCGTCGTGTCCTAATGCTTTACTTTTGAGTTACGTCCAAGAGGTCATAATATCAAATCCAGGCAAAACAAAAAAAATCGTTGTGTCAATTTATATTTCCGAATGACGCTCAGGCCATTTAAACATCGATAGGCTTGCCCCCTGCCATGGTTTCAAAACATACTGATCTAAATGTGGGCATGACAAATGTTGCGTTCACCACAACATAGACAGTTGACATCTATTTCGATTTCTATTTAGTTGCATTTCTATGCTCCATCTCTACCACTATGAAGCCCAATAATAACTAGTCTGGCCAGAAATATTGTTACAATTAAAAATAAAAAATTACTGTCATTATTTTATGAATGTTTATTGTGTTTCCGCATTTTCGCGCCAATCGGTTATCAAAAATTTTTGTGATATTAAAATACTGTGGGGGATAGAAGGCCGAAACGAGTATTATATCGAATCGTGATTGCATAACAGAAAGTAGGTATGAAGCCAAAAAAATTTGTAAACTCCATCCGCTTGGTATTAGTCGAATGGAATAGGTACAATGAAAACTTCTCTGTTTGTGACAGTAATAGCTCTGGCCGTCTACGCAGTGATGGTACGAAAATGGTAATCATAGCAATAAGGGAAATAATTCGAAGAAATCCTGTCAAAAAGCAAAAGATTCTATCTCGCGTAGATAGTTTCTAGAACCATATCGCGGTTACTTAGGATTTTCAGCCTATAAGAGAGATGCACTGGTCATTAGTTAACTGATAATTTAAAGAAAACTAGGGTGGTAGAAACTTAACTACTTCAGCAGTACGCAATGGGAGTCCCTATAATTTTTTAGTCTACCGAGTCCAATGTGGACTTAACTCCCACTAAAGTGATGGTGATGGTTTGGTGGGGTGTTAGCTATGAAGAAGTAACTGAGGCATATTTTTGTGAAATAGGTATCAAAAGCTCGGCACAATCTCAAGAATGGTACCTTGAACACACAGATACCATTCTTGAGAAGGTGGTTAAACCCCTTAACAACAACATCTTCCATAGTCAAGAATAGTCCTTTCAGCAAGATTCAGCGCCAGGTCATAAAGCTGGACCTATCGAAACGAACGTTCCGGACTTCATCAAGCTGACGACTGGCCGTCATCTAGTCTCGGTCTTAATCAGCTGGATTATGATTTATGGTCAGCTTTAGAGAGTATGGCTTGTTATAATCGCCATGATAATTTAGAGTCCCCAAGACTCTCCATAAAATTGGCAGTGAAGAATTTCCCCACGGAAAGAGTGCGTGCTTCCATTACTAACTGGCCTCAACGTTTAAAGGATTGTAATGCAGCCACTGGAGATCATTCGAATAAGCTTTATATCTTTTTATATTATTGTATAAAGTAACACAAATTACAGTAAATAAATGTTATATGCAATAGAAAAAAATAAAGACTTCTTGTAACAATATTTATGGCAAGTCTATTTATATCTCTAATGGAAATATTTATTTAAATTTTATGCATATGCATTATAAAAAATATTATTTAAGTACTTACCTACACAATACAATAGATTTCCGGTTTTGGTTGAAAAATCTAATCGGGCAATAATATAGAATTTTGTTTTGCAGATCAAATGAGGAGTCATTATTACCATTGCATACGAAAGTGAAACAGTTGGATTTTGATATACAAGAGAAAAATGACAAGATAAATGATCTCAAGGTAGTTATACATAAAAATTCTGTTAGAATCGAGAAATTACTGGCGAGTGGAAGCGTGCAATAATTTCATAAATTATTATTTTTATAGATGCAATTTTTAGTAGATACTGTAATTATGCAAATAAACAAATGTTTTATTATTGAAATTACACTTAATATAATTATTAAATATATCCAGGCTTTAATTAACCTTCATAACACAATTTAAAGAAGTTTTCGATGAGGAGGAAAGCTCAGGTCAGTCAGTCCATTGTCGCAAATTTATCAAAAACTAACGACGGTGGTTACCAGGGGGACTGCGTGGAGGTCGACCTTATCCCTACACTAGACTATATTAAAAATCCCTTTCCTCTAGTAGTAATATTAGTGATTCATTATTGCTATATTCGTTCTGTAGGCGCTTTATCAGCATAGATAGTTTTTAATTTAAATTTTGGAATAAATAAATGTAAAAACCACGCCTTAGCCACAAAAAAATAAGTACCTATTTGCAATAGAATTTTCTAAGTAGGTACAAACCATATTAACAAATACAATCCTATTGACAAACTCTACTGAACCTGGAACTACTTTGAGTTTTTAATTGGTATTCCCTATTTTATGGAATTAATTAAAATAATAATAATGGTGACAAAATTTATGTACTAGTTTCTTACTTCTATTGTGTACTACAATTTTAGTACAGTGCTAGTGATTCGTTCTATCAACCGGGTTGAGCTATTTTCTCCGTGATATGTGTATTATTCTGGAATAATTAGAAAAGTTTTTTTAAATAGGTGCGCGATGCACTGAAAGATAAAATTTATCTATACATATAAATAAAATTGGAGTGTCTGTTTGTAATATTGAAATAACCGTTTTTCAATACATATAATTACGGTACATATACCAAAATAACATTTTTTCCATTTTTTGTCTATCTGTCTGTTTGTTCCGGCTAATCTCTGAAATGGCTGGACCGATTTTGACGGGACTTTTATTGGCAGGTAGCTAATGTAATAAGGAGTAATTTAGGCTACTTTTGTTTTAGAAAATTCTTTTACTTCAAAAAAATAAAGTTAAAATCCACGCGGACGAAGTCGCGAGTTCGGCTAGTATATATAGCTATAATAAGAAAGTATAAAACGCCTGGAACTATCAATTCTAATTTTAAAACTACAAACTTTTGCGATTAATATAGGTATTAATACAAAACACTTCACAGTGACAGTAGCATACCGTACGACGTTGTCATAAAATTGTAACTAAAATTATTTATGTATTCGAGAAATCGCTACATTTTCTGTTTAAATGTGCCTATAAAGAATTGATCACAATTGCTTTACCTAACTAATCCCTAGATAAATAATGCAGACATGTTATTAAATTTCGTGTAATGAGATTAATTTGTCAGTAATTAAAAAACATGATATTTGCTATATGTTTTCTGTATCAACATTAACAAAGAATTAAAAATTGGCAAAGGCAAAGTAATATAAAATCCTAAATTTTAAGGGACGTAGAAACTAATATAAATAAAGTTGCCATGGAAACTACTTGAAAATAACGAAGGAATACTGTGGATCATAACAATTTATACAATAAATATGTATTGTAATGCTGTTGGCCTTAGCTGGCCTTCGCAGCTACATTGAACGTAAATCGCAAAGCAAGAACTGTAAAAATATTTTTTGTTTACTTTCTTAATAATCCTAAGATTATCTAGAATGTAGCTGTGTGAATAAAAGTATGATTATTTTATTTTCTGCTTTATTGATTTTTATTTTTAATTATAGCAATATTGTAAAAATTATGTGACATACTATGAAATAAAATATACAGCTAGTACTCTGTTCTAAAACATAAGTTAAATAATAAGCTAAGATTAAGTATTATGTGCTATACAAACATCATACTGAAAACATACAAACCCGCTCCATAAGCATGAAAAAATATGAAAGAAACCTATTTTGTTACATTTGCCCAAATTTCTTATATTACTAATTTGTGCAGTATCTTTACACACATAGCAAATTTTACTCAGAAATGTAGAATATCTTTTATCAATACAAAACTGAACTAGCTTGCTTCATGCCACGCATTTCTGTTGCTGGTAGGCATGCAATGGGTACCAGCAACAGAAATGCGGAGTTTAGATTGTTTCAGAAGATTAAAATACTTCTGTTTCATGATATTAATTTACTTTTGACTAACTTCAGAAAATTTAGTATATTAATCAGTTTTATTAAACCAAACATGGTGTAGATGTTTTATATTTTGTATGTATATAATATGCAGTGCCTTCACCAGTTACTACTTCCACACTTATTAATTTTGCTGGTTTTCTATAATTTTATAATGAAATTGTATAAAAATATCTACATGTTTATAAAATGTCTAACATCACAGTACTCTAATGTTAGTTGAAGACATATTAAAACGGACACAACATAGCAGATTGTCTGCATTGTTATTTGGCTGGGATAGTCTCCAATGAATGAGAGCTTTGTTTATCCCATATTTTATTTTATGTAACGGAATTATGAATTTATATTCATGCTTCACAATAAATATGAGGCTTCTGTCAACCCTAACTATAAGTAACAGAGTGAATTGTAACTCTAGTGCTGATTGATTGGGTCATAAAAGGGCAAACATTACATTAGCAAACAAAGATGAATTGTAAAAGAACTAGTATAGCAGTATATAATCTCAATGACAATTAAAAATTATGCAATTCAATTTACAATTATTCAATTAAAGCCTGCATCAAATATCCATATATACTTATATTACAATCATGATAATTAAATAAACATTTTCATTAGAATTTGATGCAGTATTCTTCCTCATTAGTTAAATATTTTTATACTAAATTATTATAACACTAGATAGATACCTACTTATAAGAAACATATTGAATTAAATAGGTATATAAGATGATATTTTTATAGTTTACTAAAGCTAACAGTGATGAAGTTCTCGTCTCCTCCTTAACCCTAGGATTTCGCATGAGGAAGCTAGGAGAATAAAGTCCAAATATACCAGCACATGAAACTGTAAAACATAAAATCCTATGTCAAGCCGTTGGGGCCACAAAGGAAATAATGTGCTAAATTGGTCTCATAAGAGATATCAGTGTGTAGCATTGGGATGCTAATAAATTGTTATAATGATGTTGATGTGATGATGACAGTAATTGGCATAAATTATATTTGCACAGGATTGAATAAAGCCAAACCCTATTTACGACGATTATATTAGATACTTAATATTTAGAGTTCCTAATTTAAGATGTCTATTTATTCGGAAATATCAGCTGTTACACTTTACTTAGCTATAGGGGGATGAGGAGGACTATTTGAATTATTATCACAAAGACTAACATAACATTCGCGTCCTACTCGTGTCCGCCGTTGCCCTTTAAGTAAGTGAGCAGCTTGTTCAACACGCATTACCAATCTATGCTGGTTCTCCAATCTCTCCAAACAATTCTTGCATATAGTTTTAGGTAAAGGATCAGAACGAGATACCTGTAATGACGAAATAGAATTGTTAAATAATCACAAAGTTATTTTATTCAGCAAATCATTAAGGATTTTTTATTAAACATTACGAAATATATTTGCTTACATTTATTGAAAGATATCTATTTATTTTCTCTGAGATACACAACCGTATGCCTTCTTCTCCATATATGTGAAGGACTACTCGATGCATTTCTGAACATAATCTACATATAAATCCTGTAAGAACTCCTCGATCCAGACTTCCCATTGCTGTAGATTTCGAAAATAAGTATTATGATAGATTTAAAGTTAATATTCACTACGATACGAAAATTTTTACAATTAGTAATTAATTCGATTATTCGATAAATAGTACGCAGGTATTAAATAAAAAACAAATGTAATATAAACAGCGTTGCCAACATATAAATAAAGAAATAACCAAAAGATCTGCCATAAAAGTAGATTTTTAATCAATAAATGCTAAAATACTAAAGGTTTTTTTTATTTATATTACATTGTGGCTTTTGATGCATATTACAGGTTCACATAGATTCGTATGTGAAAAATGTAGGGAGGTACCTTCTCTATTAGACTCCCCAAAATTGATATCTCGAAAATATATGATAATTTAATAAAATTTTATCATGTAAAATAATATTATCAGTATAATTTTTATGTATTTGTAATGATATTTGATAATATAGTTTTTACATTTTATAATAATATCAACTTTTAGCAAAAAAAGAAACATTTGTTGGAGATTTAGCAAAATTAAGTATTTGAGTGTTGTCATCTTAAGTGTGGCTAATATTAAAAAAAAAAGACTTCAAAATATTTGAATCTTTTTAATTTAATTGTTTAAATTTTATATAAAACTTAGTTGTTCTTTGCGTTTCAAATAGATAAATATTCATGGCTGACTTAGAGGAAAAACCTCGGGTATTTTTGGAGGAATTCAGACTTAAGGTATTTAAACAATAAATACATGTCGGCATGCTTAAATTTCATGTCTGGGTTAACTTTCATCATTTAGATACCTTTCCAATTACTTATTAAGTAATTAATAATGAAATTATTATATATTTTGTCTCTTTAAACTTTTTCTTTGTTTCACCAAGGAATACAGAATGATCCTAACCTAACTTTATTCTATTTTGGTAAGTAAGGCCAGGATATTACGATATATTTCGACATCAAAAATTTTTATTCTCCATAATCCTCCACTCTAAATAAGTTCCAATGTTATTAGCTAAAATATGTAAACCCTTATTTATTTTACAGAATGCATCAGATGATTATGGCTTAGCAGATGAATTATGGAGTTTTAAAAAATTTACAAAAAAATTCCGTATAGTTATTGTGCGAATGGACAACTTTGAAATGGAGTTTGATTTGATTGGTATACAACCTGCATTTGCTAATGCTTTCCGAAGGTTAATGCTAAGTGAAGTACCAAGCATGGCCATAGAAAAAGTTATGGTTAGAAATAATACTTCTATTATTCAAGATGAAGTGTTAGCTCATAGATTAGGTTTAATCCCACTGAAAGCAGACCCTAGACTATTTGAATATCGTTCAAAAGGTTTGTATTTACATTTGCAACTATTGTGAGTACTTTGCAAAGACAAAGTATTATTTTTAGAATATAATGTTCATTTTATGTGAAGAGAATTCTGTACCCTTAAAGTTAATAATAAGTACTAAATAGCATTTCTAACAGTGAAATGCTGCCATATGACATATTTAATACTGTTATAAATAATTTGATAAATGATAGGAAGAAAGAAGAATGAAGGAAAAATTAATAATATAATAATCTCAGGCCAATTTACATAGTGCCATCTAGACAAGCAAGTTAAGCTAGTTAAAGCTTGTGGTATCATCATCATCATCATCGCAGCCCGGAAGACGTCCACTGCTGGACATAGGCCTCCCCCAAAGACCTCCACGACGATCGGTCCTGCGCTGCTCGCATCCAATGCCTTCCCGCGATCTTGACCAGATCGTCGGTCCACCTTGCTGGAGGCCTTCCCACGCTGCGTCTTCCGGTCCGTGGTCGCCACTCGAGGACTTTACTGCCCCAACGGCCATCTGTGCTACGAGCTATGTGCCCTGCCCATTGCCACTTCAAAGTCGCAATTCTTCGGGCTATGTCGGTCACTCTGGTTCTTCTGCGGATCTCCTCATTTCTGATTCGATCACGCAGAGAAACTCCGAGCATAGCCCTCTCCATGGCCCTCTGAGTGACTCTGAGCTTGTTGATGGGGCCCATAGTTAGCGACCACGTCTCTGTTCCGTAAGTCATCACTGGCAACACACATTGGTCGTAAACCTTCGTCTTGAGACACTGCCGAAATTTGGACGAAAAGATATATCGGAGCTTCCCGAACGCTGCCCATCCGAGTTGGATTCGACGATTGACCTCTTTCTCGAAATTGGATCTACCTATTAGTTAGCCCTAAGTATACGTAGTGATCGACAATTTCGAGTGTAGAATCTCCGATTTTTACGGGAGCAGGTACGACATGGACGTTTGACATAATTTTCGTCTTGTCCATGTTCATTTTAAGACCTACTCCTTGTGAGACTGAGGTCTTCGAGCATTTTGCTAAGGTCTTCCAGGGTCTCAGCCATGACCACGATATCGTCGGCAAATCGAAGGTGATTGATGTACTCGCCGTTAATGTTGATGCCCAGCCCGCTCCAGTCCAGAAGCTTGAAGACATCTTCCAACGCAGCGGTAAACAGCTTTGGCGATATGACATCGCCTTGTCTGACACCTCGCTGCAGTTGGATAGGCTTCGAATTCTGGTCATAGTGGCGTTTTCATACAAACATTTCAACGCTTCGATATATCGATAGTCAATTTGGCACCGCTGGAGAGACTGTAGCACAGCCCACGTCTCGATCGAATCAAAGGCTTTTTCATAGTCCACAAACGCCAAACAAAGTGGCAGGTTGTATTCTTCGGTCTTCTGAATTACCTGCCGCAGCGTATGAATGTGGTCTATGGTACTGAAGCCTTTTCGGAACCCGGCTTGTTCGGGAGGCTGGATGTCGTCAAACCTGCGCGCGAGACGATTCGTGATGACTCTCGAAAACAACTTATAAACATGACTCAGCAGTTTTACGGTTGCAGGCGTTTTGCCCTCGACTATTGTGAGTCTCTTGAAGAACAGAACCACCACACCCCTTTGCCATTTGCCCTCGAGGATGACGGAGTTGAATTAGGATTTTCTACCTCCAGCCCTAAGCTCAGCAGTAACTCCATCAGCGCCCGGCGCCTTGTTGTTTTTAATTTGTTTAAGAGCCATACCAATCTCGTACAGGCTGACGTCCGGGATATCTTCGGTATAGTGTCGGGTTAATTTGGCTCTAGGGTCTTTCGCCATGTTGTTAACAGGTGCCCGTGTTGTCGTGTATAACTGTCCATAGAACTTATCAATTAAAAAGTTCGGTTATAAATAATTTGATCCGTCTTAAATGTCTGTCCGGCAGCCAGATCCCTGTTAAAGACTTTTGAGCCCTTGTTTCTCTCAATAGAACACAATTTGTGTTAATATAAGTCACGAGTCAAGGACTTAGAGATCTTACCTGCTAAGTTGCCGATACTGAGAAGCGTCAGTCGGAGACTGCAGGACCATACTTCGCCTTTCATCCATCAATTTGAGGGTAGAGATAGATATTTTTCTGGTTCTTTCTGCGCGGCGGGTTTTGAAGTGCTTAGACCCAGCCGCACGGACAGTTTCCACGAACCTGTTGTTGTAATCGTCCACGTCAACGCAGTCACCAAGGCTTTCGAAACGGTTTTGCAATTCTAGCTGAAAGCTTTCGGGGTTTTGGATCTGTATAGGTGTAGGGCGGAGCATAGATTTCATTAGTCATCGTTCGATTTCAGATTCAGATTCAATGTACAATCCGGTGATCATATATATCACAGAAACATCATTGAAAATCTGTCTTCTCGTTGACAAGATGAAAATCTCGTTTTTTGTGGCACCATCGGGACTAATCCACGTCCATTTCCTGTTCCGGCTTCCTGAAGAAGGAGTTCATCATAAAGAGGTTCTCCTTCTCCATGACCAGCATTTGACCTCGGAAGTTCCGATATAAATCAATTGCCCCACTCTCAGCTCATCACCGCTTCGTTTGCCCAATTTTGCGTTAAAGTCCCCCATGATAACGTTATAATGAGTCTTTGTACTATGTATGGCTCTGGAGATATCCTCATACATAGCCTCAACCTCATCGTCGGAGTGCGTCGAAGTTGGAGCGTACACTTGGATGACCTTCAATGAATACCGTTTGGTAATTCTGAGTATCAGGTACGCTACCCTAGTCGACACGCTCTCGACCTTGATAACATTATTCACAAGGGACTTGTGGACGAGGAACCCGACACCGCCTTGGGACAGTTGATCGCCCTCCCGGAAGTAAAGCAGATTGCCCGATTTCAGGACTATCGAGTCCTCCCCTTTTCTTCGGACTTCAGATAATCCCACGACATGATAATCTGCTCAACTCTTCCTCCAGTTCAATTAACTTTTCGTCGGTCCGCAGTGTTTGAACGTTGTATGTTGCCAGGGCCAGTGGTCGTCGTTTGTGGTAGCCTGGTCTTACCCGGAGATTCTTCGCACCCCCTGCCCCGCCGTTTCCATGACCGCTACCATGATCAAGACTAGCGGGGCCGCCGGGGACTGGGGGCCGGGGCCTTGGGTGTAAATTCATTTGGGGGGATATTGCCATAATCGCCACGCTTGGCATGCGGGTCGGCGATCGCAGTATGATGGTAGGTACTCAGTAGGACGCTGCTGCCCGTCCACTGGTCGATGAATCCCTTAGTCGCCTTTTACGACACCCACGGGAAGAGAGGGGGTGGTGCTATTCTTACAGCGACACCACACGCTAGTATAGAAAATAAACTTCAAAATAAAAATTAGTGCTGGTTGGTAGTTTGTATTCACACGTTTCGACTTGTAAATATAAACTTTCAAGGATTATTTAAAAGAGCAACACACAAGTTTCTTGCTCGTTCTTCTTGTGATGAGACAGCTTTCCGAACGAGCGGTAGATAAAAAAAAATGTTATGACTATTCAAAAGTGCTTAAATTAAGCACTTTTGGGTAGTACATAATTCATACAAATACATAGATTTTTTTCTTTGTAAATACATACATATTATCTATGTATAATATGTATGTATTCACAAAAAAAATGTAAAAACCTAAAACTCCCAGACCAATATAAATAATTGTACTCATGAATACAAATGTTTGTGCCGTGTGAGGAATTGAACCCGCAACCATTGGATCTAAATTGGTGTGCTATACTGCTAGACAACTGAGGTTGTCAAAAGTTTATTTTACTCTTAAAATAAGACTGATATAAGAAATATGTGATACTTTGAATGATTAATGTTAGCTACATTGTAGTCTCATTTTTTTCTTTAAATGCATCTGCTCTGCATACTATAGCATGCTGTGAGTGGCCATAGATAGACATGTTGCTACTTCTGACTATACTTACAAGCTTTATATTTAATGAGAATGTTGGTCTCAAAACTGATCATATAATCATAATTAATATTTTCCCATAATAAATTGAATATATATGAGATATTTTTATAATTTTTGGTATATACTTAGTAATTATTTTGATTGAAAATATTCCTATATTGGCATATGACTTTTTTTGTAAATAAAAAATAGTGTACAATGTCTTATTGTTTGTTTAATAATTACAGATACAACAGATGGCACAGAATTTGACACTTTGGAATTTTCACTCAAAATCAAGTGTACAAACAACAAGACACAGCTAAAAGATTCTTATAGACCAGAAGACTTGTATGAAAACCACAATGGTAGATTATTTATATATTATTCCTTATATTATCATAATATAGATCATAATTCAATTTTCTTTACACATTTTACCAATTTTCAGTTTATTCCTCTCAAATAAAATGGCACCCAGTTGGCAATCAATCTTCTGTACACAAGGAAGTTGATATAGGTCCTGTGCATGGGGATATTTTAATATCTAAAATGAGGCCAGGACATGAGTTAGACCTACATTTAGTTGCTATGAAGGGTATTGGCAGTGATCATGCCAAGTTTTCCCCTGTAGGTGAGTATATATGCCTTAGTAACAATACTTTTATAATTGTTAAAATTATAAAGTATAGATATATAAAATATTTAAGAATAGTACCAGAGACATGCAAAAAATAATATATATAATAAGCTCTGTTAATGTTTATTGACCATACTTTCCATCTGTTTACCATCTGCTGATATAATCCAGTTGCATAAAAAATGCATGTATTTGTTTACTTGTAATAATACTTACCTTTATAATAGTATTTACTTTTACTTTATGTAGTATGATGCAGCAGAGACAAAAAACTTAACTATATCACACACCTCTATGGCACCATCTGCCTTTATAACTTTAATAATGTAATTGTATAATAATGTAAATATATGTACTTATTTAATTAAATATTTTCCAGCAACCGCATCATATCGTTTATTGCCAGAAATTACACTAACCCGTGAAGTATCAGGCACTGACGCAACATTACTACAAAGTTGTTTTTCACCAGGAGTTATAGAAATTGATTCCAAGGGGCGAGCTTTTGTAAAAGACGCCCGGTATGATACCTGCAGTAGAAATGTTTACAGATATGACAATATTAAGGATGCAGTAGTTATGAGTAGAATCAGAGATCATTTCATATGTAAGTATAAATTGGTTATTTCTTATAATTTAAACTGCATGCAATAATACTAATGCACAGTTTTTTTTTTTCAGTTAATGTGGAGTCAGTAGGAGCCATGTCACCCAATGTGATATTTATAGAAGCTGTTAAAGTATTGAGGGATAAATGTAAATGTTTATTAGAGGAATTAAATACATTATAAATTCAGATATGGTTTGAATTTATTTATGCAATAATATCTATCTGTGTATACTTCTAAAGATGTAAATAAAACGAACAAAATTCGAATATTACTGCATTTTTATATATAAGATTTTTTTGTAAATACGCTGTATATCGACATAGGAAACTACCTGACCAATACAATCATATCGACTCATTAATATAAATATTTGCATCTTGTGAAAAGTAAACCCATAACGGGTTGAAAGGAATGCGGTATGCTAAATACCTTAACTGCAGAGGCTCCAGACCATCATAGATATACCTACAACCCTTAAAAAGTGACAATCATAAAAGATACTAATGTAATTAGAATATTTGTCTGAGGATTAGGCCCTTTGAATAGTACCGTCTGAGTTCTATTTTTATTACAAATTACAACTAATATTATTTCAAATCTTTTGGTTCATAGATTTAGAATATAAAAGGGAAAAGCTTTGTGTTATTTTTATTGCTCATCATAAGCCGTAAATTACACGGTAGAAAAACACTTGTGAATAAACCCCTTTTACATACCTCTATAAAACTATTAGGCCTCTTGAAAATTAATGACGTATGTCGATTTATTACATAATCATTGAAACTGATGGCAACATTATTTATATCCAAAACGTAGCATCAGTCACTCAGTAATTGTTTTGTCACCACTGAATGTTAAAGTTGAACCATTAAACTCGGAAGAAAAATAATGCAAGCTTCATATTTTTAGACACACAAATAGGTAGAAGGTACATAATATTCTACATTAATCAGACACCGGAATAAAAATAAAAATTATCAGTAGATATGTCAAAAGTGATCATTGCCGTCCATCTAACTAAATTACATAGTTGCATCATACATAAATATATGACTGTATAGTTGGTGTAATGGCAACGATTGATTTTTACCCGAACAGTTCTTATTGACATTTCCAGAAATAACCGCAATATGTTATCAATGTAGTAATATACTTATATCTAGGGTAATAAATTGTGCGCACCGTTGTTCCCCTTTTAATTAATATTTGGAGAGCAAATTTAACGACACGTTCATAAGCAAGCATTGAACCAATAAAGTATAGCGAAAGTACCAGTGTCCCCCAAAAGATAATCTGTATCAACACGGACGGTAGGTACTTATGCAACAAGACAAGCGTCTCAGTGCCGCTCGCCAGCATCAGTGGGCTCTGCGCCACCAACAACATCGGCAATCGCCAACAAAACTGGTGGCATTACATACAGGTCTCGTGTATTAATGTGATAAACTCGTATTTAAACTAATTGTGTTACTGTAACCACTAGACTTAAAATGTATTTGTTAAAACTCTTATCACTGTTTGTGTTTACATTCGCTCTTTCTGGCTCAGGTGAGTTTATTATAAGTGCACTTAGCTATACGCGAGTGATATTAGCAATTAATAAATATCGAAATATTTCTATTATTATATATAATCGCACCATAAAATTCGCACTATAAAAGAATATTAATATAGGTACACTAGACGTATGTAAAAAAATAGTAAGACTTGTGAATACGTTATTAATTTTTTTTAGGATAAATATGAAATAGTACATCCGCCTGCACTGAGGATAGACGATAGTAGTGTAGGATGAAGTCGTTACCGGCGAATACTCTAATTAAAATAAATTATGCGATGTCCTCGAGGTGACACAGTCTGAAGATCGGGTAAATTGTTAGCTTTGGGGCTTTTAGTCCCCATTAGTATGTAATATAATCTTATCGGTGTTATGTTGTAAATGATATTATTATAGTGTATTATGCATACCTACATATACCTATATAAAACAACATTATTTCTATATATATTCTGTCCAGATAGACACCTACTCAACTAATTATTTGTCATAGCTATTTGACAGGAATACTATATTTTTTACCAAACTATTTGTATTACTAGAGAGTAAGTAGTAATATTTATCTATTCCAACGTTCTTTATCGTAGTAATTTTTACAAGTCCATTCTGAGAAAAATGCCAACGTACCTCAATCTGTTAAGGGTCACTCCGCATGTAACCAACCGGTACTTACAGATTGCATAATGTTAATTAAATCTACTGTAAGTGAGTGTGTTTATTTCTTATTATTTATAAATGTAACCGAACAGATCTGATTTCATATCTATGTAAGTTGTTCTATAATGAATAATTTACTAATTGTAATTATGTAATTTAAGCCGTACCTACTAGCTATTTATCACGGCCTTACCGTCCCGTTTTTTCTTAATCCTGTCAAAAGTAGGTACCTACGTAACTTGTATATTCCTTAAAAAATATATAGACTCCATATAAAATTAAACCTAGATCATCTAATTTTATTAGTGATGAAATCAAGTGTCAAGGTCTGTCCTAAGGCTGCTTGGTCGAGTTTACAATTTAGCAGAAAAATTCGTCAATTATATCTACCTATATTGATATAGAATCTGTCAAGCGCGTCGTGGTCTAGTAGTTCATTATCATGACTTAGAGACTACAAAGGTCATGAGTTTGATAATTTAGGATTAGATTTCATTTACTTAGAAACGTAATAACTTAAACGATCCATCCATTCATAATATAAAACTCAATTTCTTGTAAACCCTTCAGACCATGAATGAATGAAAAGTATGTACTTGCGACCCTAATAATATTATAGTTTATTTTCTTTATTTATACTGATTTCGTCTCAGATAGTCCCTATCTACTAACAATAATATCTTTTCCATTGCTATTTTGCTACATTCCAAAATGCGCTCAAGTTGATGTCTTTTCTTCGAACGTAGATGTAGATAATATATATTGTATTTAACGTTGAATGCTTCATGAAACTTCAATACCATGTCACAATCAAACCTGATGTTTAAAGTTATATTTACAAGACATTTTAAATTTTGTACCATTCATACATGTAGTCACCTGCCGCTATAAAAATTATTCTGTTCAACCCCGCGCCAAGATTCATCAAAATAATTTTAGTAATTGAAACTCGACATAAATTATTAATCTGTATAGCTAATAGAATTAGGTATAACTTGCTTATTTACCTTCGTTAAGTAAGAATTATCAATTTCTAATTAGGTCTTCACTTAAAGTATGAGAAGGTAGGTAGGTTGATTAGGTCATGGGAGTAAGAAAATATCATAGTACAAGTAGCTTTTTTAAAAAAATTAAACAATAATAATAAGTACTTTTCCCTTATAATTTATTTCAGTTACAGATTTATTCATCTCATACACATTAGCCTACAAGCAATAAAATATATCTCTTTTTTTTCAACATCTTTTCACTTTCGAATTGAACTGTCACTGTTTTTACGGTCAAGGGTAGACTGCCATTATACCTATACCACCTATTTCAATATGTAGGTACTAACTCAATTATCTATTCGAATAATAAATTAATTGAAAGTCTTTGCCTAAATATTTTAATTTTTTATCTCAGTTTTATAATACTTCAACATTATTTAGTTATAATTATATATTTATTTATGTCCATAGTAATCATAATACAGTATTATAAAATATTGTATATAAATAATTATTCTTTATTAAGATAATCATTATCATTACCATTACATAGTATAAAACAAAGTCGCTGTCGCTGTCTGTCCCTATGTATGCTTAAATCTTTAAAACTACGCAACGGACTTTGAAGCGGTTTTTTAATAGATATGTAGACTGATTCAAGAGCAAGGTTTATGTATATACCTAATACATGTACACCCGTGCGAAGCCATTGCGAGTAACTAGACATTTTAACCTATTATTTTCTATGACTTCAATGCCTAATATAAAATGCGATTGTTGGTGTGGTCAATGAAGGAAACCACTTTTTCTATTTTTTTAAATTAACCATCCAGAACAAATCCGGGGACTTTAAGTTTTTATTTTATTTTATTTTATTTGGGATACAAACAGTTTCACAATGTAGTATGTATATAAGTACATAGATATGAATTAATAATAGTAAAACCAATACAGATATCCACGGGTTAATACTTATGTTATGTTACTCTTATTATTATATACATTATTTATTTACTGGTTTCTACTTAATATGTCTAATAGGGTTTTCTTAAATTTAAAGTATGACAAATCAAATATATCTAAATCAGGAAATTTGGTGTTAAATACATCAACAATATGGTGAAGAGGCGTTATCATATATAGACATTTATTTCACAGATCAGTGTAGATTTAAGTATAATATAGAAAGTAAAATAATTGATCGTATTGATCATCGTGAATGACTATCAAATGTATTGCATTTGCATTTAAATTGCAATTTGATGGCCGGTGTCGGTCGGTGAACTTCAGTTTCTATACTTCAGAGGGCACGTTAAGCCTTTCGTGTATATGTACCTAACGAAAATTAATTTGTCAATCATATTCAAAAGCTTAATAGCCCCATTAAAGTTTATTACAGCATTTACCCTATTTGTCCCTGACCTTAAAGACCATACAATTGATTAGAAATAGAGTTTTTGTTTGACTGTTACCACTACTAGAATCAATGAAAAAATTACAATATTTCTTTATTACTTTGGCATAAGAGAATTAATAAATAATCATAAATATAATCAATTGAAACCGACTATTAACAGAATATATGAAATATGATATGATAGAAAAAATATAATTTCATATGTTCTGTTTATAGTAGAGTCAATGATAAAAAAATAACAATTTCAACCTGGCGATTAGATGGAGCATAATGGTAATAAAAAATATAAAACATGTAATTTTTTGTTTGTTTCTAAACCTCTTTGAATAAAACTACTCAATTAGGCAATTCAAAAATTATTAGATATTAAGACAAATTTTATAAAAATCATTGTTTTGCGTCACGCACTATCACATTGCTGAAGTGCTACTATAATGCTTTTTCATATATAACTGCAATGTACAGATTTCTTGTTATACGTATGGCTGAGTATGTTCTTACTGCCAGTTACTACTGGCATACAAAATAAGATTAAATAGATAAGTGATGTCAAAGGAATGTGATGTCTCATTGTTATGAATACTTCCAATAAGTAAATTTTATTAATTGTAAATAAATAATGGTAATAACAAATGAAGTGAAGTTGCCGGAATTCTGTGCTCTAAATGTGCCTGAAGTGAACCTATCGACAACGACTCTGATGAGTGCTGCCCCGTATCTCGGCAAAGCATGTGAATCCATTAACAACGAGTTCATGTTATGTCGTCAGGAGCTTAATGATCCACGGCATTGTATAGAGCTGGGTAAGCGTGTTACTGCGTGCACGATGGAGTTCTTTCACAGAGTTAAAAATAATTGTTTACAAGAATTCAATCAATATGCTACTTGCATCGATAAAAGTTCTGGGGACTTCAGTTTTAGACATTGCCGCAAAACACAGGCTGTATTGGATGATTGTATGCAGGAGAAGTTGTGCATGGCCCGTCCTGACTTCGGGTACTTTTGTCGCCCTCGCATCCACTCGAGCTCGAGTCCACAACCAATTGCCCCTCCATGCCCGTGTCACCCGATGGTACCAGATGCGACTCCCTCGTTACCGGATTGCAAGTCTCGTCCACCGCCACGTTTTGGCAGTAGATTTTATTGGATGACAGAGTGACTCAAAGAAAACGTATTTGTTTATATATATATTTATATATATATAACCATTGTATCATCATAAAATAAACATATTACAAGTATATATTGGCTTGAACTTCACCTACTTCACCTATTAAACTACTTTAATTTAGTCTAGTCACCATCATGACACCTAAATACTGTAGGCACATATAATATTTACCGAAATAGAAATAGACTTTAGGTATACAAAGTCGTCTGTACGGGTACCCCTGTCTCACTTATTTCAGCTGTCAAGTACTTTTTTTATAATATGTATTTTGCTTAAAGAGATAAGGTAGTGAAATTTCAGGGTACAAAGATATAACATCTTAATCCTCAAGAATGGCAACCCGTTAGTCACATAATCAATCGATACACGCCGTCCTGTTTAGCCTATGGTTACTACTTACCATAAGGTGAACCGTAAACTTGTTTCACATTCTAATTATATAAAAAATAGACCTAACCTGCTGATGCTTGTTGTTTAAATATTAACATATCCTAATAATACATATTTATGTATCTGTTACAGAAATATAATCATTGGTATATTCGATGACTATGGTACCTACGTTATTTCAAAAGTTCTCTATTTGTACTTACGGGGATCATACAATACATTGTGTCTACGACAGATTGTAATAATATGTGGTTATATGTACCACGTGGAAGGAGATGATTTTACCGCAAACTGTCACATTTAGATAGGTGTAATATTTATTATCTTACCTGTGCTTTAGGTTATATCTGACTTTATGTTGGGTAATATCGACTGATGGATATATTGGAATAAATTAATGGGATGATTATTTAATTTAAGATACTAATTTATATGTATATTTGTCATGATTTAAAGCTAAAATACTAGTAAAACGTCTTATGAAACACAATTATATTGCTAATTGGTATCTAATGTTGATAGTTTCTCAGTACGTTCACCCGTGGAAAGTCAGCATTTATTTCAAGCAGTTGATTTTGAAAATTGCAGATATAATGTGTACAAATAAAAACAATTACCTTTCAAATATGGGGCTATCTAATAAGATCTTATTGTAAGACGGCTATGTAACGGAGCAGATTATAACTGAAGCTCTTCTCTTTGAGGTTGACATCTGTCTAACTTTTGTATTCCTGAGTAAGATTGCTTATATTGGTATGGGCGTTATATATATATATATATTTACGAGAGGTAAAATTAGATTATGACCACATTTAAGAAAATGCATATTGAGATTTAACTGACGTTTAGATAATATATAATGTATAAATCAAAAAGTGCTTGTTTACCGCGGCTAACCCCAAATAAATCCGCTACTACATAAATTTATAATTATTTTTCTGTTCACGTGAAGCTTTCTACATACTATACAATTACATACATATAGGTATATAGATACTTACGTGTGTTAGGGCGAATTACTTAATTTTCATAATTTCGATCGTAACTGAACTTGTGCCGGTGAGCTTGTGTTACAACATTGCTCTGTACCTCAGTACGGTTCAATAAAATTGTTTAACGAATTTAATTTTAACCTACTTACTACATTTTCATTGACCTTACCTGATGCAGCACATTGTCACCTGACGCCGGTCGCTGTGTCAATAGATTTCCCGGCGCCTTTATATAGCGCGCTATTGATGAGATGAACTTGAGTGTATCTTTTTGTATTAACATTTTAATGTCTATTTCAAATACGATAAGGGTTAATACTAATGATGATTTATGAATTCGGGAAAATGAAGTACATTTAGATTACGTTTACACCAGCAATGCATTTCTTATACAAATTGATGTAGACTCTACCCATCAAAAACATAAATGTGAAATGATAGCCGAGTTTAATATTATGATATATACCTTGATTGTTGACTTCTACGACAAAAGAGATGAGATCTAAATGGGTGCAAGTTCAATGATCTGTCCTGAAATGTATTTATAACAATATAAAATATCATTTCTTCTTATAACTTAGGATAATATACTGTAGCCTAAGGTCTAACTTGGCCAGTTCTCATATACCAATTATTACTTTCGATTGCTAGTTACTATTAATATTAAAATAGGAACCGACAAGTAACATGTTTAGAACTTGCGAAGGCTACAGTATATTTCGTATATGAAAACTAGCCAAGTTAGACCTTAGGCTACAGTATATTATCCTAAGTTATAAGAAGAAATGATATTTTATATTGTTATAAATACATTTCAGGACAGATCATTGAACTTGGCACCCATTTAGATCTCATCTCTTTTGTCGTAGAAGTCAACAATCAAGGTATATATCATAATATTAAACTCGGCTATCATTTCACATTTATGTTTTTGATGGGATATCATTACTTTTTGTACATAAATTATACGAGGTACTTATTTATAACTAAATTAATACCAAATTATTTTTGATAAATTACTGTATTTTCGTATATTTACGGGGTATAATTGTCTTTTTTTGTGTTATTTTCTATATTTTCTTGTAACTTTTAAATGTTCAAGTGCATTGCCAATTCAGTATCAGGAATTTTTGGGCAAATCGGGGCGGTATAACGTCCACAGATGGTTGTACTCTACAATAGAGCTCTCGTGACTTGGATCAAAATTGTTAAGACGTACTAAATCTAAGGTTTTAACTCTAAAGAGTCCAACGTAAACCTGCCCTTTATTAAATATAGAGGAGGCTATGTTGAGAAGAGGACTGCCAAAACTAAGGCCTTGTGATTTGTGGATAGTAATAGCATATGTTAAGCAAATTCGGAATTGTTCTCTATCAACAGGTACATTATTTAATATCTGAAACTTGGTATTGACACGTTATAGTTCGTAAAGACGATTATGTAACAAATTGACTGATATCTATTGAATTCTCAAGAAAACAATTTGTTACCAATAAGTTCTCATTCTCGAGTTAACTGTACATTCCTACTTATAACTATACTAAAATTGTTATTAATTTTTGGTTTAAACTATTGTCTATACCATACGTATTTACTAAAATAATGTAATAATAATATAATCACAAATATATAAGTATAATTTAAGAAAGCTATAAATTTCGTAGCATAAATCGCAACCTTATAGGTTAGATATCCAGAAACAAAACATTGAGTTTTATCGCACCGCTCCCACACGGCGCCGCCGCGGCGCCCTATACCGAAATACCTATTATTTAATAATTATTTATAAAAAAATGATTTTACACTATCGATGTGCGCTAAATATTGAAACAATAATTAATACCAAATCTCAGTTAATAACATATTAAATTCGAAATTCGACTATACTCCTAGTTATAAGTACGAGTATATTTTAGACAGAATCTAAATTATAGCAACTAGTGTTTACCGCTCAATGCAATATTTGAAGTTTGCTAGTTATCGACACTGATGTGAAGGGGTCAACGTAAATTGGTGGCTATCGACGTTTTCATAGAATTTTAGTATTCGTCCAGTATAAGTTGAAATAGAATCAATTAAAGTGAAAAATTGTAGTAAAATGATAACAATTTACCAGTTTCAGATTTTTTCCTTTATATTCACCTAATTACCTATCTGCATACCAAATTTGAACTTCCTAGGTCATCTGGAAGTGGGTTATAATTTTGATCTATAGTTGATCAGTGATAAAAATGACGATTTTTGGACTTTAATATCTAAATAACCGTTTGAGATATGTTTATGAAATTTGGAACACATATTTATCTCGCAAGTCTCAATATATGAACCAAATTTGACAGGTTTGTGTGAAAGAGTTTTTGAGTTATGAGGGGGTCAAAAGTGGCTCCAAATGGTTCGTGTAAATATACACACGGTGCTGCAAGCCAGTTTACTTGAAACTCGGCTTGACACGCTGCCGCGTGTCTAGATGAAGAAGAATTATTTATGATAATCAAAATCAGCTCATTCTGCACAAATTTTTCTATATAATCATTGTCTCTGAATGTTAATTTATTGCCAGTTTTTATTCAAATGTACACTAATAACATAATGCATAACTATGTAGTAAAGTTCGATACGAGGTTCAAACTTCCCAAGACGATATGTAATAATTTCATATTCCACTCAGTATATTCATGTTTTCGGTTACTCCAAACAATATTACTACTTTGTGAAAGTATTGATCAATGCATTTTTATATTATATAAGATATAAACTATGTAGGCTGTATTATATATTTACATAATCAAGGTATATAATTTTGTAAGTAGCGTTAATTATTTTAACATTGAATATTTTTATATCTTTTTCATCGTTTATTTTAGAACCTGGAACTTGGAAATGAAAATTAAACCTGTATTCAGAAAAAAGAAAATAATCATTTGCGTTAACGGGGCCTCACAGAGAATGAGTTTTAACTTCGGTTCCAACCTAGTACCTAACAATAACTAAACAGCTTTTTCGACTACAGTTATTATTGCTTGCATCATACAACACAAACTATATAGAGAAACTATTAACAATTTTCAGACTGTACCTACGTTAGGTACCAATATCTCGCTGCCTGCAAATTGCTTGTCTTGTACAAAAAACACTCTAACCACAATAAAACCCGCATAGAAAAACATTGAAAATTAAGCTAAAAATAAAATCTGCTATTCAAGTTGAAACCTTATTTTTGGAATTATCTAACTGACTTCTCATAATTTTCGTAGATTCAGACCTTGTACCTAATCTAGATGTTTATTTTAATTCAGTGGAAATAGATATACCTACTTCATAACTAATTATTTGAAATAGGTATTGCGAAAATAGTTTTGTTGTATACCTACATAGAGTTAGAGGAGTACTAACCTTGAAGCAATTGAAGTATCAATATCTACTTTAATTAAATTGATTTCACGAACAATCCAACATTATTTTAAACGCTGTTGTCCTGCAGTAAATTGCTAATTAGAAGTCGAATCCGATAAGAATAATCAAAGTAAAGTAATTTCGATAATAAACACTATTCACATTTAATCAAATAAAATAGCGTCTTACTTTGTTATAATATAGCGTAGATTATTTAAATTTAATTATTATAATAAATTGAGAATAGAGAGAAGAATTAAATTTTATAGTTACTGAAGGCCATACCGTGTTTCTTGAAAGTTACATTTCTGTCTGAGTGTCCCCACACACTTTTTTATAATAATATAAGTGCGCCAAATTCATACCAATTGTGTTTGGTAGGTATTTGCGTTATATTAAAAGAGACATAATGATTGCTCAATGCTTCTTAAACTAGAACACTATCCATGAGGTAATGTTACTAAGTATGATAATGACATTCATAAAAATTAAAACTGGTGAAGAGTGAGCCGTTTTGTGCAGAGGGTTCCAAAAACACAATGTAAACAGATTATTTTATATAATAATGACATAACTTAGACTCTAATTAGACATATAGGAGTGTGATTACAATTTCCTAAGGTGCTTATAAAATCGTATTTGCTTGTAACAGGACTTTTTAAAAGTAGAGCGTATGCTTTTTTAACTGGAATTATTTTGTACAATCACTTCAGAGTGCGGCTGTAAGTTTTGTGAGGAATGGAGAAGACTAAAGTGTCTAACTTCACTTACAAATCGTGTCTATGTACTATGTAATATTATATTATCTGTGCTATGTACGAACAAAGTCATACCGTTAGAACTCTCTTTGTAGCTTTTTATACGGTATCCTAAAAATAAGCAATTATTCAAGAGAAATAATTAACTACGTGTTTTAACGATTATGTTTAAATAAATTCTACTAAACATAATTATTAAGCCGTATTACAGTAAAATACATTTATTATTGAATAAAATCTATACATATAAAAATAATATATATAATATACATATAAAATTGGAGTATCTGTCTGTAATATTGAAATAACCGTTTCTTATTACATGCATATGAATATATGTAAATACGGCACATACACAAAAATAATATTTTTTACAATTTTTGTGTGTCTGTTTGTTCCGGCTAATCTCTGAAATGGCTGAACCGATTTTAACGGGCCTTTTTTTGCAGGTAGCTGATGTTATAACAGGTAACTACTACGAGGAATCGAACCCGCGATCATCGGAAGTAGAGCGGCCAGCTAAACCGCTAGACCACCACGGCCGTCAGATTTTATGTTAACTTATATTACTTTCATTACCGGTTTTATATTAACTTATATTACGTTCATTACAGGTCGATCTGAAATGGTTACGCAGGTTGTGGCTTATAATAGCATATCATAATTAATATATATTATTTTCTTTATTATCGAGAACTCTGGAATAACATTACTCAATTTATAGAGTTTTATTAAAGAATAAAATTTATTTTACTTTAATATGTTGATTTATGTAACCCTATATTGTCTACAGCCGAGGGTCAGTCACTAGCGTGCCCGGCGGTGCGCACCAGTAGCGGATGGCTGGACTTATTTCCGTTACCTTGCAAGAAACACGCTGAATGCAAGGTAATGGGGTCACTGTTCCTGTGCTGCAAAGGATTCTGCACGAAAGGCATCCAGAAAGCCGCTCAGCAACGGTTGGTTGTCATGTCACAGATGTATTACGAGAGATGATAGATAATTAATTGTTTACAATTGAGTTTATTGTAACTTTCATATGAATATACATACTACTAAATATCCTAATAAATTTACTTTAACTTACTTAATACAAAATCAGAGTACCTAGAGGTATTATCACTTATCTACGTTGTTTTGAACAACCATATGACTTGCCTCCAATTTGCTGAGAATATTTAAATCCAATATATGCAGATTATGATCCTATATGTAGTCAGTCTTTCGCATACATACTTTAAAGCGCATGATGTTTACTATTTATATAACCACAGATAAGAAAAAAGTGGCAATTAAAATAGTACTAACCAATAAAATTACTTAACTACACCGCTTTTTGTATATACAAAACACTTCTTTGGCTGCAGGTGCTTCATTTTCTCTACTTTCAGTTCAGTATTTTCACAATACTACTTAATATTTACTTTCTCTACACTAATTGTTACTATGGATACTGCACTACGCGTATTTAATATTTCTCTAAAATATTTCTATCCTGGGTATTAGAACTAGGAATATTTAGGACAGCAATCCCTACGAGATTCCGTAGGATATGGTGCGTATATTATCCAGCCTATCTATATTGTATACATATATTTTTCATAACGTCCTGCATAGGTGCATATACTGTAATGTTTTCTAATTTATTACAAATAAATACTACCTATGTTAGGTATACATACTCTCTGACAATCTGATCTCCATATTATTTGTGACAAACTCATAAAAACATTCCTTTTCATAATATTAGCTTACCTAAGTCATATCATAGATAACATAATACAATATGCACAATACTATGCAAAAGTGGTTAAGTTATATAGACAGATAGACAGCATCCTAACATAATAGGACTTGCGTCATTTCACTCGTAATTCAACATCTTCTTTGAGTGCCCGAACAAAGCCGGTGCGGTAGCTATTGTAGCCAAAATAAAATAGGTACTACATATAAATTACATATACCCATATATGCAATATTATATTATCTGTGGTATTAATTATAGCCTGTTAGGAATTATTGAAATTGGCGCACTTGATTTTACGGAATAGAAAGATCCAACAGTCACGTTTGTTGCGTATTACGTATTGTTCACGTCGTCAGTATAAAATAAAATAAGATGATGTTGAAAGAGCCTCAACATTCTACAGAAATACGTAGATATGGCTGATAGGAGTATGTAACTCTATTGACGACTACAATATTCCTATTATAATTATTTGTTGATATTCCTAATGATTTATAGTTTCAAGTTATATGGCTGATTAATTTATTGCTTAAAATGTATCTCATTTATTATATTAATAGGAAAAATTCAGTCATATCAAATACCATGCAAGAGGATTAGGTGGATGTAATGTGTGATATACCCAATTCTGATATCAAGGATCTTTATATTTTGCCTAAAATTTGGTTATTCTATGTTTTCGATATCAGATAAAACTGATTACAATTGATAGCTTTCCCAATATGTATAAATATTTTACATTTGGATCATCTTGTAAATTTTGATGTTTCAAACGAGTAACGATTGCAAACGCTTCACTTCATCTATGTCATATTATGTTATCTACTTCAACCAAGTCTGCATCTATAAGCCACATGAAAAAACCCAATACCTATAAAAGTCAATCAGGATTGAACTCAACCTTAAGCATTGTGTAATACTTGCAGTAAATATTAATGTTACGAGTATATTCTTTTTGCTCCTACCTACTAGTGGGAGTACGGTGAAACTCAGGAAACGGCGTTTAAAGCGAGACCTCTGTTGTATGTTATAGGATATCAATCAATCATGTTTAGTGCCTACGGTTTTTATAACTGCAGTTATTAAATATTGCCTACCTACTCGTAGAAAATTAGTGTCCATTATGAATGCAGTACATAGACATTTAGGTGGGGTTAAAAATGACGTCGCAATTTGCATTTTACATTCGACTTTGTGCAGAAGTGAATGGTAAAGGTACAGGTTAAGCCTGCTGAGGTCGACAACTTATTTTGTATTAAATTTTGACCTAGTAGGTAGGTACTTTATGTTAAAAACATATAACTGCTTAGGTATTTATTATTAATAATAATTAACTAAACATTGATAAAAATAATACAGTCAATCAAACAGTCTCAATATCAGACAAATCATTGATGTCAATGAGACCAAAACCAACAGGGCTCGTTAAATGGAACTCGGTGAATGGCGACGGGTGCCACTTTGCTATGGTTGTCTGCCATTACAGTTGCATAAAAAGGTCACCTAAAGTGACATACCTCAGACTTCTGTACTGTAATAATATACATGGACATACAGTTTTACGTATATTTGAGTTTCATATGCTCTATAACGTATCATGTACAATGACACAATATATGAAGTGCTATGACAGTCAAAGTTTTATAGTTTTTTCATCCAAGCTCCCATTGGACAAGTGTAATGTCTAACTCAACTACAATGATGTCTCTATGATCAATGCCGTCAAAATTGGAAGCGATCACCGGATGGTAAGAGGCACATTGAATCTGAATCTGAAACTCGAACGATCCCGACTGGTGAAATCTACGCTCCGCCCTACACCTATACAGATCCAAAATCCCGAAAGCTTTCAGCTAGAATTGCGAATGCCTTGGTGACTGCGATGACGTGGACGATTACAACAACAGGTTCGTGGAAACTGTCCGTGCGGCTGGGTCTAAGCACTTCAAAACCCGCCGCGCAGAAAGAACCGGAAAATATGTATCTCTACTCTCAAACTGATGGATGAAAGGCGAAGTATGGTCCTACAGTCTCCGACTGACGCTTCCCAGTATCGGCAACTTAGCAGGCAGATCTCTAAGTCCTTGACTCGTGACTTACGCCACTTTAACACAAATTGTGTAAAGGAGGCTATTGAGAAAAACAAGGGCTCAAAAGTCTTTAATAGGGATCTGGCTGCCGGACAGAGCCAGCTGACGCGACTTAAGACGGATGATGGCAGGTTCGTATCGTCTAAACCCGAACGTTTGAGGGAAATTGAGAAGTTCTATGGACAGTTATACACGACAACACGGACACCTGTTAACAACACGGGGAAAGACCCTAGAGCCAAATTAACCCGACACTATACCGAAGATATCCCGGACGTCAACCTGTACGAGATTGGTATGGCTCTTAAACAAATTAAAAACAACAAGGCGCCGGGCGCTGATGGAGTTACAGCTGAGCTTCTGAGGGCTGGAGGTAGACCTGTTTTACGAATCCTCCAGAAGCTATTCAACTCCGTCATCCTCGAGGGCAGAACGCCTCAAGCATGGCAAAGGGGTGTGGTGGTTCTGTTCTTCGAGAAGGGAGACAAATCGCTTCTGAAGAATTTCAGACCCGTAACACTGCTGAGCCATGTTTATAAGTTGTTTTCGAGAGTCATCACGAATCGTTTCGCGCGCAGGTTTGACGACTTCCAGCGTCCCGAACAAGCCGGGTTCCGAAAAGGCTTCAGTACCATAGACCACATTCATACGCTGCGGCAGGTAATTCAGAAGACAGAAGAATACAACCTGCCACTTTGCTTGGCGTTTGTGGACTATGAAAAAGCCTTTGATTCGATCGAGACGTGGGCTGTGCTACAGTCTCTCCAGCAGTGCCAAATTGACTATCGGTATATCGAAGCGTTGAAATGTTTGTATGAAAACGCCACTATGTCAGTTCGCCTCCACGACCAGAATGGCTTAACTGCAGCGAGGTGTCAGGCAAGGCGATGTTATATCGCCAAAGCTGTTTACCGCTGCATTGGAAGATGTCTTCGAGGTGCTGGACTGGAACGGGCTGGGCATCAACATTAACGGCGAGTACATCAATCACCTTCGATTTGCCGACGATATCGTGGTCTTGGCTAAGACCCTGGAAGACCTTAGCAAAATGCTCGAAGACCTCAGTAGAGTCTCACAAGGAGTAGGTCTTAAGATGAACATGGACAAGACGAAAATTATGTCAAACGCCCATATCGGACATGCTCCCGTAAAAATCGGAGATTTTACACTCGAAATTGTCGATCAGTACGTATACTTAGGGCAAACTATCCAGCTAGGTAGATCCAATTTCGAGAAAGAGGTTAATCGTCGAATCCAACTCGGATGGGCAGCGTTCGGGAAGCTCCAATATATCTTTTCGTCCAAATTTTCGCAGTTTCTCAAGACGAAGGTTTACGACCAATGTGTGTTGCCAGTGATGACTTACGGCACAGAGACGGGGTCGCTAACTATGGGCCCCATGAACAAGCTCAGAGTCACTCAGAGGGCAATGGAGAGGGCTACGCTCGGAGTTACTCTGCGTGATCGAATCAGAAATGAGGAGATCCGCAGAAGAATCAGAGTGACCGACATAGCCCGAAGAATTGCGGCTCTGAAGTGGCAATGGGCGGGGCACATAGCTCGTAGGACAGATGGCCGTTGAGGCAGTAAAGTCCTCGAGTGGCGACCACGGACCTGAAGACGCAGCGTGGGAAGGCCTCCAGCAAGGTGGACCGACGATCTGGTCAAGATCGCTGGAAGGCATTGGATGCGAGCAGCGCAGGACAGATCGTCGTGGAGATCTTTGGGGGAGGCCTATGTCCAGCAGTGGACGTCTTCGGGGCTGCGATGATGATGATGATGATGAATGTGTAACTAGAAACATCTATTTTGTAAAATACTTATGTCTATATAAGTTATTTTCTTAAAATGGAAAATTCTGACACATGTCATTAGACAGGTTATTCATATATATATAAATATTTAAACTGGCGACTGGTGGCCAGTATATGACATATTTAAAAATATAACCATACGGCGTCGGTTGTCTACCATTTTAGTCCACCTTACTTACGATTATCGCGGGTTCGATTTCTCGCACGTTTCAAACATTTGTACTCATGAATATGATTGTTTGTACACAATATACACATAGAAAATCTAGGCGTTTTCTAAGGGTATAATGTATCTGTATTTATATCAATCGTGGCATCATCTATGCCTGCTCTGTGAATTCAAGGTCCAAGGTTTATTATTCGATTTAATCCCTGTTTGTCCTATAGTTGACTGGCAAAAATGGCGAAAGGTGTTTTATGTAAGCCATATGCACTTTTATTTATGTATTTGCATTGAAACTTCGATAAATAAATTATTATTTATTTATGCTTACAAATGCATAGATATGCAATTTAAGTGTCCCCTGTAACTAAAAGTTGGTATTTCTTACTTGCATGTATTAAAATTAGCTTAGATAACCACAGATTAAGATAACACCGATAATTATAAATCCGTTTAAACGACTTACAGATATCCATTTATGCAATAACTAGGAGTAACCATATTCTCTACTACATAGATTTGCAACCTGCACTGCACTTTAGTTATGCTTGTAAATAGCGGTTTGCACAACTAGTGTATGAAATATTCAACCCTAATACAGAGTTCAAGAGTTACCATATTTCAAAATATCATCTTTACGAATATACCTACCTGTTGTATCTTTCACCTATTTACAGACAGAGGCTGATAGGGTAAATTATTGACATAATTAGAAACTTCCATCCGCCCAGTTTTGTCTTCGACATGCCTTTTTCGAAAATTAGAAAACAAGCTGCCCTTTCCAATTTTTCCCGAATAAGCTGTGAGCTTTATTCTACCTACTCTTTACTGTACTTGTAAACTAATAATCAGAATAAGTCTTTTCATTTCATATGTAGAAACTTTATTTGTACAATATGAAAATCAAATCATTTAATTTAGGTGAAATGACTGACAATTCAATTTAATGTTAAAACTGAATATAAATTGATTTATATGCTTTTTTCAAGTATCCTAGCGACTCATTCGTCTTTAGTATAAGCATACGTCACAGAATGTCTCCTAATCGCACTGAACATACACATTGTCACGTAGTTTCTAAGCGGTGGTAGTTTCTTTGTAGACTGAACACGCAAGCCCAGAGTAGCACCATACAGGCAACTAGCACAAGTACAAGTACATCCAGCACCACCACCACAACTACCACCACAACCACAACTACAACTCCGAGTACCACCAGCTCAACCACCACGACCACTACTACCCCGAGACCGCCGCCGCCTCCGCCAGCGTTGGAGGCCCCGCGACCATTCCTACAACTTTTGCCGATTCAGTCTACTGCGGCCAACACTCCGAGGGCTAATGCTGCGTCTAAGACAGGTAAGATTTAATATATGATAGAAGTTTATCACAAATATATGTACAGAACTTCTCGTAAATTCTTCAATTTGTATGTTTTGTATTGATATTTCACATTTGTATGTATGTTCTATTCATTTTGTTAAATGGTTTCTACTCTAAACATTAGTTTATTGTCAGTTCTCAGCTCAAACTGTGGATAATGGATTCTGAAATAAATGATAGATTTATCGTATCTACACTCGGTAAATTATTTAACTAAGCGAGTCTGTAATAACCCTACAAATGTGTACGATACAAGTGTACCTACTGTGTGTACTACAAATATTATTCATACTAATAATACACATATGTGTTGATTAGTTGATTTTTTGAATACACATTACCTAAGTTTATAATATACCTAATGCAGTTTGTTATATTTTCCATCAATTATACTATATTCATTCATTCATAATTTAAGAGCTACGCTCTTGTCGGTGGAGCTCTTGCCACCTTATACTATAAATCTACATAAAACCTACATTTCAATAAGGTACTGTAGTTTTCTGTATAGTTAGGTCATTAACATTTGCGGTAATGAACTAGACATTTTGTTTTTAGGATCTAACATAATATCATCTGACGTAACTTTTTCCAATACTCATAATACTGCGTCGGTTTACGTCGATAACGTGGATTACTCGAGCACAGGAAAGACGCAGAAACTGGTGTGTCCGAAGTCGGCTCCCGTGGTACTGTTCCCGATACCATGTGAGAACAATGCGCAGTGTCGAGCTAGCAGCGGCCCTGGCCAAGTGTGCTGCGAGGGTCGCTGCGTAAATGGAGTACCGGCACCGAGACCCGTCACGGCGCCCAAGCCGCATCAACGTATGATACTTTTATTTATAAACCATATTTAAGTTAAATTTTAACGTGTCATTTACGAGGTTCGTTATTTAAAAATATATGAAGCTGTTCTATATATTTATTATATACATATATTGTTTTTTAACACAAAGGAAATAAATACGAGAACCTGCATTAAATAAAATTATCAACCCCTTACCTACATAGAGCATATTAATAATAGTTTTTATATCTACTAACAAAATTTAGAGTAGGTACTATAATACAGAAATTAATTCTAATAAAAGATTAGTTATATCACAGGTAAGATAATATTACATCATTATATTGATTCAAGGATAACATTTTCGTTCCAATGAAAAGTAAAGTTTCATGCTACGGAACACCAAACTCCCAAGTTGACAGACTCACAAGCAACTGTACCTACCTATATTGTATTGTTAACTCATAGCATCTTTCTCACGTCCTCGCAATTGTCATTGTTAATAAATTGTTACAGCATTACTAGGTGTGATACCCCGAGAATGTCCAAGTGCACCGCTTGGGGAGTTGCTATTTGAAGTGCAGTCGTGTAAAACCGATGCAGATTGCTGGCCACGCATCTGTTGTCCCGATGGGAACCGCTCCTACTGCCGCACGGCTAAAGCCAGGCTGGACCTCGTACCCGTAGCCCGGCAAATTGACGCGCGTTAGTACCATTCATACAAATACAACAACGTCAATTCAACGTCCTTGATAGACGAAAAAAGGCTATTGTCTATAAACGATTTTGGAATATTTGGAAGACGTCGTACAAGGTGTATGGCGTTAGTTGTCCAAACAAGGGATTTTTCATGTTTTAAATTTGTTTAATATATAAGCTACGTAAACGAAATGTTAAAGATTGAAACTGAATGAAAAATGCACCAGTTGTGTTCTTCTCAACTGAAATAGCTAGTCGATTTGGACTGAAGGGTTTTTATGCTAATTTAAAAATAACATCTCTATTTTTCACAGCGGTAAGAATGATAGAGCAGTATCTGCAATGTACAGCACCACCGCAATATGACTTGTTCCCTAAGCCATGCAGCTCTAGTGTAGACTGCTTCCCAAGCTTGTGTTGTGCTGAGGGCGGTAAAAAGCACTGTCGACCGCCACAACGCAGTCTACTATCTCTTCTTGCTGGCGTTACACAGGTACAGCCCGAATGGTTGTAGCTAAATTGATACATACATTATTACTTTCTCGATTTTCACAAGTCTGATATGACGTCATAAGGGCAAAACTGAGTGTTATTCAGTAATATATATTACGACCATTAGAGAATTTTCTACAAATCAATCAAATCGGAATTATTTTAATGGGAATGTAAAGTTTACATTCCCTTAAAATAATTTCGATGATCAATAAGAAATGAGAATCAGCATACCTAGCCGCACCGAAATTTTCGCCCTATTTAATTTCTTTACCTATTGGGCAAAAAGTCAATACGTTTTTTCTTATTTTTTTTTTTTCATTGTTTGGAATATGTTATTTTACATATTATTCTTTTTTTACAGACAATTGGATCTACGTTGGGTAATCTGCGACAGTCACAGGGACAAGCAAATAAAAATAAAGTTTAATATTTATTTTTTAATTATTGCATTTAGTAAATATTATTAATATAATTTGTCGTCTATTTCTAACATGAATATTAAAACGGTAAACAAAGTATTTTTATACTAAAAGTAGGTATCGGCAGTTTGATCGATAGATTGTCCTACAAAAGTGCGCAAATTCACACGATATTTGTTCTTATTGAACGATAGTATTGAACCTAGTCTAAAATTGTTACTGAATTCACGCAGATACATAATTAAAAAACATATATACGGTTGTTTTACTGGTTGTCCATAGCCTCCTGTAAATATTGGCATTTGTAAATAGTTACGATCAATGAACTATTGCTGCATGTCATCTACTCAGCATTGGAAAGATCGGCAATCGCGAATTTATTTGATTGTGGGCTAATGACTGCTGCAACATGCTCTTTGACCCTATAAGGTATTCAACGTTTTGTTTGGCCATTATAAGATCTGCCGCAATCTTCTGCCTGGGTACCTCTGTTTCACCTATTTCAGCTAAGCTGTTTTGATTGAAGAGTAATATAAATATAAGGGATATAATATAAGGTAGTGAAATTATAAATAAGAGATATCATATCTTAGACCTCTGTAATGGCAATGCACGAGTTTTTATTTCACCGACACACGGGTAAATATTATTTATCCGTGTGTCATTTTACGATACACTATGTATTTGTGTAAATGAGTCAGTTCAATACGCTACCACATGAACCTCTAAGAAGTCTTTCTTCACTTCCATTGTATTACTGTTTTTTTTATGTAACTAATATGTTAAATCTTATTGTTATATTTATAATGTTATTCGTGATCCTAAATATAATGCTCTCAGACAAATTATATTAATAAACCCTAATATTACTGACGGTATTGTAATATATTAATTTATAACTATGTACATTCATTTTATATTTTTATACTTACTTTTGTACATATCGGAAAATAAATAAATTGTAATGTTAATCCATGTTTCTGTTTTCTGATCTGTCACTTGGTACTAAACCTTTAATTATAAAATACATTTAGAAAATACTTTTCTACAATACTTACCTAGTTGTAGTATATGTGACAACTTTGTTGACATACTTTGCATTATGAATAAATATTATTGACATTATTTATACAAATAGATGAATAGTTAGGAGCAGTAGTAGGAATCATTGTTATAAATTTGATTCTATTTCCCAATTGCTTGTTTGAATACTGTATGCTATTTACAGCATGTACCAATATGGATGTTCAAAAGAGGTTATATGCCAAGACATCGCATTATTGTCAAATAATTAGTGGACTAGGGTTTTATTATTATGGAGTTTATTAAAATTCAACAAATAAAATTTTGAATTTTGGGGATGGCAGAGTGCAGGGGTAATACAGAGTTATGTCATACCTTATCATAATAAATTAGAAATTTTGAAATTAAGAATGTTGAAGTTGGAATGTATTGAAACAATAGTATACTCTGTTATAGTTTATTAATTTATATTAAATGTAGATCATATTTAGTCCAACTGAAACAAAATAAAAAAAAAAATTAATTTTTAAGATATAAAGATCTGTTAACTCACAGTAGCAGTGCATTATATAGGTAATTTCATGTGATGTCTGTGGTGTTAACAGTTAACTCTTACTGTAAGATGGGACCTCAGCTAGCTCACCATTCCAATTAAAAAAAATATACTAATTGTCATTTGCTTGATATAAATATGAACCAAAGAAATGTGAATTTAATAAATATAATAATAATTACAATATTGACTTGGTGACACACTAAAAAGATTTTTTAATTGTAAAAATAAATATCATCTCCTAGGGTAAAAGTAATTTAATATATCTGTTTCAATTATTACTTAGTATTTTATCAATAACTAAGTGGCACTTGTGGGGGGGAGTTTGTAGACAGTTATTTAAATAATATAGACTCACAAATAATAAATGTACTTACAGTAATTAATGATTATGATTAAATATATATATATAATTTATGTGATGTGATGAGAATTTTGTAGGCCAAGTATGGATTGTGTCCGTTGTGTCTTTAATGAAAGTGGGCCAGTCAATATGAATAGAAATATTAATAAGATGATATACATGAACATGTTTTTAAAACTTCAATATGGACCTACACTATAAAAGTTATGTTTTACTACTATTATAAAGAAACTGAAATTCCAAAACATGGACTTGAGAATTCTTATAGTCTGAAAGGAATATTCTTCCAGTGTGACAATGGTTATATTATTTTAACATAAAAAATCACAAGTTATGAATACATAGAATCAGAACTGTTTAATTACTAATTGATTCTAGTATCTGTGTAACCTGTGTCAATAAAAGTGAATGCTTATGTTATGTTATACATGGGCTCTCATAAAAAATGCTAATTACATATACATATATATATTTAACTATTGGACTGTTATACCTTTTTCGAACTATTTACTTAATTTAATGATTTTGGCGGTCTTAGTTTTTAAGATAGTTTTCAAACAGTACGTTTTCTGTTTATATAAATATATACTAATAGATGACAGGATGTTGGCTAAATACTACTAAATCATAGTCATAAAAGTGTTTCATAAGGATGTCCAATTTTTGGAATATGTAAAATCAATTACTCAAAGTGACCATAATAAGTATACAAGAATATATAAGTACCTTTTTGAAGCCAATGTCATGTGCATATTCTCTGAAGCATTGCCTGCAGATGTTCAAGCCATATTTGCGGATAAGTCCGTGTCTATTCGAGCAGGCTCGACTGAAATAAATCTGCTTATTAATACACGTGTTCTAACCTTCCATCTATCTCCAGCTAACCATAATCAGATTCATAAATATTAATGTTATAAAGCGAATGTTTATACCATGAACGAGATCCTTGGCCGTATTTACGAGGATGGGAGTACCAAATATTTGCGTGACCCATTGCGAAATTATTATTTCCGCTAAAAAATTCACAGCAACAAAGAAAAAGGCCGAAATGGCGCTTACACAGATTATAAAAGAAATAAAATTTGTGTTGCCCTTGCCAAACACAATAGTCAATTCCAGGGTTGCCAACCTTAAAACAATAAGTGAAATTAGCTAAAAGTAATGACAGTGTACAAGTAAATAACACAGAATAACTGTTAAACGATAATATAATTAATGACCAAAATGAATAATTCAAAAACTCATTAATTTATATATTTTAGCAATACGGAAACTCAATAGGAATACAGTAACAACATGCAAGTCACACTGTTTTTTGTATATTCAATTCAAATACACATCGTCTGCCTTACTAGCCAGATTGAACTGTAAATTCTTCATAGTATTATTATAAAATTATTTCCTATTAGCAAATAGTTCGGCATGGTAAGCGCCTGAAGGCTTTGTCAGGAGCAGAGGCTACGACTACCTATGATGCGGTGCTTGTTTCATCATTAAAAAGGGATGGACGAATACTAGAAAACTAGTTCATAACAACGTATATTTTATTTTAATATATTCCAATTCTTTATCCATAGATACTATCTAGTCTTTATCTGTACTGACTGAACTCGTCATCGCCGGTTAACCCCTTTCTAAAAAAAAACAATGTCTTATGGAAACCTTTCTAGTCCTTTTTTTTATCATTTGACATTTCGTCTGTCTTATGTGTAATTTCGATTTATTTCATTTGTCGTCGTCATTACCTCATTTTTTTTATTTTTCTTGTATATGTATATATGCGTTAGCAATTAGCATATCTACTATATTCATTTACCTTTGATCTCTCCTGAATTTGTGTTCTATGTTGAAGTGTCGTATTTTTGTAGACATCAGGTACAAAATTAAATTACATATATACATTGATAAGCAACTAATTCCTTGATTGTATTATTTAGAGGTACCCGGTACCGAAGATACTTATCAATTTGGCTATCTACCCAACCTGTTTTTTATGATTATATCAGATGTATTACATGATAAAATCGTAAATGAGCAATGGTTGTACATTCAATAGTGTTTCCAAAAAAGTAGGTTGTGGTTATGTTACTGAGGTCAAAAAAGTAAGTTTTTACATCTTTTCTATGTCTGTTTGCTTGTACACGCTATACTCGAAAACTTTATAGGAAGAGGTTTTCACAGAGGTTGTAGGTTTCTCGATAGTTACTTCTTGTTTCATATTTTTTGGTATTTATAAATTGAAATTAAGAGAAAAATTTATGGAATATAAATTAAACAAATATCTAATTAAATAGTAACAATATAGCTCTACAACTTATTCTAGATTGTCAATAAATTGGTGACCTCCAACATCATGGTGAATGTAACTTTTGACATGTCTAAATTTCACTAGCTATATTTGATTTCAACAGAACTAGTGAAATTTGGACATGGCAATTTGGAGGCTTGCCTCCCACCATATCTCAAATTTATTTGGCATGTTATAGGTATTTTAATTGATGTCATCAGACAGTAAATAAATATCAGTGTTATTTGGTTACATTCCTTTAATTTTCAATTTCAGATTAAATAGATTTCCAAGATGGGCTTTATATTTGGAATTCTAAAGAGATTAATTAAATTAGTAATATATTTTGCAGTATTTGCTGCAATAATTGTTTTTATTCCAAATTTGCCACCATATACGAAGTTCACAGCTATAAAGTAAGTTAAAATGTGTTTTATCAGTTTATATATATATATATATGCAGTTTATATAAATGTAGATTTTAAGTACCTGATTATATGTGAATTACTCAACTGTTTTAATTTCAATTAATTTTAATTTGTTGTTTGTATTTAGTTATATAAATATATGAATAAATGAGATGATTAAATGTGCTTTTCTATGGAACTAAAATATGGTTATATAAAATGTTATACATAAGTCTATGACTAGAAATTGTACTACATCATATTTTGTTTTGGACAAATACTTTTTCCAATATATATTTTTTTCAGTGATTAAGAATTAATATTATTTATATTAACAGATTATTAATATTTAGCTTAGGGGCTGTTCAAGTATTACGTAAGCAGATTTATCACAATTATTTACCCCCCATCCCCCGTTGTCAGCAAAAGTAAGCAAAGCTCTTACCCCCTCCCCCCATGCTTACGTAAACATCTCTCAATTAATGTATTGTTTTTTTTAGCAAAGACAATGTGAGGGTTGCCATTCGTGTAAAAAAGTAAATTACGACCGATGACGTAATCATCATACAGACTCCCCCACCCCCATGTCATCCAAAATAAGCAAAGAAAAGACCCCCCCGCCCCCCTATAGTGCTTACGTAATACTTGAACGGCCCCTTATAAAATAATACAATAAGTAATATTTATAATTTACTTCCCCTTTAAAGTATTTTCTATGTTATTAGAATACTAAAATAATTAATTGCTATTCATATATTTTCAAGACCTCTGTGGTCTAGCCATTAAGCACATTGCTTCACTTTCAATGGCTGGCTCAATTCCTAGCATTATATAAACATTTGTATTCATGAGTATGAGTGTTTGTATTAGTCTGGATGTTTTCTATGCATGTACAAAAAAATAAGAGTATTTTTGTCTGCACAAGCTCTGCTTAGCTTGGAACTAGATGGCAAAGTGTGGGCTGTCCAAGGTTATTATTATATTGGAGTAATAATAAAAAATCTACTGTAATAATTTTAGGTTGGAAGCAACCCTACCACAGGTAGGACCACTTGCAATCAATGGTGCTTTGAATAATGCTGAGAAACTTTATAATGGAAAGTTACTTGGTCCAGAAGCATTCCAACTGCACAATGGTGAAGTGTACACTAGTTTAGCTACGGGTGAAATTATGAAAATTTCACCAGGTGGTCACCTTACATTTGTGACTCAAATTGGAAAACCATGTGGTAATGCTTCATTATATAATTATAATTAATTATATTTAATATTTAACTAAAAGACCCAGCAGGTCAATCAATAAAGCAATCAGGTATAATCAATTATGCTGTATCAACCAGGGCAACCCTGGCTGATACAGCATTTAATTATGTTTTCAAATCATCCAGGGACCCATTAAAAGATCCTGCAGTAGTTTGAATACTATTTATATAACAGAGAGGTTTGTATATGTTTAACCTAAGTACTACAAAATTAAAGTATTGGATATGAAAATAAAGTATTGGAATATGGTTAAACTTCAAGCAGGTAGAGGTGAATTGGGTTTTGCTGGGTAGGCTCAATCACTTAATACAGTTTTAAGTATATTTACTATAATTGGTCAAAGATTGAACTCTCATCCTGCCATAGTGTGGGGATGTTTGCACCTACTGGAATCGGTCTAGTACTATGATTTGGTTCAAAACTAACATCACAATATAGAGAAGTATATACAAAAAATAGGTATATTTAATATTTATCAACAGAATCATGTCAGGTTTCAAAGGCCAAAAGCGTTTAAATAGGTATTCTTGTGATTTTACAAATTACTAAACTGGTATATTTTGTATTGTTTAGTTTAGAACATCTATTATTTGCCTAAATATTGATGTTCGATAGTTATTCAAATGAGTTATATTATTATTTACACCAAATTTTCTCAGCCTTTGCTGGTTTTCTACACTTTATTATTATTATTATTCAAATTAGTCATATATATTACGTGAATAAATTGGATTATTAATATATGTACATACTTAGAAAATAATGCCAAAACTACTACTACTTATTTATTAACCAAGTTAAATTCCATTACTTTTTTACTCTGTCTAGTTTGGTATTTTTAATAGTAACATTACATTGACATAATATTATAATTATAATATTTTATTATAGCTTAATCCCCTAATGTTTACATTAAAGGATTGAGTTACGTCTTTTAGTTCTTAAATAAAAAAATATATTTTCATGCACACCATCTGGTTTGTTATAAAAGACATTATATTTTAGCGGGCATTCATCAAGAACATATTTGTGGAAGACCACTTGGTTTTGCAATCGACGAGAAAAAGAATACATTGTATACAGCAGATGCATATCATGGCATTTGGTCAGTGGATTTAAATACTGACAAGAAGCAACTCTTAGTATCGCCTAATGTTGAAATTGACGGGCGAAAACCAAAGCTATTTAATAGTGTTGCACTAGCTAAAAATGGAGATTTATATTGGACAGATTCATCCAGTGATTTCCATTTAAGAGACGGCGTCTACTCAGTACTCGCTGACCCTAGAGGAAGGTATGATAACAATAAAAAATGAAATCAATTCATAGATCCAATTTTTTTTTAGTTAATGCAGTTTATTGTCTTGTGCACTATATCAGCACCGAGCATGTCACAGAGTTCACTGGGGTATACCTGACTGCTCTACCCTATAGTAACAATGTATATTACAGAAATCTTCATTTCTTAATATTATAATTTAATGAAATCTATACACTTGTGCTATGCTATGTTTATTTTATGTTTATTTTTTAATTATGGTAAATTAAGTTTAATTATATGTATATTTTATTTGCTCTTTTTTTTTCGTTTGTTGTTTATATTGTATTTTTTACATTGCACTGAATAAAATATTTTTCTTTCTTTCTTTCTATAGAATTGAAAATTAAACTTAGGAAGGACTATCATATTTTTGTAATTGAAATACAATATAATTTAATGAAATATTTATTTTGTCAGGTTGTTGCAGTACAATTTCGCCACAAAGAAAAATACAGTTCTTCTCGATGATCTGTGGTTCGCAAATGGCATTGCTATTTCTTCTGATGATCAGTTTATAGTTGTGGCAGAAACAGGACGTCTCAGGCTTCAGAAGTATTACATTAACGGGCCCAAGAAAGGGCACTCAGAAGTTTTTATAGCAGGCTTGCCAGGTAAGTGGTATATTATAATATTTTTAATAAAAATTAGTCATGCTGTCATGAAATCCGCTGAAAGTTTCTTAATCATGTATACTTGTAACAAGCCAACAGCAAACATACAAAATATTTGAAATAAAGTCTAGATGTCTACAATGAATGTATATTTGAATGCTAAGTATACATAATAATAATTTTAATAAAAATTAGTCATGCTGTCATGAGATCCGCTGAACAGTTTCTTAATCATGTATACTTGTAACAAGCCAACAGCAAACATAAAAAATATTTGAAATAGAGACCAGACATCAACAATGAATGTATCTTCGAATGCTAAGTAACTGTCACGTGACTTCATTGCACCATACAAATCCAGCAGATGACGCGCTTTGACTACTTGCTTCAGTGTTCGGCTTAACGATTCATGAATGTGTTTTATTTCAATATAATATACATTGCCTTCTTGGTCAGTACCGGCCCATTCAATAACTTCTTCTTCATTTTTATGCTCTCCATCCTCGTCTACGACGCTTACTTCAGTCTCATCGTCATCTTCTTCAGTAACCTTGTTTTCAATCATGACATAAACAAACACAAGTTTGGAGTTCATAACACTAAAAGTGTTATCCATACAAAAGACATAGTCGCCGTCCGTCTCCAAATCCATTATGATGGAGTTTTGTGACTTCTTATAATCTGACAGTAATGGTACACCCTGAGGATTTATGATTTCAAATATGATGTCCAAGTCCCCGTGTTGCCCGTCAAGAACTTGATAGAATACCTCCATCGTTTGCCCAGCCTTACCTGCTTCGAAGAAACATGTCTTTGATCCCGGGTCCACTCTAAAATTAACATCATTTTCGTGTATCGATTGAGCAGAACACTGTACATATAAAACTATAACGAAAATGTAGAAACGTGCGTGATGCATTTTGTACTGTTTTTCAATTACGAGTGAAAAATGTTCTACATATTGCTATTTCTATTGTAAGACACGTTAAATGATGTTTACTAATGGGGGCATTTCATTATCAAATATTGGTTCATATCTAACTACACGTTGGAGTCGTAATTATGTAATAGTAAGGAAAATCGGTATAATTACATTATTTCTTACATATAACACATTGTCTGTTATTATATAAAAAAGATGTCATATTCATATAGATTTGATCCATTATATGTGATAATGTTATACCCCCGTATGTTACAGTAAATTGTTTACACAGTTGTTTTAAATGTTCACGCGCATGTAAGTAAATACAATTCAACAAGTCACAATATCGACTAACGAGTATGCCGTAATATAAGTCTTCAAGTCGGTGGTAGTACATATTTCTACTTACAAGTACACCAACTTGTATTCTTGTGCAGGTACGCCAGACAATCTACGTGCTTTACCTGACGGCTCTGGAGTGCTAGTTTCACTGTTTACCACAATTGATGTTGACCAACTGAAGATCTACCAATCCTTCTCAGAGGCACCCTTGGCCAGGAAGTTTATAACACGGCTGATTAAACTGATTGAGCTACCATTTGAGTATCTCAATACTTTGTACCCACATGTTATTTTGGAAGAAATTGTTCACAATGTTAGTACTTGTATAATTTATAGAATAAACTTAAAATTATGTGTGAACCATTATTGCCCATGGTTTCACCCACATGAAATTTGTAGCCTATGTGTGATGTATATTACTGAAGTTTCTTCGAAATCTGTTCAGTAGTTCTTGCATGAAAGAGTAACAAACATCCATCCAATCATAATTACAATCTTTCGCGTTTATAATATTCGTTACATATTGGCTCTTCCACTGTGTCCAGTTATAAGGACATATTTGGATGTGTGTAGGATGATAAAGGGGTGTTATGATGGAAGGTGATGGCTCTTGCACTAACAGGGGCATAAATGTATGGTAAGGTATGACATCAATAAATTCAACAAAAATTAACTGAACAGTACATAATATTGCTGGAAATGGGCCCAGTAATCCCCACTACTATTAATGTTAAATCTTTATGTAACAGCATGGCATACATGTTGATGTCCTCTCTTAGGGTAAATGGGAACTGTCATCTATATAGATAACATGAACAGTATAACGGATACAACGCTATCACGTGACGCCCGTGATTATTCATACGTTGCCATTTTGGAGGACTAAGAGTCTCATATGAGGCTGAGCTATGGAGACCTATGGAGACGACTATTATTCATATATATGTTTTAATCATTCTGGTGTATAGGCAATATCACGTCATCTTTAATTCAGAGAAATGGTTGAAAAAAAAAAAATTAGAGAACTCCATTTTAAATTATATCATACAAAGTAGCCATGATCTCTTGCCTAGATTATATTTGAATATAATATAATAAATATATGTATTTTATTTTACACGAGTGTGGTCAAGTGCGTGTTTACGCCATTTTCACCAAACTGTTTCTAATATGAAATAGTATGGTGTCAATCTTCTTATATATAAAAATGAAATGACGTTTGTTAGTCTTGCTAATACTCGAGAACTAATGATTTGGGTAATTTGGTGTTGAAATATTTGTAGATCTCTAAGTAAGTGGTGAGAAAATATAGAGAAATTCCATGGAAAATAGTAAAAACAACAATTTTATTCTCTCATACAAACTGTCTGTCTGAAACTGTCAAACAGAGTCCAATCAGAAATGTATTCGTAATTATACTTCAAAATATTTTTGACATATTATTTAATTCTGAGGAGGAATGGAGTTTGTAGGGTCAGTTAGTAGTGTAATGAAAGTTTAGGCAGTATGGATAGAAACACCATTGATGATTTTACAATCATTATTATAATGTAAATTACCTAAATTTAACTAACAAAAAATATTGTTTTTTTAATTTCAGATTGGTAACTTCAAAACTACTAGCAAATTTCATTTAGGCAACTCAGGCTTATTACAGTTAGACTGGAATAGCAATATTGTTGCTTCATACTACAACACAGATGGAACTTTCCCTGCACTTAGTGATGCTATTGTGTTTGACAACAAATTATATTTGGGCGCTCCACACAATGTTGAATACATTGGTGCGGTACCTGTTCCTCCAGGTTTGAAAAAGGCGTTTTCCTCGACCACAAAGTTTTCAAACAACAATGCTGCTAAAACTTCGTCAAATACTGATAATGCTAAACCAGTTAAAAAGGCTGAAGAAAAACTTCAGGATAAACCAAAGGTAGAGGAGAAAAAACCTGTAAATGTTGAAAAACCCGTTACATCAGGCACAAATCAAAAAGCTCAAGCTCAGCAACAAGCTAAGCCAGTTCCACCAAAACAACCTGAAGTAAGGACTCAGTCTCAAGCTCAACAACAAGCTAAACCAGTACCTCCAAAACAACCTGAAGTGAAGAGTCCAACCCAGGCTAAGCAACAAGATAAACCGGTACCTGCAAAACAACCTGAAGGCAAGAACCCAGCCCAGACTCAACAGGAAACCAAGTCAGTGCCTCCACAACAACCTGCAGGAAACAAACCAAATGTTAAAGTTGAACCAACAGTCAAAGCCTCAAATACACAATCAGGCAATAAAGATAAGAATACAGCTCCCGAACCACAAAAGCCTGTTAAAGTTAACCCTTCAAAGTCTCCTGGTAATAAACCAGTTCCTGAGCAAATACCAATCAGGGAGGAGATTCCATCAGATACTGTTAAACCTAGCAAAGAAACACTTAAAGTGATAAAAAAAGATGGACCGACGGAAATACCTAACCCCAGTGTATAATCTGGTAGACATATATTATACCTGGTTGTGTTTTATAGAGCATGTATAGAGACTTATTTATAAAAAAAGTAAATCGAACAACATTTTTGAGAAAATTATTAACATAATTGTACATTTTATTTATATATATATATATATTATTTATTACCATTTTTTTTAAATATTACTCAATATAATATGAAGAATATGTTGAAATGGCTGGTACCAGTGATATCATTGCATCATTCCTTCGCATTTTTTAAAACATTCTAAATTATTACATTCCTTTATAATTGTGTTATTTCATATTTATATGAAGCATTTATTTACGTAATTAATGTTATTCTATTTTAGTATGTCTCAAATAGATCGTATAAAATTTTTAATGTGTCTTTACAGCTGTTACAGATGACTAATCTTAATTATAAAGTCGCAAATTAACTCTAAATGATCTCTACTATCACATTTATGAATATTTTTTGTCTTGTCACAATTTATACAATATTAACTTATTCAGTTTTATTTATAGTTACCTTATTGAATAAGTACAATATAAAATTCTATATTACAATTATATTCCTAAACTAAAAATGAATAAAATTGTGAAGTTATCTGCATTTATCCATGGCATGGTGGCGGTTCGTTGTTTATTATAATTTTATGATTGTTATTTTTATACACGGAATAGAGCAATATTTATATAATTTAAGCAATAAATACGTTTTGAATATATATTTTTATTATTACATCACAATAATTACATTTTAAGTGTTGTGTATGAAGTCTTTTGGGATGACACCAAATGTATATCACCAAAACGATTTAAAAAATATAATTATGAATTTGTCTTACAAGCTGTACCTACACTTATCGTTGGGTTAAGCGCAAATAACACTAGTGGGTCGTTCTTTTTAACCTACAAAAAGGTGTCTTCATCAGTTAAAAAAATATAATAAAAAATTATCCGTATTATTTTATAATTCATGTTTCAATATGTACTGTACTAAAAATGTAACGGCTATACACGTTCACAATAAATAATCGTTTATATTTATATAATAAAAAATACGTTACAGAGTCGTCGATCCGCGTGACAGAGGTGTATTTCATACAAATCATAGTTGTCTCCCGCTACCTGGGCCTGTGTTTACTTCATAATGGTACGAAAAAATATAACGACAGTAGCAAATATAAAAGTATTTTTTAATTCTACAATATATAGTTCATTTTGTTGTACTGACTAAAATTTTTTGACATTTTTAATAAAAAAATCTTAGTCTTGTCTTTCACTACAGACTGTTTTAATAGGTATATTCGGTCATATGTTTTTTAATTCGAACGACGCGTATACGTGGGTCGCTTTTGTTGCCGTCGATTGGATATTTAGTCCTTCCTCTCCCTTGCTGAGATAAGCTCTCTAGGACTTAGATATTGCATGTAAGTCCCCCGGAATCTGTGTATGGAGGTGCGTGTGTTTATTCGGCGACAACTTCGTCACGTAAGTATTGGACAATAATATATCAATTACAGTTACTTCTTATTATTTAACTTTTGCGTAATAAGAAACACTTTCATGCCAACGTATTACGTTTGTATTTTGTGGTAACGTTTAAATATTAACAATTTTGTAAGTAAGATTTACCCCTCCGTCACGCTACTACTTCGTGTGACGAAGTGTGACGGAAAAATTGTGACGGAGTGGTAAAGTACGTGACGGATGGGTAAAAAAAACTTGCAAAGAATATAATATTCATTTTATCTCATAAAATATAAGAGTCTGTTGAAACAGGGCCAGTACTTATTATGGCAACTATTTCGTTATAAAGTTTATCTAGTGTTTTTCTAATGTTTACGGATTTATTTACATATTTACTTTCTCAAGATATTATTATGACGAAAAACAAGGCATTAACAGCAGAAAACCAGCGGCGTTGCCGTAAGATACGAAAAAGTTATACAGAAAAGGTAGCTGAAGTAAAACGCAAACATCTCGAGAGATATACTCGTAAGAAGCTTGTGGCTGACGTGACTGTGAGAGAACATCGTATGATGAAGAGAAAATAGCGACAAGAAAAGAAAAAAAAAACAGACGCTTGAAAACATACTGTTGAACACGCCGACTCCATCGCCATCCAGAAATACGTACTCATTCTGCAACACCAACTAATTCAGGACTAGCTCAAGAGGGAGGAAGAGAGTGAAAAGAGATAGAACACAGAGAAGTTATACAGAGAGAATATTAGTTTACAAGAAAAAATAGAAGAATTAGAGAGGAAAGTTCGAAAATACAAGAAAAGCTTGAACAGAAACGCCAAAAAAGATAGCAATAGCAAAGATGAAAAGAACAGTAAGAATGAAAACAAATATAGTGTCCTATCCAATGCCATTAAAGAACGATACCAAACTTGCATTTTTTTAAATCAGGACATGGAAAGGGAATTGCTAATGGTGTTGGTGGAACTTTGAAACGCCAAACTAATGCTATTGTAGCAATAGGAAAATATATCGGAGACGTGTTAGAATTCTTTTTCTCCATTCAAGATACCAGCAAAATTAAATGGTTTTTGGTGGCAGACGAAGACATAGACAATTCCAGTATTTTACCCCTGAAAGGAACCATGTAAATCCACCAACTGTTCTCAGAAACTCGTAGAATCTTAAACTTTAGGGTTTCGAGTTGTTTTTGTGAACAATTCTGTTCGTCGTTTCTAAAACTTATTGGCCTCTGCCTGAAACCGAATCCAATGTTGACAATATTTTGGATTAGTTGTTTCCTAACGAAAAAGATGTTGCAATTCATGAAGTGGAGGATATGTCGCTCACGATATTACGAACAAAATTGGGATGCCTCGAAAAAGATTTTATGATATTATGTATGAATCATCTGAGGAAGATCAGCCATTGCACACATATAAAAGCAAAGGTTCCTCTAATCCAACGGCCTTTTCTAATACTTCTTAAGACACACTTCACCTCAGGGCTTTTCATCAAAGGAATATAGAAGACGGTGTACATGTACTCGTTAAAGTAAAAAGTGAATTGAATGATCAATATACATACGTCACATAGGCGATGTTCTTGAAAACAGTCGATGATTGTGGAAGATTATTTATTAGTGGAGAATGACTTATCAGATGTTCTATATGAGGATTTGATTAAAATTCTACCAAATCCAAAGGTAGTTAAAAAAGAAAAGAGGTTTTTTGAATTTGATGAGCTTTTGCCAGTGTGCGAAAAGTAAGACTGACAAGTATGACTGATGAAAGTAATTTCTTGATGATGATTATTATTTTATTTTAATTTTTCAGTCAAGTTAGACATTTTTTTTATTTGAGACAAGTTAGAAGTCTTATAATTTAATTATACTAATACGGATCTCATTCCAAAGGTTTCAGTTGTAAAAATGTAAGACTGTCAAATATTTAATTATTCTAAAGAAGTAATAAATGATTCTAAATAAAATATTCATTTAAAACTAGTTTTATTCCAAAATTTAACCAGATATTATATAGAATAACAACTCTGTCACGATAATGCCTCCTGGTTTTAAAATTTATATAGCCATTTTAATATTTTTTTATGAATAGTACAATTTCGGAAAAATTATATTAAAAATAGTTAACTATAATATAATCTACGACATTAATATTTCTGTGCTAGAAGTGGTTAAAATTGAATTATAGCAAAAATATACTTCTAAAAAACTGCAATTGTGACAGAGTGGTATAAGATTAAAAATATATATTTATTGTTATATACAGAAGTCTTGCCTTGTAAGTTTTCTAAAAGGATCATTTGATTATTATTGTAAAAAGTAATTTGCAAGCTATCTGAGTTAAATTATTTGATACAAAAAAATAAAAGATATTGTGACGGAGGTGTACAATTATTAGCCCAATCCTGCTTTAAGGCCTCGAAAATCTTACAAAAATTTATAAACTTCGCGGCCAACAACTTTTTCAGATAGAATAGACATTCAGCTATCACAAAACATACAAGATTTGACTAGAAAGCGTTATATTTTTTTTTTTTTTAATTTGAGTAAAAATTTTAAGATCATGTAGGTTAAAAAAAAGAATGACCCTAGTATAAAGTATCAAAGAGACTTCACAAATAAACGAGTGGTTACTACTAGGGCTACCCTCCTTAATAATTATAATCCTTGTTTATTCTTTCACTAAAAAAATGTGTCATATGTATGTGTTCTATACATTATAAGCGTTAAAGTGATTGTGTCGTGTTATGTACCTCGCTCGATCCCTTCCCCTGTGTTAGACTCGTATCTGCTTCCGTCTTCAGCTCTTATAAAATGTGCTTGTTAGATCTCTTATATAAAATAAAACACAAAATCAACGCTGATTTTGTGTTTTATTTTTAATGGACCCAACAGAACTAAAATAAAAGACGGTGTGTGCCTATGGATAACTACACTGTATCACTATGTATTTCTTGAAATCATACTTGATACTTGTATTTTTAAATGAAACAAAATTTTGATACAAAACGATTTATTTCGTTACATTTTTTTAAAATTAATAAGTTAAGAAGGAATATAAAGCAAACAGCTTGACAATACTAAAGGTTGTGTTTATTTAATGGAATGTTAAGATGTTAGTTGGCCACGTCGTAGCCAAATAAGTTTACTAACTGAAAATTACATTCATCATATCATACAAATACTAATAAGAAATAAACCCTTCAATGTTATATTGCTATTTAGATAATCTTTTTTTTTATCAATTTCAACAATGAACATATTGAAACCGCATAGTTATTATCAATAATAAAAAATATGTACATTACCACAATATGCTACCTATTCGTGTCTAATTGAAATTATTGCATTCAAATTTCTATAAACATTTTTCTATTTCCTACGTATCTAAAAATATGATTATCTGCACTTTGACCTCAAGCGTCATAATATAAATTTTCATTGAACCTCTTATAATACTTTCAATATTAATTTACTATGTTGTACACTCGTACGAACATACAAATATATGTAATAAAACAATTTCAATCAGTCTAACTTTGATTCCCGACACATCAATTGTTTAATGGGCAAATATGAGATCAAGTTCAATTGCCATGTACGGAAAACAAGTGATCTGTTATAATCAACATCGCAATTATATTCAGTTTCAACTTGAACACTAATTTGACCGAGCCATTGGTTTGATGTAGTAACAAATAAATAAAAAAACAAAGTTCATAATGAGCATCTAATTAACGCTGAGTCTTCAATTTCCTAAGTACCACGTTTGTTAGGGGATATGAAAAGGCGGTGGCTAAATGAACACTTGCTCAGCGGCTAATGCGTCCGCAAACGGTTTGACAACACAACGTGTCGCGAAGTAGAAGATTAGTCCAAATGTAATAGATATAGGTAACGCTGGCAACGCTTTCTTGAGTATCGCTAGTAGAAGTAGAGTGAGACACAGCCCCTGTAAATAAAGAGTATCAAACTTTTTACAGTTGTAAAATAATAGTTTAAAAATATGTTTAATTGAATGTTTTGCTGCTTACTCTCTATGTATGTGACGGTAATCGGAAAAATATTAGCTAAAAATTATTATTAAATAATGTTTTACTTACAATTAGTATAGCTACAAAACAGGCAAGGGTGGTGTTCCAGTCCCCATACGAACTAGCCTTCCCCACCAGCACACTGTAGAATATAAAGTCGCCTAAACCCAGCTTCACTCCCTCTGTAAAACAACAAAATAGAAACAATGTTTTAGGATGATCACAAATAAATAGAAGAAAGTTACTTATTTTTACTAAAATAAAACTGCGGTAATAATAATATAAAATTTTGTAATATGCACTGTGTAATTTGTGTTTAATATATCACTGTAATTGAAAACTCACAAATTTGCTTAGGAATGTCATACTACAGGATAGTTAATAAAAAAATGTAGCACTATTTTGTAGTTAGCGCCAAACAGAGCTTCAAAGCTTTGTAGACAGATATTCATAAATAATAGTGCACTTGTCAGATATATATATAGTTAAGAGCAAATTAATTATTAAAATGTTCAGACTTCGATTACCTAAAGGGTTCACTTTTTTGACTAATTTTATTTAATTTCTTACGATACATAGCAACTTAGCATATTCAAAGTTATATGTGGTAGAAAAATTAGACTAGAGAGACTAGAGACTAACTCTCCTCATCCGCGTCGGGGGGCGGCTGCGGGCGGTCGAGGCGCGTGGTGTAGGAGGCGGGGGCGGTGCCGTCGACGCGCAGGCGGCGCGGCTCTCCCGCGGCCGCGGCCGGTCCCGAGGCGGAGCCCGAGGCCGGTCCCGGGGCCGAGCCCGAGGCCGCGCGCGCCTGCCACGCTGCGTCGAAGCCCGCAGCCTCGCCCGTGCCGCCCGACTCGCGGCGGCTCGCTTCCCTCTCCCGTGTCGCTGTTTGCGTTATACTAGTTACAATTGTGTGGATTCGAGTGGACACGCTTACACGTTACAACATGATTCTCTACGATTTAATACCTACATCATCTTAAACACTATAAATAAAATCAATTGAAATAAAATTTATTGTACGATAAAATTAATGTATGCAATTTTTTTTTAATAATTAAGTCATTATCAAAAATATTTTCTGTCAATTATAAACACATAATCACATTATTAGGTACTTAAAAATTCGTTTAATTATGGAGAACCATTTGTGGACTAACCAATTTAATTTATTTGTCAATTTTATTATATATTATTAATTTATATTTTATTATAAATTTGTATCGACACATGGCAAACATTATTTTGGACCATACTTGATTTTGTTTCATGTATGTACAATTTCTTTCGTACTCCTTGGCTCATGTCTTTTTTTATTTAAACAAATGTGTCTGTAAACATAATAGAATCTCAAGACGTCTACCGCGTGATTCAGGTAAACAGTACGTGTTAGTCAGTCTGTCATATACTACATTCAATTTCGTTTAATAGTTTTTATTCAATGAATTTTGCATCCATTCATCACTACCCACAAAATTTTGCTGTTCATAAATATTAGTTGTTGTTTATCTGTTTACTTCACTAAAAAAAGTAACACTTCCATAATTCACACATTTATAAAAGAATGACTACAACTTTGCTGCAATCTCTATTTTTCTCGTTATAAGCTTTATAATAGTGTAACAAGGCGTACCGTGCGGGTTGAGTGGCCGCAATTCTCGCGGGCGCGGTTCTCGTGCGGGCTCCGGTTCGGCGGGCGAGTCTACACCCGCCGTCGTCGTCGCCACCAGGCAGTACATCACCGTTGCTGAGTATAATACACATATTTACTTTTTAGAACAGTGTTTGTCAACGTGGAGCCCACGCCCCACAGGGAGCAATGTTATTGTTAAGGGGGGCAATTCGAAAATGCACTCGACATGAGTTTAATCCTTTCGTTACGGACCATTTATATACAATGCTAGATTTCGCCATATTTAGCGAAAAAAGCACATACTTAACTAATTGTTGTATTACTAAATTAAAAAAATAATAAATTTATATTTGTATATAATTTCCTAGTGATTTCTTTCTAAAAGATTTTCAAGTAAAGAATTCCATTGTTTAATATTAAAAATTTAGTGTGTTACATTGGGATAAGAATTTTAGAAGGGCAACATTTTTGGCATAGGCAGAAAGAATATCGCTGTACACAATTGCAAATAAATTGCTGATGAAAATATTGAACTATAAAAATATCATAAATAAACATTTTATAAGAATAAAAAAAATATTGACTACTTATAATCTACACCAAATTAAACAATGGGAGAGATTGCCTAGTCAAATTACTGATTAACTCTTACTGGTTAATACTAGTAATTATACTATTAAACAGAATAGAAACTTACATGAATATATGAGAGCTGGAAAAATAGGTTCATTTCTTTCCTGTGCAGTCTCTACTAATATTCTCAGAGGTCCATTAGGTGTTAACACAGCTATCAAATCTGAAACAGTACATATAACCCCACTATTAGTAATTTATCTTTTTTGTCGCAGTATGAAGTACAACTCTTTAAAGAATTTTACACATTATAGTATAATTACAATTTTGAACTGAATTTCGGACTACTCTTCAGACTATGACATAATGATGAAAAATGAAGTGGGGGCATAGTTTTGGTTTCAATTGTTTTTAAATAGTTGAGTATGTATGTATACACAGAATTATTAGTAAAATATGTAGTCTAGTGCCCCATTATTAGCACTGTACCAGATAATGATGACTTCCACACAATTACCACTGGAAATCATAATCACAATCACATACATTCATAGTGAAATTTAATCACAATGGGCTAAATAACCTGACTTTATTATCATCTTATTATTTCGTTTCCATTTGGGAAAGCTGTTGTTAGAGCAGAACCACATTATTCTGCCCCACTTACATTCTACAATACAGTTATGTGGTAGGCTGTTGTAATACATTTAGAAGGTCATATTTGGCTTTCGGACCTTTAGGTCTTGTTAGTATTTGAGTTGAGGTCCAAGTCGCTACTCCTGTCATTGTCTACTGGTGCATATATTCCATTGTCAAACCAATTAAACCATTAAAAAAATAACATATATATTTACCCCAAATTGATATAACAGCTAAAACAGCCCATGTTGTCCATTCAGGAAGATACTTAATGAATACTAGCGCCATAAGCGCCGCAATAAATATCAGGTACGCTTGCTGCAGTCGCAGTGGGCCCTTCCAGTGTATCACAATCATGCCCATCACACCAAAGTTCCACATTACAAAAGCTAATGTTATATAATCCATTGGTATGTTGTATGCTCTTAGTGCTTCTCTGAAAAATAACAGAATTGGAATATTATTTTTCTTTTTTATTCAATTTACATATGTACTTTAAAATCAAATTAAAAACTACTTATAACAAGTTTATTTTGATTAAAGATTAATTTATATTTCTTGGTTAATACATATGTACATTGCTTAGCTTGAGACAATATGACAATGTGTGAATTGTCTTGGGTTATTATTATAGCTTGTAATCATATAAAACATAAAGTCTACTTTTTTTCTTTCCCATACAACCACTAGTATTTTCAAATCATCATTGTAAATATACTTACTCTATATATAAATAGGAAAACAAAAACAGCAGCATAAGTGAGGAAAGTATGAGCCAGCCATGTATTATTTTATAACATCTCTTCTTGTACAGTACAATCAGCAGAACAGTCATCAGAGCTATCACGGTTAGTAAAATCATAGAGTTGGCGAGAGCATTCCACACCTTTGTCCCGGCATGTGGACTTTCTTCATGAAAAGGTGTGTAGGCACTGTAAAATAGCATAGATTTGTATTGTATTGTAAAACTTTATTTTAGTTTTTGTATAACAGTATACATATAAGTTTTATTGTTTTATACAACAAAGTATATTTAGTATAAATGCATAGAGAAACACTTATTTCTTTACAAATGTTTGTCATCTTTATGTACATTACAAAGTATAAAATGAAATCATTTCCACTGTCTGTTTACTTAAATCTTTTAAACTATGCAACAGATTTTAATGCAGCTTTTAGCAATAGATAGAGGGATATGAGAGGAAGGTTTATATGTGTAATACATGTATGCCCATGTGAAGCTGGGGTAGCTAGGATATAATTAAGTGGGTATGTATATTATACTTCATTGATTAATAAATTGTACTGACATAGATATGTACAATATGCTGTTGATATAAACTGCATAGCATGTTTTATTATTAATATCACATATTAAGGACATTTTTTTTTTCTCTTAATTTATTTAGTGAGCATGTTAGCTCCGTGTTGTCTTCTTAATCAAAATTACATAACATCTAAACTTTAAATTAGTATAAAAACAAATCTTACCTACTTTTATCTACAAATTTATAAATTAATACCGATTCTTTTGATGCAGGTTCTGATAAAATACTCTGAAATATTCCTAAATTAATTTTGTTCTTAAGGACATATTATTTACAATTGTACTCAAAATATAATTGAACATTCAAAGTGATATATAAGTATTGCATATTACAATAATTATCATGTTACAATGTATAATTATAGGTATTTAAATAAATAGTTAACTTACAGATACACATCCTTGACAGAGTAGAAGTTTATTGATGATATTGTAGCTACAACAACGAGCATGCACAATGTGACCGGAACAAACAGTTTGATGACATGGCGCGCTCCATACTTGAGCTCTAGCTCTTCAATCTGAGGTTCGATGGGAAGAGGGGGGGGACCTGCACCTGGTGCTGAACTGCTTGGTGCATTTGCTGCTCTGCCTTCCCTCTGATCTACACTCTACAACAATATTAGTTATTATTACAAATATCTAAACCTATTTAGTACAGTTAAAAGAGAGCTATTAACCTTTTGAATATCCGTTGTCTGACGGAGCAACCAAAAGTGAAGAGGCGGTATGCACGCACCAGTTGTATTTTTTCTAATGGGGTTTCAATCTTATTTAATTTTAAATAAGGATAAAATTGGTTAAAAAGAAGTCAGATCTGAGCCCGCAAGGCACAGATCTGTAATACGGTTTAAGAGGGGTGCATAGATCTGTGTCAAAATGTTCGAAGGGTTAAGTCATATTTCAATCCAGTAACCCAACATGACAGGTCAGAGGTAGGGTTGATACCACTACTATTGTATAATTTTGTCTGACAAGAATCTCAATTTAAATAATGAATTTTTAATATATCTATGGCCATCAATTATCAAAATACAAGATATTAATCAAAATAATAAGAAAATAGAGACAAGGTAAGTATAGTACATAAGTAATTTTATTTACTGTGGCAGGTGTAGCTTATGTTGATTTAAAAATTATATATTACTATCAATGCAGGATAAAATCTGCCTCTGGGGCATGTGTAGGCAGTCTGTTTAAACCTTAGAATGACAAACATTGAAATAACTTTAAAAACTCACACATACATAGAATATATCATTATCAATATGTTGACAAATTGATAATGTCCTATACTAATGCTGATTATTTACATTTCATACAATTAAGATTGTGGGAGTACAAGAACTGTAAGCCCATACATTTATTAGTCACTGCTCTCAAAATGTAATAACAAATCCGTACTAAATACCACTAAAAGTAAACAAAGACTACTTACGCCATATGTACGTTGGCTTTCCGATTTAGTTTTCCTTTTTCTTGCTATTCTTTCAGCGATCTCTCTGTCAGGGCGAGCTTCAGCTATGTGCCCGTCCATGAGTGCCGTATGTTCGGTCGCTTCCGTTTTACTGCCGGTGTCACTCATTCATCTGATCTTTGGCTCACTAGCATTTTGTTATTATTTAATATAATATACGGCATACACAATGCAAAGTTTGACTTTCTACAAAAAACAATTACAAACACTTGGTGACATATAACAAATAACAATGTTCAAGATAACTAAACGAATTGTCACGAATAGAATGACAATGACGATGTATGAATGATATGAATGAATGATGAATCAGAACAAAAATAGAGATGAAATACCCATTTCTTTTCATTTAAACGAAAAGTCTAAGCATAAACACGTGCGCTTTTTCTAATAAACGTGCAATCGTTCTTTAAGTTTAAGTTTTAGTTGCCTGCAAATGTTACCATTTGTTGTTAAAGTATTGTAGGAAATTTTTAATATTTACATAAATTAACATTTACAATACTGTACCATGGGAAACAAATATACCTAAAGACTATGCAATAAAAACAAATAAATATTACGAACTAATAAACGAATTAAAAAAATGGCTACGTGGTTAATTTATATGCGATCGAAATTGGCGCGAGAGTTATACCAGCTAATCTCTTTACAATATTGTAAAAGATATTGGCCTGCCTAGAACTGGAACACGTTCTATACTAGAATGTGTATCAAAAGCTGTGATAGCAGACTCCTACTAGATTTGGCTGGGCAGGGAAGGAAATCTGATCAGTGAAGGGGTCCCGTGATTGCAAAGGGGCCCTACATCCGGGTCACAAGTCCGGGTATTGCTCGCAGTGGCCCTCTCTGCCACACAATAACTTTGATATATCGATATTCAATTTGCCACCGCTGGAGAGACTGTAGCACAGCCCACGTCTCGATCTAATCAAAGGCTTCTTCATAGTCCACAAACACCAAAGTGACAGGTTGTAGTCTTCGGTCTTCTGAATTAGGTACCTGCCGCAGCGTATGAATATGGTCTATGGTACTGAAGTCTTCAGAACTCACCTTGTTTGAATTCGAGGCTATTCGTCATAACTCTCGAAAACAACTTATAAACATGGCTCGCTGTGTTACGGGTCTGAAATTTTTTAAAAGCGATTTGTCCTTTTTGAATAACAGAACCACCACCCTCCTTTTGACACGCTTGAGACGTTTGTTGGTGTAGGCATTGTTTGTTCAAGTATGCTTTCTATTACCTAGCATTTCTAAAAAATGTCCTCTCAGGTTAATAGTCACGTGTTCAAATGATGGAAACCATCGTGGTGAAGTCGCAAGGATGGACGATCTTTGCGGATCCACTTCGCAAATGTGGGAACTGCTTTCATACTCATCAGTCAGTACTATACCATTATGGCGGGCGTACCATTCCATCACCCGTATTAAAAACAACTGCAGAAAAGACCTCACAATACTAAGTCAGATTATATTGTGGAAGTTTCTTCTCTTCTCATTTGAGATTTTAGATGGCTTATTTTTATTTAAATAAATCCAGATGAAGTACTTCAAAATTGAATGAAATTTTGAGATAAACATAGGTGAGTTATAATTTAATGGCCCATTATGTTCTATTCTATTCATTTTTACTACATCTGTAATCCACTTCTCAGACTAACTGCTAAAGTTTGACCAAATTCAAATTAATCATCAGAAATACCTACTTACCTGAAGATTAGTGATTACCTTTCGTATATAGTATTTTCGAATTTTTGACACGAACACTTAAAAAGTTAGTTCATGTTATTAATGAAATGAAACCAGTTTTTTAGAGGTGTACTATGTTTTTATCAATTGGCAAATTTTATTAGAAATTTCTGCTGGAAATTTATCTAAAGAATTACGAACACAATTTAAACAATAAGTTTTGTGGTAGAACAAACTACAGTCTTTGTTTATACAAACACATTTGTTGCATATGGCACAGTCAGCACCCAAAACAATTATATTCCCAGTTCCTGGGGGGCTAAAGGGATCCTTCATTACGTAACTTGAGTATTTCAGTACAATATTTCGTGAGAATGGAGGTTTCGTTCCTTTGTAATGTGCTTTTTCATTCATATTGCAAAATTCACATTGAAAATCGTGAATTACTTGTACCAATTCTTCTTTAGACTTGGAGTCTTCCATTCTGTAAAAAATTAGTTCATTATTACATGTACTGTACTAAAAAAAAATAGAGTTCAATAGAAAATTTACCTTCCTCGAGGTTTAGACTCGGTTGCACTTGCAATTGCATAAATACTAACTGAAAATTTATACTATATTTCATTCTGAGAAATTTTTAACTTCCAAGAAAAAAGTGAGGTATTAAAATTTTTTTGTGGATTTGCCTTTTCTTCATAAACTTATAATTACTGAAAATTTTATTGAAATTATATTTTCATTAATTGAATATATAATAATTTTAATTAGCTTGTAGCACTAATATTTTAGGGTGTTATTCATGTAATAATACTTAATAGACACAGTAAGAATTTTTATATAAGTTTTCGCTGCAAATAAAGTTATCCATTTATGATACCAAACTTTTAAAATTTAAGAATATGGCCATATCCTGGATTTTGGATAGCAAAATAAAAGAAAAGACATATCTCTTCACAAATTTTAGCAACCTTAATATTTAGGGTTTATTTGTATGGCATATGTTTTTCATAATAAGTTGTGGACAATTGTGAAGACATGCTTTTCTTTTAACAAATTAATTTTTTAACTCACTTCTTTAATTATTTATCTCAATTGTACATATTTTGGTAAATATCCAACTTTATGCATGAAGATTTACATTTCACAGTAAATTATTCTGTTTTAGTGAGCACTACTTTTTCTTTAGGTGCTTCAAGTGGCCACCATACTGGTTTAATAATTTCTGCAGTATGCTTCCCAACTCTCACAACTTTTACATCAAGAGCCTCCTTTATCCTAACTAAACCTAATCCATAATCCCATATATAACTCTTCAGTTTTCCTATATTTGATTTTGTTTGACCACTTAATGTGATCACAGTATCTTGTTCCAAACTATCATTTATCTTGTTATTGAATTTTAATGGCATGATTCTTTTACGGATGACACCAGTGTGATAAACTCGTGCTGTCAACTCTTGTCCAATATAGCAGCCTTTGTGAAAACTAACTCCATGGAGGTAATCACAATTAACTTCCAATGGGAAACACATTCCAGGAGGTAGATCCTTGGCTCCTTCGCTGACACCCAAACTGTATCTCAAGTACTTGTATCCATTCTCATCATAGTCAATCTTAACATCATTGCCTAATATATCAACTATTTGAGTTTCATTTATAGATTTAGATGATACAACTCTATATCCTAGATCTGAAAGTCGTGGATCTTTGTAAATATCAATTTTACTTTTATATTCAATTTGGGTGTCAATTTTTTCAATTGGTGATATTAAAGCCCATATTCTAAATTGATCACTAACATCCTCTATGTCAACTAAACGCTTAAGTTTGTAGAGTTTTAAATGCCTTTGAAGCATGCTGTGCACATTCTTATCACATTCTATCATAAAGGCATCGTTAACCCATTTATGAATAAGGGTGTCATAAAGCACTCTTCCTTTATTATTCAGAAACATAGCATACATAGACCTTGCGCCTTCTTCAAAGTGTCGCATATCATTCGTGATTAGTCCTTGTAGAAATACAGGTGCATCATTACCATTTATTTTCAATAGTTTTTTACTTTCGAGCGGATATAGGATTCGAGAGTTTTGTGTATGCACATGTCGAAAAATCTGTTTTATAAAATACCTTTTGTAAATAATTTTATTTACCTTGTAAAATAATATCATAATTAGTGATATATTTCGAGGTGTGCTATTACTTAATTACGCTGTTCCCAAATTGTTTTTATTTGATTTGCCACTGGACATTGCACAGATCATCTAAAAGTCACTACACCCAGACAGTGACATTTGAGAGTCATGAAAAGTGTTACCAGATGAGTTTCGATATTTCCTAAATTTTACCCAACCCTACGCTACCCGCTAATACAAGTTTCTAATAGTCTGTATAAGAGTTAGCATATCATATATAACATGGCCATTTCGTAATATATTTTTGTTGTAATTTTTTAGGCTGTCATTTAATGCTCTTAGCATAGATTTGACACTTGATACTAGATCATATCTATATCTACAGTAGTTACTAGGACTACCCTCCTTGTTTATTCTGTCCGCTAGGATATTGGTGTTTTGTGATTCTGTCACTGTGAAAATTTTTTTAACGGTTACTGTGGTGTGAAACAAACAAGTGTGCGTCATATAATTTCGATTACGTAAATTTAATTTAGCGAAAGAAAGCTCAGCGGCCCCGTGACTCCGGCACTCGATCGAGAAATGCCGTTTGGTTTTTAGCCAGTAGTAGTTCGATCAGTATCCGCTTGTACAACTCCTGAGGTGGGCAGAACTCCATGATGGAGTTTCCACACTTAAAAAAATGGGTAACCTACTCGTCTTGAAGTCTTACCGCTCGGTCAGATATTTTTGAGCATATTATATATTATAAATAAAAAAGAAATTCATCCAATTTATAATAATTTTCTATCAACATATTTCTATACATTCGAAATGGTGTCGATTATTGATATAAGGTTTCAGTAATAAAATGTTTGGTATATTTTATTACTGAAACCTTATACGTCGTCTTGTATATATATATATATATATATATACCCGATGGTATATATGTTGTCTAGGTACAGAGTGAATAAATAAACATTACCTATTTTAGCATTTATTCCATACCAGGAAATATAATTCACCTTTATATAGGTATACAATATTTATGTATACTTATTTAACCATAAACGTGTTGCAAGGATCGTTTCCAAAAAGAAAAGATAATGATAACATATAATTTAGTTGAAAATAGCCATATTTATTACATTATATTTGTTGTACACTGCTAACAATTCGTAATTCCAGATTGAGCTTTTATTGAGCCAAATAATTGTTTGCTCATAATCACTATTATCTTCAATTTCATTATAATACGGATATATTTATTCATGTCGCTCTTGTGGCGTGTACGCCATTTCAATCATTTCATTGTTCTGCCTTACAGGATCCTTTTTGACAGGTGTGACGAGAAGCGAAGTGGGGGCGGAGTCCTGACCCGGTTCCATGGACACAGTTGCCAGTTCTGTGGTAATAGTGGGCTCGGACCTCACAGACATGTTGTCCTGTTTAAGTGGCGACGTCTGGTTCGATCTGTTCGATCGTCGTGTCGACTTCCTCAGGTAAGGAGTAAGTTTCTGTAAGTATAAACTATAGCAATAAAGTGTTGCTTTGGATTTATGATGCGGTTGTTTAGTTATAGTTATATACATTGTTAAAAAGCAGTAGAATTAAGAATATATATATATATTTTATTGAACCGCAATAGACTTTGTAAAAAAAGTCGACTGCGTGGATACCTGAATGTCACTTAAGTATTACACCTGCCAAGCAGTTTCCTTTGTAAGCTGTGTTTCTGTTTGAAGGCTGGAGAAAAAGTAGTGAAATTACAGTATATGGAGGAATAACATGTTACTCCTCCGGAATGGCAATGCTCGAGTGGTATGTATAACGGGCGACATATGATAACGTGATCCCTGCAGTGCCGTCCATGTTTATACGTGAAGTTACTGGTTACCATCAGGTGTACTTTGTCATTAGAATTATATAAAATGGTATTCATATATTTTGCGACGATCATACCCGCGACCATCGATCACTCGAGCGTTTGGTTTCTAATGGCGTATTTTTCAACCGACTTTAATAAAAAGCGACTGTTATCAATTGAACTGTATTTTGTTTCTAGGTATTTCTGCTTCAATTTACAATAAAAAATATGTATTGTCTTTAATACGTAAATTAAAGACAATACATATTTTTTATTGTGGTTTTTTCACCATAAAAATTACTATACATATTATAAATATATGTATGGTAATTATGGTGGAGCGTAAAACCATAAAAAACATTCTTTAAAACTTAATATGTGTAAGTTTATATATACGAGTATGATTTCTTGGTGAAACATAAAATACTAAGTATTTAAATTATTTTATATAGTACTTTGTATCTAGTATTAATGCATTATTACCACCATCCGCCACAAATAAAAAGCAACAGCAAATTATAATAAACATTCTTTATTCAAACAAGGAATAGCTAAGTAACAGTGAATTATTAATTAATAATAATACATAAAATAATATACATACATGATATAAAAGATATAATATAATTATTATTTCTAAAAACAAGCATTTAGGAGTTCAATCTTGTTCATGATTCTAGTACAAAGAGTATAAAAAATTAATAAGGATAACTAATGTTTGTTAATTCAATCGTTATTAAATAACCTTTATTTCTGAGATTCAATCTTATTATTCTACACTTTTTATGGCTATATTAGGCCATTGGTCCATATCTGTCATTAGACCAGCTTGTTTGTAACTTGATCATATCATTGCAATGTGATAATTAATATAACTTTCAAATTTTAACGTAATCAGACCACAGTAGGTAAATGGTGGATAATAAATTTAGAACCAAAGTAAAATTTGCAAATAATATAGAACCTTGTAATAAAGAAGCATATTTTTTATCGCTAATAACGATTAAAGTGATTATACTTGTTGTGGATCCTTGACCAGGTAGACCTCGGAGTGTTTGACGGCGAAGTCGGGCGCGGCGAGGCAGCGAGCGAGGAACAGGGCGGCGGCGCAAGCCCAGCTCGCCCATGCCCCCGCGCTGGCGGCTCGGGCAGCAGCGGCTCGACCGCCGAAGCCCCACGTCGCGTTCCACCCGTCCTCTAGGAAATCGTTAACCGGTGAGCAACTGAAAAATCAAGTATTTTATATTATGTACGTCCATTACACATGCTTAATAGTAACTAATATAAGGTAATTTTTTTTAAACATATACAACACATCATTTAACAAAATTGTCTCTTTATAGTGTCATTCTTAGGGCTTTTATGTTGTTTTAGACATGAGTCAGTTAGGACTACTACTGGTACTTAGTAAGAAAATGATAAAATATATTCCTATCTAAAATAATGTAATATTTCTAGGTATAACCTTTAGATATTGGATAAAGTATATTATATAGATATTAGCTATTAATGTAGACTAGACATCATTCGTTAATGTTACTCCAGGGTGCTTACGCGAGGTAATTGTTCCCGTAACCCGGATTGCAAGTGTCTGAAAGGTATACCATTCAGTTTTTAGCCGGTAGGAGTCCGACCGTATCCATTCATCCCGTATGGTGTGCGTGGGTGGTATCTAAGCCGGACTTTTCTGGTGTAAAAAAGGTTACTTACGCGGTTGAGTTGGTTACGTTATGAAACGCCGTACAAAACGCATGGAGGCCTCCATTAGTAGTCGTGAAGCTGTGGCCCGTCAAGCCAACCAGCACTAGGGCGAACAGTAATGCTGGTGTCAAAATACGCCACGGCTGCGGCAGCCTACGGGAAAATTAATTAAAATTGGATACAAAAATACTCAAAAAAATGAACTGCCTAGCGCGAGTTATTCCCATAACTCATGGAATCCTTCCTCCCATAAACATGCAAATAAACACAAGAGTTGTCCCTGTTCTTTTCCGTTTGAGAGAAAATAGCTAATTGAAAGTGTCCCATTTGTAGTAATAAAAAAAAATCGATTTTAAATAACCGGACACAACAGTTGAGACTAAAGATTAATTGTAAAAAGGGTTCATGGAAATCGGTAATGAAGAGGGGAAGATGTTGTCTAACATAGGTATCACACACTTGAAACAGTATACTTGAGTTGTTTTTTTTATTTTTTTATGTTGGATGAATATAAGTATAGTAGTAGGATAGAGTTTTACCCAGTTCTGACGCGTCCACCGCCAGGACACATAGTGAACATGGTGAGCCACACAGCAGCAAACACAGTGGACATGATAGGCATGTATTCGGCGAACTCGCATTCCGTCTCTCCTCCAAAGAGAGATCTCGATGTGTCCAGCACAAGACGATGAGTTCTATTTCCTGTGGCGAAAGGTACAAAGCAACGGCTGCACATCCCCGTATTAAGTATTGCTATAGTGCTTAGGTGAGGGGAGAATGGATACCTCTTACAAGAAGGAGCAATATATAGTCTTAAGTAATATCTATAGTATATATTTGTTACTTAGATAATACCTACTTATCTACATTCTCTTCATTATCGTACTGAATTTAAGTTCAAATGTATTAATATATATCCATTCGATCAATACGTTCATTTCATGTATATTGGTAGTCCATACATCGCTTATATTTTCTTAATCCACGTATAAAATACATATAATTATATATGGTAGTTAGGTGTGTACCTCTCCTTGGTAGTATTTTTCAAATAATGTGTAGACAAGGCTTAAAATTTCATCGTCTTTTTGATTGAATAAATAAATGTTAACAATACACTTTTGTTTAATTCGTGGACCCAATTGGTTTATTAAGTTTAAGAAGAGCAGAGTGAATGTTGTTTTGAATTAATGAAAAAAGAATATTTTGCAATAATTGAGAGGCGCTTGACTGATAATGGCATTATATCGACGTATAGCTACGTATACCTTACAGTACTTACCTATAACTATAGTAACATTGTTCACTTCTATCATAGTTTCTAATTCGTCAGCATTCTCGATAATTTGAGCCTCTGTTTTCGTTATAATTTTGGCATTGCTGGTATTTAATTCGTGGACGGTTTCTGACGGTTGAGCAATTGTGGTAATTGTTGTTTCTTGTTCAGCGGCTGACATATTTGATGTATGGTTAGAAGTTTCAACTTTCATTGTGGTTAAATTATCTCGTGGAACCATATGGAACTCTAATAATCGTGGATAAATTACGCAACTATTATTCACTAGTTGCATTGTATTTTGTAAAAAAACATAATTAAGTATACCGAATACGGCCGCACAGGAGTAAAGTATCAGATGCCATGCTATAAACAATAAGAAAAGAAATATATTAACTTTTATTTATTTTTGCCATGTTTTGAATGGAGCATGAAGTTTTCATTTTACTGATAAAACATGTATAGTTTTGATACAATTTCTTAGACAATTATTAAATTGTAGATACTTATATTAAAAAAAGTTACAGTATTTAAATAAATAACATATATATTTGTAACACAAATATGTGGAAATACTATTAATTCCCTAGTTACGTAATCCATAAAATTAACGTAAAATTGCTATTATTTCCATTATTACAATTTCTTGTCATTTTTTATCGTCATTAGGAAAAAAAAATATATTAGATATACCTATAATTAAAATTTTCAGGGACAGTGTTATTGGTAACACGTTGTAGAAAAAACGCTGATAATAGTATATTCAAAACAGTTGATATCAATTTATTATTTGATTGATACTCAACCAATTTTTGAAATTAATGGATTCTACAACGTATGTTGAAACGTTGTAGAATCAATGGCCGGGCCTTATTTATCTGCAACAGTATAGTGAGTTTGATAACGACAAGTTTAGTGTTGCAAGTTCCCCTTGGTTGCTATCTGTATTCTTATCTCTACATTTATATTTCACAGTGTTGAACCGACAATTCGGGTCACCAAAGTACACAATTCTTGGCAACGGTCCAATATTAAGTCCTACCTCTTTGCAGTAAAACCATAGCGGACCTACATTGGATATCGCAATAAACTAAAACCAGTAACTACTCATATTGCGTCTTTGGAACGGAGAAACGAGATTAGAAAATAGTAAATAACTAGGTATTTGTATATATATATGTGTCATTGATTTAGATAAACTATATAAAATATAATGGCACTTAACATACTCGTCAGTTTCTTCAATACGTATTTTTGTAATTCATACATATATAATAGTATAATATCGAGAAATATTTAGGCCAATTGAAATAGTACCTATATAATAAATACGAATGCTTGTATTGTACAGTATAGGCACTAATTTTTGACTAAAGTTAGGCGTGCCAAACTGCTCTACCAATGAAATCGGCAATCGAGATCTTGTTATTGATTTTTTAAAATATAGGTAATAATAAAACAAGTACGGTTACGTACCTTTCCAAGCTTTAAGGGTCTTTGATGACCTTTCCTCTAGTTCACATTCGTCATAAACTAGGATTGTCATGTTTTATACTTTAATCCATTTTCGTCCTGTATCAAAATGCATGCATTATTTTCTAGTTTTTTCTATTAGGCACATCTATTAATGCCGCTGTTATCATAAAACTACCGCGTCTGACGCACTCGCAATGATTAATAGGAGACTGTGTACATAGTAGTAACCATTCCACGAGGCATATTCACACCAACACTGACTCGTTAAAAAAAAATAAGGCAAAGCAAATGCTGATGCATCATGATAAGTCGTTTTTGAAACAATTTCGAAATCTATTATGATTAATTAATTTGTAGATACAAATACTAGAAAGAGAGATAGAGATCCATTACGTTTTTTTTATGAACGCAAGAAAATAAACTTCTGGAACATTGCATAGAATATATTTTTATACCTAGGTATTATTATTTACTTCTAAGGGAATCCTGTACCCTCTAATAAGCTATTTCATAAAATTACTTATTGAAACAGCTACGCAAAGCAGCTAGTTCTTAGGATTAATTAGTGGCAAAAACAACAACAAATCCACAAGGGAACCAATATATTATAGGTATGGATATGACCTTAAAATATGTACGTACTATCTATTATGGATTTTTCATTAACTAATTAGGTAACACTTTACTGGATATCCCTAGATACCCCTTTGACCTCATAGAGTTGGTCCTTGCGGATACATAAATTGGGACAGTCAGACAAGGGTTGCGTTTTTAATTTTACATTATTATAAAGATTCCTGAACAATATCTAATATGCCATATTATTATATTTATAGCAACGAAATTATAGTATTGGTATTGAACTAGGGAAAGTTTTAATTTCTTGAACCTTCCTTAATAAAATAAGCAAGACAACATTATTAAGAACGTTGTAAAAATAATCATTTAGTCATATTTCAGCAGGGCTTTCACCCATTTTGTCCTCAAAAAGTAGCAAAAGCCGACAGGAGACACACTTTTTTTTATAATATAGGTATGGAAATATGGCTTCAGTTAAACATGTAATATTTTATGTTTATATATAGTACAGCAGATTTGATGGGGAGATAGAACTGTTAAAAGTGCATAATGAAAAATAACCGTAATAGCAAGTACTTATACAAGAATATAGGTAGTAAATGTCTAGTACCTAGTAGTAGCTTTGTTCTTTTTATGACATTAAATTTCAAACAATTGCAAATACATAATGGGGCTATTGTATTCGCCTTTTGTATTTCTTTAGCGTGTAGTTTTTATTGTATCGTTCTGACGATAGACTTTAAATAACGTTTTTGTAAACAATAAAAGTTACGTTGTTTGTAATATTATTACGGCAAGTTTGAGTTCAATAAGGACGAAGAATTAAATCTATATAGATACCTTACAGATCCAAGCAGCTCGTTTCGAAAATCATATTCTACATATTACCTATTCCACCTAGTGAAACGATTTAAAAGCTACAACTACTCTTTATTATTTTCTAATACCTAGTGCTCTATTATTATATATTAGTGATCTATTTCTTATGCGAAAACCAGTCTCTTAGTCTCATAGGCGAAAACCAGTTCATCAGTCTAGCAATTGCTGAGTTTGTTCTATTGCTAATTTGTACATTTGTATTACTGTTGGTACTAAATAGTTTTATTATTATTATTATATTTTTCTACATTTCAAAATGATCCCTTCAACACTAGTAGGTAATTGTTAGTGTCAATATCAGAAATTCACAAGTCAGTAAAGTGTTTACATCGATTATGACCTCACATTCACAAATTAGTGACACAGATGACGAGTACAGCGAAACGTTACTAATCAAGTGATCCGGACTTGAAAATTAAATTACATCTCATTAATGATTGTTATCGAAGAACACATTTAGAAACTGAAAACAATGAATTTCAAATATTTACGATGAGGGAGGATTGTTTGACATAGGGCGTAGGATGGGATGACCATTGCTAGCATATCAAGATTTTATTCTCTCAGTTTATTTTCGGTGAAACCACATCTCTCCCAAAGAAACTAAAATCGCCAATCTCCTCCACTGATGCCGCGTCAGCATAAACTAGCGGTGCATCTTTCCATTATCACTCATTAAAAATTTTACGATGACACATTTTACGATATGAGTTTGACGTTTTTTTATGATTGATTGTCTTTATTTATCATTAAACTTGATTTTTTAATTGAAATAAAATTTAATAATAATTAAAGATTTACAGATTGAATAATGCTTTTAATTATGATTTAATTATATAATATAACATAAGATAATGAACGTAATGTAATCGAGATGCTGCTGCAGAATGTAGGTAACTAGATATACGTCTCTTAATCTCGTTAACAAGTAGACATCTACTTATTAAGCATGATGTAATGTTCTTATTTTATATTCATTTTTATAGCTCATTATCATGTTGATCATCGCCGTAATTCGTCTTGAATTCTTGACGATTGTTTCGACAGAATAGGCTACTAGTATGGTTTGTTGAAGCCGTCCGTTAGTTCGTCTATAATTCAGAATCAAAAACTACCGCAATAATACTATCGAAATGAAATGATAGGACATATTTTTTATATCTATTTGTTCCTACCTTCTCACATACTAATATCGGTTTGATTTTTTATTTGTCACCCTTCTTTGTGAGAGTACTATATAATAGATATATTTTAAACGGAATATTAACCATGATTACCATTATAAACAATCGTGAAAGAAAATGATGCCCCTACTGGCAGTAGTTTTAAATTTTTTTTTCACAAAAATATTAACCAACAATTTAGTATTGACTAAAGTGTCATAAATATATAAATAGTCATGACCTCCAATTTGGCGACCGACCGACGCTAGATCTCGGGTCTCGTCTTGGCGTCGCCGACCATTCGTTAGGTCAAGGACATCTTTACGGACAAATCTACAATTAGGCGCTAAATTTGATGAATTTATCTATACCTAACTATATGTGACATTATGAATTTGACAAGTACTTAATTTTTTTTATTTATTAATATTTTACGGCTCTGGATACAAGTCCTTTTTAACCCAACATAAAGTACAAATCATTTAAAGTGTTGCATACATATTTATGTTATTCTATTTGCTTACTAGGGAATGTGCGACGTAATTTGGATTTTTTGTTTTAATTAGGCCTATACCTATCCTTTTTTCTCCTGTCTCTGTGTAAGTAGTATTATATCCTATTCATTGTGGATTCCGTAGTTTTTATATTATTTGTATAGATTTGAAAATAATTCAATTCAATGTGATTATCCTTCAATTCAATATTTATCCTGTGTATAGCCAACCATAATGATGCCTTTCATTTATAAATTGATCCCATTTACATTTGTATATTTTATTGTGCCATAGAACAGACACTTTAAATAATTTCATTAGGTATATTCTGGAATATTTGTTCGTATAGCACCTAATGGAATGTACCTATAGCATTGTTATTCGCAGTTAATTACAATTGAAACAGGAAAATATAGAATACTTTGGTATTAATTAGTAACTCCTCGTTAGTCAGCCTCGAGTAAAGTTTTCAATGATTTATTTTATTATGTAAAGGTACATTTGAAGAGACCACTGGCAGGTGTATCAAATCTGTATGGTTCTCTGGCCTCTTTTATTACTCACAAAACCCTTGGTAGGCATTGTGCGAGTTATAAAAAATTTAACATGCTCAAATTTTTTTTATTTATTTTATTAACCAGTTACAGAATTATAGTGATTAGTGAAAATATTAAGTATATTTTAATCTAAAATTATCATTATAATCGTTTCGTAATTCTGAAAAAAAAAATTCGGAATTCCGATTCGGTTTGGTAAAAATAGTTAGTGTGGTAATATTACCACACTAACATTATATAATATTTATAATATTTTTTAAAAGGTTTAAGGCGTTTCCCCCTGGAAAACATCGTGATTAAGTCCTGGTTAACACATGTTGGGCTTGCTGACTGATTTCACTTATTGGATGAAATATATTAAAAAAATACCTGATTTCATCTCCAGCCAACTACCACTGGTTTACCACTTGCTTATACCTATTTGTTAGCACGGTGGATGAAGCATATCTTTATCATCCACAAAAAATCTTCGTTAATTAATTACCTACATTTAATTTACCTAAACACCCAAGTGTTATTGTCATGTCTTTTTTAAGAAACTGAAATAATAAATACGGAAGTTACTCATACCTTTAAAAAATCATGAATTATAGAACGCTGGTTCGCCACGTTAATATTATACAGCCAATATATGTATTATTCACATTTTTTTAATCCATATAAATGTTTTTAATTAATTACATTCATCGAATCACTAAATAAATAATATTTTTCGAGTAATAAAAACATAACACGGTCTCTCTACAACGGATGCCGCGACTACTGTGCTGATTCGAGTCTCTAAATACTCGAATAGAATTCAAGATTACATAAAGAATACGCTCAGGAAAGGGACAACAAGAAAACAGAATGTTAGCTCAATGAATATGATAAGGACATCTATATGTTTCCAACTTCTTCCAGCGTTCAATATTCGATACGTAAAATACCTGCGCGATATAGCGGACGCAAACGCGGTTGTTTTGTTTACGTGACGTAACCGCATGATGTCATGGCAACGCGGCCATTCTAGTATAATGCATGCGGCTCGCGCCCTCCGCCATTAAAACCAATAATGTAGCATGTACCAGTAAATTGTATGAATAAAAAAAAAAACAATGTCGGTCAAAGATAATGTTGAACTAGGTAAGCTACCTATTTAAAAAAATCTAATCAAATCTTAACTGTGAGTCAAATCCAAATCAAGCAAACATTTTTTTTTGGTTGTGTAGAGGTAATTTTTTTTTTAATTGATGATAATGGATTGGTACCCGCCTGCGCTAATGGTTTACGCTGGCGGAGCACCAGTGGAGGATGATAAGATGAGCATGAGGTCAGGCCAGTTAGCCCATCGTGACAAATTCATCAGTAATTTGTCACGATGGTTTCCAGGGGGAACCGCGTGGAGGTCAACCTGACATGGTACATTGCTAGCAATGAGATCATCAGTCCACATTACTAACAATCTCCTTTCCCCCTTGTAGAGGTAATTTAATGAATGTAAACAATGTAGTAAATTAAGCAGGTACTTTAAATATTACACGCAAGCACTGGCGCTTGTAGTATTTTTCTAGTATTAGTGTTACTTACTAGGAAAACAACAGCGGAGCCTGGCTCTTTATCAAAATTGTCCCTTAAACGCTTTACCATAGCCAGGCCAGCTGACCATGTCTCCTTTATTTATTTCTACTACTTACCTACTTTACCTATTTTAGACAACTTTATGTTACTTACATGCTCATTTTAAGTTACATTCATTTTTTAGATGTTGCATTCACTTGTCTTAGACAAGGCTATTATTCTAAATTAATAAAATCTTTTATATTTTTTTGTTATTAATTACTTTTGTTTATGTTTGTACAAAACATAAAGGAAAGCTATTTGTAACAAAGACTTATATGTTTTGTCAGCTCTGAAATATAATTCACTATTTCGTAGCTCTGTGTTTCTGCTGACCGATTAGGAATAGGCGTTGGTCTTTCTATTTCTCTAGTTTATTTCCTATGTTTAAGGACTTGCTAGAATTTAATCGTCCTAAAAAGGTTGCATAGGTATCTTTATACATACAGACAAGTAGCTGTCTGAAGATGGAAACAGTAGCGTATACTATCAGCACTGGAATGCACCATTACATTATCATACATAAAAAAAGTTATTGTTTCTGGCAGCCTGTACCATTGTTTTCAATATTTATATTCGATTGATACCATTTTTTACACGTCACTTTTGACTGTCTCAGGGCAATCCTCTTAGAAAATTTATACCTACGTGTGAAATTATTCCTGCGTTTTATTGAATAATTGTGTACCTAGTGCTCGCTTCCGCTCCAGTCCAGCAATTGTTAATGTTTTTGAGTCGAATATGGGTATGACAATCATAATATGTGGTTGCGTAGAATCACAATAAATTTTTCTAACAGAAATTTTGGTTCCCAACAATTTTGTTAAAAAGATGGATGAGTCCCAAGTTCCGTCCTAAAATAAGATTTTATTCTATTTTACGCGAACGCAATGGTTGGTCACTACTGGTAATATAGGCACTGACTGTTAATATTGGGACAACATAAAACGAAAAACTTTTATATTTGTATACTTTATTTTGAATAGAAAATTATATTAATAAGTTGGACCCAATAAGGGATGGGCTGTGTTAGTATAATATGTATTCACGTGCAAAATATGTAAACACATTAGCATTTCATTAAAGATACTTTATTTATTAGGAATTAAGCAATTTTTTCAGCATTTCAATTTGTACTCGCAAATTTATGTATGGATGAGAATAAATTTATTATAACAGCATAGGAGTGCTGTTATAATAAATGGTAACAAAAAATGTTTACGTATCATTGCAAGTGAAGGTCCTCAATTGTTTTGTATTTAAAAAGAAGTTGACGTAAGTAAATACAGGATTTTTAAGCAGACATAAAATATTATAGTACATTTTAAATTTCTATACACTATAAAAATGTATCAATTAAATTTTGGCATCTACTTAATAATAGTAAAATATATTATGCAAATATAATATGCGAATTAATACTAGAAAGATATGCTTTATAACATTATTCAAGCAGCTAGAAATGCTTGAAGATGTAAAACGTATACCTACTATACCTACACATATAAGCAAATAATCAAAAGCCTGTTTCACACTCAAATTACATTTATTAATTTTCATAATGTAGGTAGATTTATTCATTTTCGTTATATAACTACTTTTGTTAAATTAATTATTTGACGGGATTTTTTCTTCATATGATGATAATTTCTTACTTTGTTTCTCAACTAGGAAGGAACATGCCAAATTTGAAAATATACCTTTTTCCTATTTTTAAAAAAATATTTACAGATTTAGTGAACATTTTTATTGATTACAATCATAGAATGAGTATGTGGTTTATTATTTTGTTTCACAAACAAGTAACCGCATCTCGTTGCATAGCATTGAAAGTATTAAAAGTAAATATTAAATATTATCCATGTATGAAAGTTTCGAACATTCAAGAATATAAACATTGTTGTAGCTACGCTGATGGATAGCAATAACCACTTATTTATATTTATTTGTTATGCTGCTACTATTATTTTATATAAAGAAACTTATTATATAATCAAAATAATAATACTAGGCCTGTTGCCATAGCCAATCCTAAAATAATTCTGTTTAAATTCCATTAATAAGTATTCGATATGTTTTCTACATATAGGAAAAAAATACGACTCAAAAGGTATCGGATAGTAACCGCTTAAGGCGTTGTATACTTATATATATATATATATTGGTAACTATTTCTAAAAAGGGATGCAGGCTTGCAGGTATATAATAGACATACATCAAACACTATGTTTGAATAAATTGAATTAATAAAACTTCATATATTCACAATTCAATGGAATTGGATATTTGGAATATCATGGTGGCACTATCACATAATCACAAACTACCTATCACAATATCGAATTTTAATACATAAAATCGTTATAACTTGATTAAACAACATCAAGTCGTTGAAATTCTATAAAAGCAGTCTTATCCGAACATGAATCGTTAGAAACGATCAGCAAAAGACATACGGTCTGACGCATATAGGACATCTGTCAGACGCCGCCAGACATTTTCTAAGACAGTCAGCATGAAAGAAGTGCGCACAGGGCGTCACTCTCGCTGACCTCATACTGCCCAAGCAGACTGCACAAACATCCTCCAACGTGGCTAACTCTGCGGTGGTCGCGCGACGAAACCTTGCGAGAGAGCCTCGCGCTTCATTTAATTTGGATAGTGCCTCTCCGAGGCGATGTCGCCCATGCACAAATACGCACACATATAGTACAAACACTGCTAATCTCCACCGCTCGTACCACGCTAGGGCCGGCACTAAGGGTACAGCTAAAAATGTTGTAAGACCTCGTGCCCATGCTCCAAAATACAAGGCTTCCATTCCCTCTAATCTTTCCAGTTTTATTGCTGAAAGACCAATCGGCCACAATTCTAGAAATGTTCTTTCTGTTAAAACATAATATGTTCCCGTGATGACTGTGTATAGCGTTGTTGGCCGATAATGTTCCAGACCCTGCTCTAGACCGAAAGTCAAAAGCACAAATGTAATTGTCACTATAAACGTGACCGCTTTGGTCCATTCGAGGACTATTTTTGTGGCAGACATAGCTAGGTGCTTCACACGAGAGTGTCTAGTGACGTTGACATATGGAGACCAGTCTTCCTTAGTGCATATTTCGCGCACATAGCTCACGGAGTATGTGATAACGTTGTAAAACATGAGTGAATACAAGCTCGTTAATTTTCCTTGTGATACAAATAGTCTATCACACGCTGTGAAAATCAGCAACTGAAAAAATACAAAAACAAGGTCATAGATATGGTCATTATAGATACTTTTAATTTATGGAGTATTATTAGGTATTACCTGGCTAATCATTGTGGAAAGATTGTTCATCTGCAGAAACATTAGCTCAGTTCGTTCTAAAGGTGCATATACAGCTTTCAACATGCCCAACACACAGGCACCGGGCCGCCTTAGCCGCCTAGCTGCATCTGAAATATAAGTTTGATGGTACTGAAAGGTATGTATTAACATTGCCACAGTAATATATATATAATACATGTACGGTGTATAAAAAATAATAAAAATTGATATATGAAAATCATTAAGTAGTAGTTATTTAGATTTTGAATCGAACTTTTAAAAAAGATGGTTCTCCAGTCTGATTATCGCAGTTGATAGGGTTTATTTCCACTAATTTCATCACAATATAAGTAGGTAATCTTAGGGAAACAAAATACTTATAGACGTTTTATTTTCATAAATAAGTAATAAGTAAAATGTCAATATAGACAATGGATGGTCACGGAATGTCACATCGCATTGTCTATCAAGTTTCTAAGCTTTCCGTCTCACAGGTTTCTGTGGAACGTTTAGTGGAAAAAAATCAAGAAAATTATGTAAATAAAGGTTATTTGCATAATATTTCTTGATTTTTAAATAAGAACGACTAAAAATAAAGGAATAATACAAAAGATAACATATAAATATATCTATTATTATTATTATTTTACCTTACTTTGTTAACATAAAACTTATTGTATAGCTGTCTTATAGCACGGATGATACATCAATAAGCGGCCTAGTAGATATTTTATCTACATAATAATAATAATAATTGTGCCACTAACAACAATATAACAAAACAATTTTTAAGTAAATGGAATGGCTTTCATACTGACTGCCGACGACACTTAACGGTAAACGGTGACCGTCGCCTGTATACGTAAACAGCAACACGCGTTGCCATTCTGAAGGACTAGGATGTCATGCTCTCACCCTACAACAGCTTATAAACAGGTATAACAACAAGCTGCTTGGCGGCTGAAATAGGTGAGCCTGACATACCCACGCAAATGGTTTTTTACAAAGTTCACCTTGGTACGGTCAATAAAGAAAATCATATTTACATTTCCCTACTATATTATTCCCGGTTACATATATATATATATATATATATATTATACATATGATGCTAATGTAAAATAACAACTTAACTTATTGTGGTATATATACATACATATTATACAATATGTAGAGTTATTATTGTTATGAAGTTAACAATTGTTCTACTTCTGTATCACAGTTTGATTTGCAGAAAGGGTTAAAGGGTTGCCAAGCAGGATTATTATAGAGTCAGCACGAAGGTCGCTTTTCCAGTTTGATGCCAATCTCAGATGTCAATTTTACGATAATGGTCAAGTGGTCAGTAGAGGTCAGTCCATGCTTTATTAATGTGAATAACATAGTTTCAAAGGTTATTTTTTAAATATAATAATAGTAATAACCCTGGACAATACAGAAAGCGCCATCTAGTCCTAAGTTGAGCAGAACTTGCGTTATGGGTATATACTAGTCAACTGATGTAAATAAATACCTGATATATATATAGATAGATAGATAGATAGAATATACTTTATTTGCAACGTACAGTAAAGAAGAACCACAAAAAAGTATATATTTGTTAATACATACTTAATATACACAAAAACAACTATATCAATACAAACTATCATACTTATGAACATAAATGCTCGATCAGTGAGATTTCCTAACTAATACAATCAGTTTGGGAATTATTGTTCGAAACCTATGAATATAATAAAATAAATAAAATTATTCGACCTCAATAATAAATTTGATGGTGCAGATTACATAATAGCGTCTAATATTTGAAAAAAAAAGTATTGAATATAAAAGGGCCAGCCCAAGTTAAGGGTAGTCAGTTATCAGCAACTCTTCCTTACTGATTGTTCAATTATCACACAAGACTAGAGAATTTAGTAAGTACTTTTTATCTAAATTTGAATAATACTGAACTGAAACGTTTACAATTATTAGTTGGTACATCTATCAGTTAGTACAATGGTTACCTTTTAATAGTCTTTAGGGCTAATATGATATACTCTTATAAAGCCTTTATATAAATCATTATTCATAAACGCTTTACAAAGCTGTAATAAACATTAATTAGTAATTATAGTTATAAACACTCGATAAGTCTCTGATAAACGTCTACTAGCAAAAAAACGTTATTCATAACATGGGCCAGTATATAATTTTAATTAATTTAAGGCAATGTAACTCGACTCAAAATTGTGTAAAACTTCTATAATTTTTTTATTAATAAGACTGTAAAAGTTTCCAAATCTGTTTTACTTAATGCCACGTCGTATAATGCAATGGAATTGTTATATATGACAATATAATCAGAAATAACCATCGTTATAAGCGTCATGAACTTTTTTATATCTTGTCATGTATGAGCCGACTACGTGTTTGCTGTTTTAGTCATATATTATAAGTACTAGATAAGTAAAACAATATCTTATCAAATAGTTTTACGATATTGATTTATATAATATATTTTTTAACGTGGTATTCCCCTTTTATAATGAATATATTCAAATATTTAGAGCGCAATGCGGAGATATCAAGTGGTATTAGATAAAACCCTGACGAGGAAAAAATTGTCTCTTTGTGTATTAAGGTTTCAGGTAAAATCAGCTGGTGAAATTAGAATGAAATTTACACCAATCTATGTAGTGTTAGGGCACGACTAGTTAATGTACGTGAAGCTTGGAAGTAGTATTTTACATTATATGGATACAAAAAAAAATTACATCCCATATCTAAACATATTATACCGTAGTACCCACATATTTTGTACATGTTGTTTTGCAAGTCGCGATTCCGTTGATGAGTTATATTTGTGCGTTTATTTGCTCTCAAATGTGGAAATGGATGATGACCATTCGTCTGTTGATTTTGGCATAGCACCATTTTTATTATAGAGGTAATTGAAATCAACGGATTATTTCAAGGAGCAATGTAACAGCAATGAACAACAGATAATACATATTATTTCAATGTAAAGAACAACATGCAGTGCCTGTTTAGTGTAGTGCCAATAGGTCGATTGTTTTATTTTGGTATTTCATTCATGATACCATAAAAGCAGCGTTTACGTTATTCTTCCACTATTTGTTTACAAATTATATTTTTACGTCGTGTTTACAGATCGAACACAGGTCGAAAACAAAGTCGTCAATATGATTTCGGTTCTTTCGATCCTACGCAGCAATGAATATACAGAAATAAACTTTTTCGCTAGTAATAACATGTTGTGATACACTAGGTACATAGAGAATATTTTCTAATAGTATTGTACCTACTCTTTGTAGGTACATAATATATCACTTTTTTGGCAATGGAATATTAATCGCCGCAGTTGGAGTTTTGTATTGAAATAAAAGTTCAGCAGTGTACGTTATCCTCTTTAGGGTCAGTTGAAAAACAACTTCTTGCGATTCATCGTTTTTAAATAGCTAAAACTTAAATTATAATGTTTCTACTTTATATATCACATATATGTATATAGTGATAGGTGTAAAGAGTGCATATTATACTAGTATATTAAAAAAAAGTGAAAAAAGGGGAAATTTAAAATAATTTAAAAACCATACAAGCTGCGCGGTCGTGTATGCTATTTAGTATGATTTATAATTAGTTTCTTGGTGAAAGTACAGTTTTATGAATATTCTACTTGAATTAGCTCGGTATACACAGTCTGTATAGGCGAATTGAGACATTTTTCTTTTAGTCGGTTGAAAATATTTGGGGGGCGTGTATATTCGGTATATCAGCCATGTGTTTCCATGTAGCAGAAAAATACAAGTAAAAGTGTGGGCTATGACGCAAGTCCGTTGGCGAGGCGCCAGTCTCAGCTTCCGCCGCTGGTCCATTCAGCTATCCGTCGACAATGACCTGACTTCCACACAAATATATACGTTTGTGTATATTTATAAATAACAAACAACGTACGGGCCACCTACCCACATTGCTTGTCTAGCCGACAAATCGTTGGCTGATAATTGATAAAACTAATCATATATTCAATATTCAAATGTGTTCAATTTGATCTATAATATTTCAAGAAGGTATCTCATTCATAGTAACTATATTAATAATAATTAATAGTAAATAGCAATAATTAACAACTTTTATAGACACTGTTGCCAGTCATCTCTATTTTGTGGTTAATTATAAATAGATTATTATTTAACGAAGAATTTTTAAAATTTTAAATCATTAATACATTTAAATATAGTTATACTGATTCGATCGCGTGCTACTTTTTTAATCCCTATGAAAAAAGAGGGTTATTAAAAGTTTTACGAATTTACCGCCGACGATGCACCGCAGACGTATCACAGCTTCCAAACTGCTTTATCTATTTTTTATGCTTTTTTTTTGTTTAAGAGCTGACGTCATCAGGTTTATTCTCATCTATATTTCATGAAGATCTACCTTTTAAGATATTTGTCAAATGTTCTAGTTGAAACTTTTATATTAAGTAATATATAAATTTAAACAGAATCACAATCTAAGCATCTCTGTTATTATGCTTGTTTACGCGGATCTGTAGTTATGACTACCGCCATTATCTATTTACGACTGAAACAGAATTTAATTTTGAGAAAGAATGACGTCATCGTGAATATTTCAAGCGATGGCGCATAGGTCAGGAGAATGGCACGCCCCTCTTTTTTTCACCTAAATGCTTGTTAGGACTCTTTGTGTTAGGCCTTGCTTAACCATGTATACTTAAAATTGTGAACATTTCAATATACACAATTCTTCTGTACGTTTTTTGTGTAATCAGTAGTCACCTAACTCCTAAATGGCGGGGGGAAGAGGATTGTTAGTAATGTGGACTAATGACCCCATGACTGGCAAAGTATCACATCAGGTTAACCTCCACGCGGTTTACCTTGGAAACCATCGTGATAAATATCGACCCTCCAGTGAAAGGTGATAGGATGAGGTCTGGTCAGTTCGCTCATCGTGACGAATTCACTTAGTGATATCTAGGGTATCTAGGGGATCTAGAATCTAAATACCTTAGTGGTATCTAGGTGAGTTCGCAATGAGGTCAACCTAACATGGTGCATAACTAGCAACAATGGGTTTGTAGTATATTCAGTATTACTAACAATCACTTCCCTATAAGTGGAAGAACTGGTTTGGTGATAAGTATATTAGCAAATATACCTTGTGCAAGTCTAGCAACAGCAGGATACCATCTCGCTGGGTATTTGTAGTTCGCGGAAATCAGTACTGGCACCACCAAGCAAGTGTATGCCGCCATTAGCCAGGCTCCTCCCAAAGCCACCAGCAGTCCTCTCGGAGCCCAGTAGGGGAGAAGAAGTACCAACGACAACAACCATACTGAAAAATAAAGCAAAATTCTGTTACCTACATAAAAGAAGTGGTCTCGGACAGTGCGGTTTCAGAGACGTTTCCTCCCCGTACACTTAGATTGTGGATTTAACTTCTTGCCGAGGTTTTCTCACGCGACGGGGTTACAGCATGGAGTTTTTCAAGAAGGGTATATTTAGGTTTCTTAAAGGTCGGCAACACGCACTTGACACCTCTGGTGTATCAGGCGTCCATAGGCTACGGTAACCATTTAGGTACCATCAGATGGGCCGTATTCTTGTTTGCCACCATCGTGTCTAAAAAAGGCTAGGACGAAACTGCTTCTTTACATCTAATAATATTGTAAAATCATGGCGTGGCTGAATGTGCTGTAATCATGTTGTGCTGTTACTGTGTTAAAATTTCACGCAAAGACGGCTGAAGGAATTGTATGAAATTTGAAAAATTCAATATAGCTCAACATGCACGCTAAAGGAAGCTGAGAAAAATACCTCGCAAACGACTGAATAATAAATTTAGTACATATTTTAATACGCCAGCTACATTACTTTATTAACAGAGTAATAGCTGGCGATGTATAGATGTTTATTGTTAATCTTTAATAGAAAGTGATTTACGAATATACACGAGTACGAACTCGCAGGCACCAGTTTTATGGTCTATCAATAATAATAATATTAAGGATGCGCAGTTCAGACTGCGCTATCGAGAATCAAGCTAATCAGGATAATAAACAACTGATAAAAATAGTAAAAATAATTATATATAAATGTAGTAGTGTATAAATAATTATACTAATGGAAAACACAGATAACGTGGGAGGAATTGAACCAGTGACCATCGGAAATAAGGCATGTGTTAAACTGCTAAACCGTTTAGGGCGTCAAATAAAGAAGACCGTTCGGAATTTATGTATTCATCTATTTGTAATTTTGATTCTATATTATGTGCAACAATAGTGCTGTCTATCTATGCACCTATGACGTCCATCTGCTCTGTGGAACCATTATTGAAGTCAGCGCTGTAATGTGTGGAGCAAGCAATTTTTTTATATTTAACCAGAAATCATTTTGTGCCACAATAGTTTAGAACTGAATTTTATTTTCTCGTAACAGTAGTATTATAAACTACATTCCGCACAATAGAAATAAAAATAAACACTATCTATGCTTATCTATATTGATGCATGGTTGGAGTGGGGTCTATTTGTCGGGTTTACCTCCTCGCTATCCCCCGCGGAAAACATCATACCTATTTCCTGGTCAATTTGACACCACAGACAATTCGACATTCGAATTATCGTTTATTAAAAAATACTAATTTATATGAAAGTCAAAAACAGTTTACAATATTTGTTCCCATTTTAACCGTTTTTATTTTGTAACACATCACATGCTCACAGCTGGTCATCGTCCTTTTGAATGCTAAAACGAACGAATATAACCCAGCAATTTAAGAATAAAACTTAAAAGTGTATATATATATTAAATTATGGCTGTCAGAATAAAAATATATGTTTATGTATTCGTTTATGAATTCACATAAAAATCTTCAATACAATTGAAGATTTTTACAATATTTGTTATTTAAAAAGTTTTATGGAATGTAACAGATTTTAAGGTCTTTTACTGAAAGTTAAAATTTTCTTGTTTCTAGTTCTTTCTTTTGTTATGCCTTGAGATATCATCATCATCATCATTACATAGTATAAAACAAAGTCGCTGTCGCTGTCTGTCCCTATGTATGCTTAAATCTTTAAAACTACGCAATGGATTTTGAGGCGGTAGTTTTTAATAGATAGACTGATTCAAGAGGCAGGTTTATATATATAATACATGTATACCCGTGCGAAGCCGGGGCTAGTAGCTAGTAGTGCTATAAAAAATGGAAAAAATAATGTTATCCCATAGTTTCTGCATGCTTCCGCGGAAGATAAGCGTTTATTAGGTTACCCCTATTGGGTTGGACCCCACTGCTAGTGCTGTACTATGTCTGACCGGGGGGAAGGGGATTGTTAGTAATGTGGAGTAATGATCCCATTGCTAGCAATGTACCATGTCAGATCGACCTCCACGCGGTTCCCCCTGGAAACCATCGTGATACATTCCCGGTGAATTTGTCACGTTGGGCTAACTGATGTGACTTCATGCTCATCCTACCATCCTCCACTGGTGCTCCGCCAGCGTAAACCGTTAGTGCAGGCAGGTTCACCATTCCATTATCATCCTTTAAAAAAAAATTATGTCTGACCGCCACGTGGTCTTCCTTGATGGGTAATTCTTGTTGAATTTTACCTTATTTCTCTGGTACCCACCAACCTAAGTATAATGTTAGCGCAGCCAGTTGGACATTTATATTATTATATCAATTTCAAAAATAAGGGCTGCAATTTTGATATTTTTCTGTATTGTACTTATTTTTGATCGAGTTGTTGCCGACTCAAAATGAGTATGGATATATCTTTCCCATAGAAATCAAAACAACTCAATTATTTGAATGTACCTGTGCAATTTCAGTAAATTAATCAATTGTAATTTGTCAGTTTTTTACCCAACGCTGTTTTTCATACATTACCTAAGTTTTGCGATATATATTACATAGATACCAAAATAAATTAAAACTACTAACATCAATGTTACTATACCACTTATGTTGTCCAGTTGTTTATTTATTTGCCGATATGAATAAAAATATTAATTTATTTATGTATTTTTAATGCACGCTCTATAAAAGGCTTTACAATATACATTTGGTAGACTTAACATCATTACAGATTTTATATCAGTCGACCATAAGTGGTCTAGAGCATAATATATAGTTTGCGTTGCATTATAAAATTAATAAATAAGGAATTTTTTATTACAATTATAATTTAGTAAATACATTTTTAAAATTATATCTTTTCAACTCAGCTTTATAAGCCATATTGAATTTCTAAACACTTGCATTCCTATTAATTATGATTTTAAATCACCATGTACTTAGTATAAAGAGACAATGTAACTTCCATTGTGTATGTACTGAATTTAGGCATGATTATAAACAAGCACATTCTTCATTGAAACGTGTGTATAAAACATGACTCGTAGAATGCAGACAAACAAATCATTTTAAAAATAATCATCATACATCAACAACGGAATTGGAACTAGATATATTATTTCTGTTTTATTGGTGAAAGTTAGTTATTAAAATAGGTCATAAACTTATTACCTACATACTATAACGTATATAAAACCTAGATATGATTAAATATTTAAAAAAATGGAAATATTTGTTCTATACTTCTGTATTTTCAATGTATTGGCATACCTATGTTGGCGATTTTGTCCTCAGATTTAATGGTTTGAATCTTCGAGAAGGAGTCACTTCTTATCCTACCACGCACTCGGGATATCATGCCCATTTTATTTTGTTATTATATAAAACAAAAAACTGCTGTTGAAAACCACTGAAAAATTTCTTTCACGAGTTATTCCTAAAATGTTATGATTATTTAAACCACACAGTTGTAAACCGCAATGTCTCAATGCCTCCGATTTGGGCGAAGTGTGTCACATGAATGCGCATTATGAGCGCAAACGTTTGGGCGGGCGGGCGGTGGCGTTTGCGCACACATTATGATATACACAATCGACGCAGTTGCCTTGATAATTGAAATATATTGCGGGTCCAATGACGATTCTGTCTGGCTTATGTAAAACTTTCGTTCATACATTTGCAGCAATGAAAATGGAAGTCGAAAATTTATGTACGTTGTTTGTTGGTTGACGTCTGCTCAGTTTGCAATGACGTTTATTTTTAAATTTAATTCTATGTCAGTGACTTGTGAAATCAAAATACTGAATGTTACTTTAATTTTAGTCCCTACTTACCTGTCTATGTGAATCATATAAGAAACTACGTACCGGACGCTACGTTTTTCCCTTCGATGGTGACTAAGATGACGCCAATGACTACTGGCAATCTATAGTACTATAATATATATTTCATAAATCGCATGAAACAAACGAATAATTTTCTCTGCCGACATGCAGACTGTCCATCCGTCCATCTACATGTCAAATAGTTGTATATTAGAAACTATTGATATAATGTTTACGATTTGAGATTTGGAGTAGTTTTAGAAATTATTCGGCCAATGTTATAGGAATTAAAAATGTTATAAAAATATTTCATACTTCTTACTTTACATTACCAACCTATATATTTCAATATGCATATAAAATACTTACAAACAAGAGCAAGTGAAGAATATAAATAATTATCATTTTAAAGCTTCATTTGTATATTCGTTTTATTTGCTAAGAAAAACTAATTAAAATAAAAATTTCGACATGCATAAGTAATTAAAAAACTTACATGAATCATTGATTTTTAAAAATGAATTGAGAAGTACTATCATGGAGCTCGCCTGATTGTAAATTCTAATAATTATAGAATATCTAATTGTCAATTTTTATTATGTACTGCAACAAGTTGTATCTGTTACATGTTTAAAGAACTGTGGACATGCATCCAATATTGTACGTGATGTTGACAATCGGTGTGTGCCTGGCTCACTACAGAGGAGAATATGACACTCGCAACCTCATCGAAAGAGACGAACCACTGGATGATACTGAAGGGTAAGTTAAAAACGACGTATACAATTTGAGACATGAATTCAGTTCGTCGGCAGAATTAGTTGAGGCAGAGACTGTACAGTGTAGCACACAGTAGTACTTCTTAATAGTAAGTATAACATAGTAATAGTATAATAAAATAAGTTTGCTTCAAGATAATAAATAATTTAAGAAAATAATTTAATGTAATTTATGAGACCATTTAAAAGTGCTATGAATAGTTTTTTTAAAAAGAATTATTCTGTCGGCGATGACGGTATATGCAGGCTTGTAAGCATTGTAGGATGAAAGATGAGGCTGATAGTTACCTATTTCACGTTACGTATCTGCATTAAAAAATAAGTGTATGACTAAAAAAAATAAGTGTAAGTACATGTAGACAATAATATGGATTGCTTATTTTACACAAAGAAAGCGAACTTTCCATCTTCATACAGTTTCAAAATTGAGTAATAATGAGTAAGTAGAAGACGCATTCGACATATTTTAGTTTTATTAAAAGGACATTGGAATGTAAAATAAATCTTTTTCAAGTAAGCTACGCTGTAGTGGTAGGTATGAACTACAGAGAGATTGCGGAGAATGTTGATAAACTAATAAGATAATATCGTAATCTAAAGCAGATAGTTTGTCAAGCAATGTGAAATATGTTTTGAGGTATTAAATTAAAATTTGAAAACACAATTAAGCTGACCTTAGTGTCTTAGTGTCATATTCCAACCTTTCAAACCGAAATATACTATAGTGCAAAGCAAGCTATTTGCAGTTGAAATACATTTCACGCCCTTGACATCGTAGATAAGCATGCATGGTATTCGAAATAACAATATATATATACATATAGTAACCTCATTTAATTTAAAAAATATATCTAAATGCAACTTATACTTACTTTATTCTGTGAAAAAAATATTTAATATACAGAGATGGCACTGTTACTTTTTTATGGGGCGTGTTTCTTTAAAGAATGAAATATTCTTCCCAATTTGTCTATTCATATAGGTAAATTACAAACAAGCAAAGAGAAACATTTAAGATTTGTGATATCCATATGTTTGTCCGTAGATATTTGTAGTCGGTGGTTAGTATTGTTCATTAGAGGTAGTACAAGAGAAAGACATTTTTGATCACAATATTTCATTTAGTAATTGGTATGAAAGAGTTTAGTTCATTACTCCTAAATATGCATTTTTTATACATCCTAGTTTCTATAAATTCTACTGTTGTATTAATACAATAATTGTAATTAACAGGGATATTGTCGAGTGTCCGGTATGTGTTGGATCCAGTTCTAGTGATTGGTTACCAAGCAATGAGGTGTGTCCTATCGTCAGAGGTAACAAGAGATACAAGAGGTGTCAACGTGGCACATATGTCAACACCATCTGCGATAATCGACTGGATTGCTATAGGGTAAATATTGCTTTTACGCCTACAATTTATTGTAGAACATGCTTGTATATTCTCTTACACAAAATAATATAACTAAAGCAATCTTCATAAATGATTAATTATTTAATAAATATAGTAATAGATAAAGATAGTAAATAGATACTGTGTACCAAATTTCATTTAAATCGGTTCTGTAGTTTTGACCTGAAAGCACGTCAGACAGATAGACAGACAGACAGACTTACTTTCGCAATTATAATATTAGTAAGGACTAAAAGTGATTTTCATAAAAGGTCGAGAATTATTTTTTTCAGGGAGATTGTCTTCCTCAATTGGGTAGTCTTCTTTTTCCACTATTCGTTAATTTACCTAATCAAATAATAATAGGTTTCTGTATTATTATAAAAATAAAAGAATCAAATCGACATACAAGCAAGTTACTTGATTTGAAGTAGGTAGGTACTTAGTAGGAATAATAAATAAGCATTATTATAGAATTACCTAATTTAATATTTACAGTGTTTATTATTTTAGTATAAATTCCATTATATCTTTTCAGGGACCTAAGGAGCAATGTACTGAGAAAATGGATTTCGATATTTACGGACAAAAGTGTGCACCAGGGTATTACTGTAATAAGTACCTTGGAGTTTGCACAGGGCTCGAGTACAATGTGGAGAGCAAAACTCAATGGCTTCTTAATCCCAATCGACGGTACCCGTTAAGAGCGAAGCGTAATATTTAAATATCTAATTTTCCACATTCTTGGAATTAAAATTGATGCAACAGATTAATCGATAAAATATGATGATTCGGTGTCATTATAGATATAGCAAAATTATATTTTTATTATTGGTCCTTATATTGAATAGTCTCCAGCTTAGATAAAACTGCTTAGGTACTTATAGTTACCTACTATTAGGTGCCGCAAATGGAGACTTTGAAGGTCCTTGATATACCTATCTAGATATATATGAGTCTACTTATTTATTTATAAAATTAATAGTTAATATTTTATCAATGTCAAAGTGATATTACTTATTCGAAACTCTCTGTGCGCGAATTCATTTTCACCAGTTTTTTTACCCATCAGAGGGATCTTGATTTGTGTTCATATAAATTTGTTATCCTTTTTCGAATTCTATGTATGAATAGTGAATACCTGCGTGAAACAGACAATTATTTATTTATTTTAAGTAAGTACATATTTAGTACGAGTAGATATTATTTGCTCCTGTGATATAATGAAAACGTACTTGATCTCAAATAAATGTATATTATTATAAAAATAAATTAAATTTACAATTGTGTTTCTTATTCTTTCTTATTACATTGTCAATTTTTTCTATTACAATTTACATACAGTTAAATGATTTACGTAGGTATGTACTTATATTTCTATAATTCTGAAGTAGTTTAGGTACCTACCGGTATAGGCAAGACATTGCAAATTACAAGTTCAAATTGTTAATTGCAATTATATCAATTCACACAGCGCCCTCTAGTCCCAACAGGGTCTTTCACCTATTAGAGGCCCTGGGCACATTAGGATAATGGGGCCCCTAAGGCCATAGTAATAAAGCACTATTTTGTTAGAATACACAATCTTTCATCTCCCCTTGCAACCCCTTACAATTCTTTTTCTTTATTTATAATTTTTCGACAGCCTAAAAAATAAGATTCAGACTTCTAGTTTTAATAATAAGAATACTTCCATTGGAGAGATTCCAAGAGTAAGGGAGGAATATTAAGATCGGAAACCTTTTGACAAACAGAGACAATGTTATTCTATTTCAGCCTATACGTTTAACACTTACATTGATGATATTTCTAAATGAATGCTGTTTAAGAAATGAATCAATGTGAATAAATATTGAAACCTTCAAGAAAAGAGCTTATTCCTATTTAAAAGGCCGACAATGCACTTGCAATTTCCCTGGTGTTGCGTGTGCTCATGGACGGCGGTAGTCACTTACCATCAGGTGAGCCGCAACCTCGTTTGCCTCCTGTGCTATAAAAAAATGCTTCCTTTTTAACAGCGTGTACCACATGACATAAATTTTTAGAAGATGAATGAGGAATAATAAATATCTACTTCAATTTCATTATTCTTTTTCTAAACAATGACAATCAATTATATATTATATGAATTTATACTTTTACGTTTATTGCAATTTTTGCAATATTTATGTAAATGTCTCCGTTTTACGGGATGAAAAGAACCAGATGATGTATATCCTTACCGGTTTTACCGATAGATTCACATGATATCGTTACGAACCTATGATTTGTTTTTTTATTGTTTTGTCATATTGTACCATTTCAACATGTATATCTTACTAGCATTTTAGTTGAATTAAACCAATATTTCCTTATAGTCTATATCGTTTTGTATCACTTACATAACTTTATTTTTTGCATCTTCCTTAAACAAAATTAGCAAAAGAAAAAGGTGCCAGACCATTAATGGAAAAAATGATTAAAAAAATAGTTGTCAATGTTCTGCTGCCAACATTTTGCATTGAATCGCGTAATAGTTATTAATTTAAATTAATGAAAATATATCTTAACATAGAGATTCCACACTCTCTCTCTAAAATTAATAAAACAGAAAAACATAGAAACTATGTATATTTGAAACATTAGAATAGATATAATTTGTGAAGACAATACATTGAAGGAAATATAAGAATACTACCGAAGACAATGGTTGTATGGGCTGAGTCCTTTTGCCTTACTCTCCAAACCAATAAAAAAATATATAATGTTTTGGTCTATGGTTATATTCTGACTATTTCATATTGTTCTGAAATTCGGGGAATTCCTCAGGGTGAACATATATATCACAATTGTGCGTATTCAGCCCAATTAGTACTACGTAATACAATGCATGTTAATATCATCAAGTAAATTCAACTTAATGGCTATTTTTAATAAAACTATTCAATTAAGAGTATTGTCTGGCAATAAACTCAGATTTCCATAATGCACAATTATTTCAATTAGCACATTTCAGCACAATTTGGTTCTGTATTCGGCCGGATTACGGATTTAAATATGAATACACTGTAATTCCCAGTACCTGAATATTGATAATTTATATTTCAGTTTCCTTTGTTTTTATTCTAGAATCTTCTATAACGTCATAATCTGTAAGTATAATAAGTATAAATAGATATTTCATAATTATTTTAAAATTATTATTTCGTGTAAATGCATTTAATACTAGTTTTTAGTACATACAAGAGAGTTCTTTCCATTGTTGTTCTTTGGTTTTAAAATCAACTGTGTAATAAGTTTATTTTCACAAAACTAAATACACTTTGTTCTTGTGTTTTGGAATTCCCTTTTAAGTAAGTAATTTTCTTTTGTATATTGTAATTCATTGAAGTATTTTGAGTTACTACATAAATTATCAATATTGCGACGTAGGTAAAGATTTTTCCCTACAAAAACAGCATTTATTTCATTGTTTTGTATGAGTAATTGTAAATTGTATTGATTTCCTATGGTCACCCACATAACAAAGTAGTTTTGCAGTAATTTGGTACATTATTCTGTGTGAAGAATTGCTCAACTCATGGATCCTAAAAGACTTCAACACTTGAATAATTGTAGAAGAGTTGAAATGAATCAAATATCTGAAACATGTATGTGAGAGAACAACTGCATACAGAACTGATCAGTCAATCAATCTGTTTGGTAATAATAATAAGAATGTTTATTCAGAAACATATGCTTTTTACATTCATTATGTTTACCCCTGGCATTAAATTGAAATTTAATCAGAAATTATTTATTTATGTAGAACATTTTAGCTGCTCATGAACATCAAGTTTTAGTATTAATATTTTTAACCCTGTATTTTGAAATCCAGTTGCTTAATGAGTAGATATAATATACCTTACTTTGCTTTCTTAGTAAATATCATTATATATTTATCTTATAACTAAATGTAGAAAAAAGTAATCATACTATATGAACACAATTATAATTTTCTTACCAGGATTTTTGCACAGAAACTATGTCATATTACTGACTATTATGCACTAAGTTTTTGCACAGTTCTATATCACCCTGAGTGTTATAATTGAAATAGATAATGTAAGTGCGATGATGAGTTAACTTTGTGATTGTTGAATGATGATCAGCAACATTTGAATATGAAAGCATGAGTCCACTTGTTACTGGTCAGTAAATTATTGATTTACTAACTTTAATATAATCTGCAATTTGCTCTCTGTACAGGTAAATAACAATTGTTTATTTTAATTAGGTTTAAAAGTACCTTATTATTCGACAATTACTGATACACTCAACATGTGTTAATTTAATACCAAGACTTATGTTAAGTTCGCAACATGTCACAATTTTTTAAGATTGCTGATGTAAGCTTGGTTATCTCTTTTAAAAAAAAACTCATACACATGATAGATATTTTACTAAATTTTGACTATTACAGACTAGATTTTGACGTATAGTCAAAATCTTATTTGTACAAACCAAAAATAATTGTTTAATATTTCTTTGTTGTATGAAATTCGGACAGTTGTGAGTTTGTTGACCCGTAGCATTTGTTGCTCTTGCTACTAGGTTAACCTGGCACTGACTTGTGAGTAATAAAATGTAACAATAATATCCACTGATCAAACAACTAAATAGACAATAATTCTGTTGAATGTAATTTTACCTTCTTTATTTACTTATTCATAATCTTTAATTTTGCTTTCATTTACTTTTTGTTGCCTAAATATGTATGTACATAATATTTTTTGTCTATATTTCAGACATTCAGATCTGTTTGCTAATGAATCTTTGATTAAGAAATATCTCACTACTTTGCAATAATATATAGTATAGCCAAGTATTAGAATAAACCTGTTAATTGATAACTGATCATAATTTGTTGTGTAAAATACATGAGCAATTACTTCATAAATGAGCCAATGTAATACTGTGCAGTTGTTGTTATTTTTTTAAATTTTTGTACAGATTATAGTCATTGTCTTGTTGTTATGATATTATTTGTGAGTTGACACTTGCATTGAAGTCTTTCTATTGGATTATTAAGCATGTTCCACCTACCATGATTTTACTTATTGGTATACTAATAAATTAAATTATACATATTACTTACATCATCATAGAAATCATATTTAGCTTTTTATTGTATATTTATAATTATTTATGAATTTTGTCCCAAATTCTTTCTATATAAAAAAATAACTTTCTTTCATACAAACTTCAATCTCATAATTACAAAAACAACTAGGTAATAAACAGAAATAGCAAAATAAATGTTGAAATGAAGTACAAACATCAATCCTTTGGCTATTGATGTTTAAGAACCATTACCAGAATTAGTTAAAAATAACACAAATAATAATAATGCATAATTTTCAGTTATAGAATAAATTTGTAGTAGATACATAAGAATAGATAAGATATATGCCACTAGATAAGATATAAGAGCAAAAAATGACTAACTATTTGTGAATCTATATTTCAATAAACATCTATTCAAATAAAAATAATCAGAATATATTGTTATCATTTACTATTTATTTATTATTATTTCTCATGCTGTTAAGTCAACATTGTTTCAATTGCCGCTCATTTACATACATATACCAAAACAACAGTATAACAAAACATATTTATATGTAACTAGCTGTACCCGCGACTTCGTCCGCGAAAATAGTGACCTTGACCAAATAATGAAAAAAATATTTAATGACCTAACCCAATACAAGCCAAATGAAAAATTTTCATCGTTTCATCTTCTAAAATGACGACACTTCCATACATAACTCTTTCAACCCCTTATAACCCTTCTATCGCATTCAAAAGTAGCCTATATCCTTTTCAGGGTCTAGACTAACTGTGTAGCAAATTTCATTTAAATCGGTTCAGTAGTTTTAGCGTGTAAGTGAGACTAACAGACAGACAGATAAAGTTACTTTCACAGTTATAATATTAGTGGGATATTTTATAAACTAACCCAAAAAAGCCAATGGAAAAAGTTTCATAGATCTGGCTTCAAAAATGACGAATTTACCTAAAACTTTCATCCACTCTTTTATTTTACTCCCTTAAGGGTAAAATTTTTAAAAACTTTGAATATCATATTTATTCATATTCAGTTATCAGCCTCAAAAATAAGTTTCAAGCATCTAGCTTCAATAATGACTATTCTTCCATACAATCTTTCACCCCCAATTTAAACCCCTTACGACCCCTTTTTCACATTAAAAAGTAGCCTATGTTCTTTCTCAGGGTCTAGACTATCTGTGTACCAAATTTCATTTAAATCGGTTCAGTAGTTTTGGCGTGAAAGCGAGACAGACAGACAGACAGATCGAGTTACTTTCGCATTTATAATATTAGTAAGGATAGGAATGTGAAACAAGATGACAATCCACCTGATCGTAAGTGGTAATCTGTGTGCATGAACAGCAGTGTTACCCCTGATACCACTAATGTGTTCCCATTCCAAAGGTGTGAGATGCCATACACCTTATCATGTAATTTCATTGCACCGAACAACTCCTTCTTTCGTGTCAATGGCAACTAAATACACTGACCCCAGAATGTTGCGACACTGAAACACATATTACAAAGCAAGCTACTGGGGACTGAAGTAGGAGAGACTGAGATACCTGACGCAGACGATTTAACAGTCCATCTTGGTTTTAACAAATTATATCTGAAATGAAAATCTAATATATCAAAATAATATATATAATATATATATATAAATCTAATCTTAAATACTATTATATACTTTCAGGAGAAATGTATTGTAAAGTCTGCGGTTCAGTTGACGAGTTCTATGATGAGAATGCTGATTGTGAACATGAAGCCACTCCGAAGCACATGAGTAATTTAATACTTGCCAATTATAAAAACAACAAGTTAGTATTATTTAACAGTAATTAATAAAAGACTGCCTTTTTTTATTTAACTGAAACAAGGTGCCATTACAATTTGATTATAAGTGGTAACTGTCAACTACATGTACACAAATATAAATGATACCATGTTTATCACAATTTCTTGTAACAACCATGGTGATTCTTAAGTGATGCCATCCTGAAAGACTAGGTAACATGTGTGGTGCATCCAAACCCTGTAATAACTACAAGCACTGTTTAAGGATTAAGAAGGGAGATACAGGACCCAACGCAGATGACTTCCTTTATTTCTTCTACATATAGATATATATATATAAAAAAATTGTCTTTGGATTGGCTTACTATCTTAACATTATGCACATCCATTTACTAATATTGTATTTATCAACATTTGGTCCTGCATATTTACATACATTGTACATTATAAAACGAAATTAGATAAAGATAATATAGCTGTATAAACCTTTAAATAAGGTTTGAACTGTTATAACAATTCGCAAATTGAACTCCAACAAACACATGGGAAATAAGTGAAGTTACACATAATAGACAGAAAAATCTTTATTCGAATAATATTAAATAAGCATTTTTTAATAGTAATATACCTATATAATATTTATTAGAGAACAATAAACATGAAACTTGTGTGCTCCTTTGAATAAATGTTGTCAGCATTACATCATCATTGCCTTGCCTTTATCCCATTATTTTATTAAGGATTATATGTGAATACAAACTGTCAAATAGCAAGATTGTCAAAGTAAATAAATATAGCTATTAGAACTAGAGTAAAAAGCAGGCCAGTAATTATAAGCAGCACCCGTTCAGGAATAAAATGTATGAGGCAAAACATAATATAAATATTAATAATTAAAAATAATACTTTTTACAGAAAGTTTTACGGTGGAAACAGAGATGGAATTATCATAGTGTGTGATGCTCATATCGATGTAGTTAATGGAGTCACTCCTAATAATATAAATAAATCTGATAGCAGAAAAATTAGAATCCAAGTAAGTGTTTCTTTCATTATCTCTTTTGTAAAGTTTCAATCTTAGCACACTTATGTAACACATATGTCTATAATATGATTTTTAACTATATTGTGATATAGAGGTTTAGTTCACAAACAATTCTCCAAAGGTTTCAGGTTAGGCAGGCAGGTTATCTCTGTATAATATAAGTGAGCACTGAACACAAATGTTGTATTAGTTGTCTGGAATTATGACTGATTGCAAAGACAATTCTATGCTATAGTTTTTTTCATATACTTACATCTACCTACTTATTAAACTCCAAATCACAATACCATTTAGTTAATTCTATAAATTCTGGACTCTGTAATGTACTCCGAAAGGAACTTTAAATAATTAAAGTCGAATAAAAATGGAGGATTATTTATGTTTATTATTCTTTCGAGTGTAATGGATTGGTGTACCCGCTGGCTAACGGTATACGATGGCGAGACATCAGTGTGGGGAATGACAAAATGCGCATGAGATGAGGTTGTAAATTATAACATGGCTAATTCTGCAAGAATTTATCATTATAGTTTGCAACGTGAAGGTTAACTTGACCATACCACACATTGCTATTAATTGGGGTCATCAGACTACATTAGTAACAATTTCCTTCCCACAGTGACGGTTATAATGTAATAGATGCGAGAGATGATATACGTCCACGTCTATAATCCCTTATGGGACAGACAGAGGCATTAGTATGGCTCGTTAGTTGAATGCACATATTCCTCTGAGCAGGTATATTAAAGTTCAAGGTAGAGTGGGTGAACACGAGCGTCCGTTGTAATGTTATTTGTTGTCGGTGTCTGTTTCAATTACTAGAGAAAATGCCAATTTTATTTGTATCGATTAGATTTGATCTTGCGGACTTTGCAGTCTACAAGTCGGTGTAGTCAACGACATTACACATTCAGAAAATATTAGGTTAGTATTTTGTTTTCAGGTGAAACCCAAACAAAAAATTGTGTTTTCATTTGATATCAGCAACGATATGAAAACAGATAGTATAAATTTTGTTGGCGTAATACTTGGTCACCCCCAGCAACAATTTCAAATGAATGATCATCCTTATATATTTGGTGGAGAATCGTATCGTATGGAAAAAAGTGAGTATCTAATCTTTACAGTTGTTCCTTTGCTACCGAGATAGCAATAAAATGTATGGTTTGTATCCTACTAATTACTTACTACAGGAAGTAAAAATGCCCTGATTTACTAAATACGAAATTAGGCGGATGAGTAATATGAAAATTGGCATGGTTGAAGTATAGAATGTTATGGTCAATAAATATTCAGTCTAGAAACATTTTTTTTAACAAACGATTTAATTTTTTATTTGGATCAATGACTACTTGCAACTTTCTTACTGCGTGATGCCAAATAAAAAAGTAATAAATACAATTTATTTATTGTTGTTGTTGTCTTATACCTGTTATTATACCTTGTTATTGTCTTGTATATGCCATATTTTAAGCTAAGCAGACCTTGTGTTATAGGTATACTAGACAACTGATAAAAATGATATAAAATACAGAGATATTATTTTTTGTAAATAATAATAATGTTTGTACTGTACGAGAAATCGAATCCGCGACCATAATAAAGAAAATTAAACAACAGTGCTAAACACACGTCACAACAGTAAACAAAATTATCCAGTACAGTAAAATATTATATATCAGTCTGAACTACTGTATTCATCCCCGCACGCTGGAACCTAAAAGGTTTCGCCCATTGCGGTTTCAGAGGAGCTGTCTCCTGCGTACACTTAGATTGTGGAATGAACTACCTGCCGAGGTTTTCTCACAATACTACAGCATGGGGTTTTTTAAGAAGGGTATATTAAGGTTTTTTAATAGTCGGCAACGCGCACGTGACCCTCATGGTTTTTCAGGCGTCCATAGGCCGTAACCATCCGTAATCGTTTACCATAGTATGCTTATTTGCCACCTACGTGGTATAAAAAAATATATTAGCAGTTACTTGTTACCACTTACGTGATAACTGTATGTGGTTACTAGATAATAATAAAACACTAATTACAGAAGATATTATTATTATTTACAAGCTGACCCGCGCAACTTCGTCTCCATCACACTTACTTGACTTATATTTCACAAAATTTACATAACATATTTTAAAATTATTGCCTATGTGTATTCTGATGTATAAGCTATAATACTCTATAAAGTACTTCATCAAAATCTGTTGAGTATTTTTTGAGTAAAAGAGTAACAAACAGCCTTCCAACTATTTATTCACAAATTTTTGCAGTAATAATATTAGTAAGATTAAAGATTTAGAAATTACTATTATACAGTTTGAACCCGTTACTAAAGACAGTTGTAGATAAAAGCTTATCTTGATTATTCACATTACAGAAACAACTCTTCAGGGAAAAGTTATCGTTACATTTGAAACAGTAGATATCGGCCATTATGAGATGCCAATAATATTTACTTTCCAGAAGGAATCAGAAAACAAACAAAAAGTTTTGATTGTTGTTCGGGAATTGGTAAGTTATAAATGTACTACTTATTTTTCAAATTCTTAACTAAAACGGGCGACAAATACCACACAACTCGAATAAAGACACCGGTTCGATCGTTATTATTTATTGTCATGTATTCACAAAAGGTATAATTTTAATAAATACATTTAACTCGTTTTCCAATTCCTGCATCCATCACGCATAGCCCACCGCTAGCTGAAAAAGCATGAGAGACTAAAATAAAAAGCAGATCAGACTCATATATGTGTAAAAGCTGGTTTTGTGGAAACAACAAATAATTACAACTTACAACCACATTCTAAAACCAACTCCTAGCAATTGTATTCAGTCTGAACGATGTTGATAGTTTCAAGAAAGAGAATAGTCTTATTTTAAAGCCCGGAATTCCTCTGGTGTTATATTTGCTCATACATTAGGTGTGTTGTAAGCTGTTTGTCGCACATACTATAAAAATAATCCTTTCAAATTATATAAAGAAGCTAGTAAGTTTTATTACTTATTGTGTCATTTATTATTCAAAATATAGATATATATTTTGGGGCACCTAATTATCTATAATTTTTATATAATGTTCATACTGTGATGTGTCAGATAATCATTTTTGTCTATATAATGTGCTCAAAATGCTTTAAACACAGCACAAGTTTTAGTTTAATTCCATTTTTCAGTTTGTTAAGGACGAAGAAAGGCCAGACTCTGGCCTTTCAGGAACCTACAAATAGAATAATATTAATCAATTTAACTTAATTTTTCTCGCATTCAGAGTAATGGACCGGAAACCAATCTGTTGTTCTTTTAAGCAAATATTTTACACTCTTTTTTCTAGTGTATATTTTTTTTTTGCACAGTTGGTGACAGTACTGGATAATCCATCGGAACGTCAATATCAAAAAAGTCATTATACAAGTGAGGTTTGGGGCAAGGCTGATCACTACATTATCTCACCAACACATGTGTATGTTTAATTTAAATTCGTATTGGTATATCATTTAGGGCCGTACCATTGTAAAAATCCAGGTAGGACGTCCATGTAAGAAACATTTAATCCAAGAATCAAAGTGAAAAGAAGTTTTAACTATTTACTAAATCGATCGCGTGAGCACGCAATTTGTTTAAAGTTTTAAATAAAAAATATTTTTCAATTTTTCACATCGTTTCATGAGTAAATGTGATACAGAGGTTCCCAGGCAGACGCCTTTGTACAAAGTCCGTATCGGCAAATCCTATGAGACCCAAGTTTTAGAGCCCCTCAATAGTAAACATTAAATTTATTGTTATTTTACTTTATACATTATTAATTACAATGTACAAAGAAACAATTTTTAATCTCATCTACGTTGTAGGAATAATCAAACAGCATATAAAGTACCGAAATCATTGAAGATACTGTTACCGCATGGCCTTGAGGAAAATGCTTTGGAAAATATAAAAGCACCACCAGATCAATTGAAACTGCTGCGGCAAGTCTTAGTAGATACAAGGTACATACTATTTAGCGTATTCATCGTAATGATCGCTTTTACGAATTGTGTGGTTGAAATTTAGGCTCTGGCGGCTCACAACATGCATACAGACAACCAGTGAATAGCTGCCTTTACACATTCTTTCATACGCTATCATGTACGCGTGCGATTTAGCGCGGGAAAGCCAACGCACGCTTACGTGAGGGATTTTTACTACTTTTTATGTTCGTTCATTGTATTTTCGCACGTAATCTATCATGTCATTTCACTTTTCAAACTTTTTTTTTATCACACAGTTTTTATTTTCCAAATACAAGTTCAAGATTTGTATTGATTTATATTACACCCTTAACTATAATTATCTCTTTGTTCCATTGTCAGATGTCCGCCATTTTTCAATGATAATTAATTATTACAAAAACACGTTAAAGCACGACTGAAAGACGCGGGAATGCACGCGCGGTGCATGCACATTCATTACTGCTTAAAAGCAGATTCGCGCGTCAAAGAGTGTACTTAAGGCAGCTAGTGGACTGAAGTCGACGACGCAACGAGATACTATTTAATAATTTTGATATTTTGTTACTATTTGTGAAACCTTTTAGTTTATTATTGTTTGGTTGAAGTCAAAAATTGTGTAGTATCTGTTCTATATAAAGCAAATTAAATAACTTCAACAACTTAACACTGTGTTCCGTAATCGTAAACTATACAAACAAGAAAAACATATATTTCGTTTATTTTTCTATCCGTTTTTATTATTATAGTTGAATATTTTTTATCGGTATAATTCCTTTTTTAAGGAGTGGATGATGGAATTAATTAAAGTTGGTTCAAGTTTGTCACGATTTAAGCATAATCTGTCTATAGTCTGTTCTTTTTATCTCCGCAACAAATTTTACATTACCAATGTTGAAACATTTTTCCGATTCTTGTTATATCAAGATATATTATTTCAGTAAATAAAGGTAAACTAACTCGCTTTTTTATAAAACAAATGATGTTCCTATGGTGTCATATTTTTATAAAACTATATAAAACATTTAGTTATTTGAAATAAATATGTAGTTGGTTTGTAGCTTAATACAGTAAAAATTACTATATGTGTAAATTTTGAAACAATTGTCATACCCTTAAAACTAATCATCTAAAACAAAAAAATACTATTCAATCAATCGGTATCCCGTTACAGCTGGTAACATTATTTGAAAAATTTGACATTTACACCAGTTTATTTAGTCTCTGTGTTTAAAAAAGAGACTATAGTACTTTTTGAATTAGACAACATCTGACATTCATATGGTCTATTATATTTTTTGTAAATAGTATTTCTTTTCAGATCTATATTTGAGGAAGGTATAACACCCAAAAATTATATGCTGTATTTTCGTCATTTACTGTGGTGGGAAGAGATTATTGCCCGAATTAATCTTAAGGTTATTTTTTTATCTAATTTATAATTCAGACTTACTATTGGTTGTCCCTGTGGTCTTTCGGTTTAGCCCAAAGAGTAAAGTAAATATACCAAAAGGAAGTTCAGCCGATCGCTTTACTTACAATGGTCGCACATCCGATTCCTCGCACAATGTAAATGTGCGAGGACTCGGATGTGCGACCGAATGTGTAAACAATGTGTGTTCATGAGTTTTATTGTTTGTTTGTATTGGTCTGGGTGTTTTCTATGTATGTATAATATGCATTTAAAAAATATAGCACAACACAACTGATATAAATATCAGTTGTCTAGGACTCATAACAGAAGCTCTGCTTAGCTTATCATTCTTTTCTGTAAACTCTAAGGTCAATTAGTGTATGATACCTAAGGTCCATTCCATATACATATACATCCTACTTTCTTTTAGAAATTCAATATGGCTAAAGTCAAATTGACTAAACAAGACAACGAAAATGGATACCTACTAGAAGTGGAAGGTTTAGCTGAAAAACGTCCATCTGTATTACGCGGTGAGAATTTTTTATATTAATTAATTAATAAAAATGACAATCTGCAAAAGAAAACTATTAAACCAACAAAGCCGTTGGTTTGCACAATAGTGATCTGCACCTTGATTATTCCTGAATAATGATATTCAGATGTTGATCCTTTTCCTGCAATTTAGGAAGACTAGTGGTTTAGCAGTTTAAAAACAGTTTTACCATGCTATATTATATATTTCTCCACCTAGTAATAATGCATCTTATAATAGAATATTTTCAAAGTTAATAGCTACTTAATATTACTATTTATTTTTATTTTAGGTGATAAAGTTTTAATCCGCCCTAGTGAGAGTCCTGGTATAGTGTATGAGAGCTTCGTTAAGAACATTATGGATTGTCAGATACAATTAACAGAATTCGATGAGAGGTAAGGTTTCACATTTCGATTTGTACAGTTCGTTTTAAATATGCCTTAGCTATATTGAATAATGTTCACTGTATAAAAATAGTTAATCCCTGTTTTTTATTACAAAATACATACATTACACATTACATACATTGTCGTTAGATTTGTCTCAATTCGGAGTGTCGTTTTTTATGTAACTGGAATTGTATTGGGATTGATACTGATTACTGGGGTGTGATTTTTTAATACTCTTAACTACATTTTCTATGAGAATCCATGTTTCTGCGCCATAGAACAGAAAATTTATATTAGCGTAACTACTAACTTTAGATTGATCTAGTATTTTTATGACATAGTAATAAAAAAGGCCCGGTTTTTTGTAGGAGATTGCTTTAAGCATCAAGGGCGCCTTTGGTTTAGAATTTTTATATTAATTTTTTCTGTAATATTTTTTCTGCGCATAATATACAGTTATATTATTATTATTAAATATTCTATTATTCTTAATGTATCAGTTTCAACGACCTCTACAATGAAGACACTTTGTACGATGTGCACTTCCTCATGTCTCGTGTTCCATTGGAACGTATGCATGATGCTGTCTCTAAGTTGTTCACCAGCAAACAGAATAGCCGAGTGTTCCCAGTACCGAGCAAGAAACAAGTGGCGCTTAAGATGATTCCAAGGTAAGATCTAAACATCCTAAAGGTGAATTTCCCTTTTATTTTGTTATAAATACAATTTGAGATATTAAACTTTTTAAGATAAATATTGAAAAAAGCATCCGACAAGCAGACATTATTTATATATGTTTCCTGTTTCATGTTAGTGGCGTCTGTCTCGATTACATACATAATTTTTATCTATATTGAAGGATAATAACCTATCTGTGATATTTTTTCACTATTAGAATATTATTATATTAATACTTTCTTTAAAAAAAAAGTAAATGATAATAAAATACAGTTTAATATGATACATAGACGTATATAAAATATAGTTTTATTAGACGTATGACGTTTTTCTTCAAATCTCGGTGGTTCAGCATGGATTTGTATTTATTTTCTTACAATGATTATGTTAGTTGCAAGGAAATTGCATGATAAATTGTTGGAGGTTTCCGAAACAGCCGTTTCCATTACTTTGCCGATTTTAGTAATCAAAATCCACTGTTACTTAAAAAATGTAACTTTCAGATTTTACAATAAATTAATAAGAGACAACGAAGAACAGAGGTCAGCAGTGCAGCACATTGTATCAGGGACTTCGGGTCGAGCTCCTTACATGGTGTTCGGGCCGCCGGGAACTGGCAAAACGATGACTATTGTAGAAGCCATTTTACAGGTAGGTGTTATCGCTTCAGTAGGCTTAAGTTTGATAAATACGGGAACTCGCCCCGAAATCCTAACTGTCACTTGTATAATACAATTTAGCAAATACAGAAATCGCTCTATAACACGGTATATGATGTTACACATTGTACGA